AGTTTTCCCTCCTGCTGCCCCTTCCAGTTGGTAATGATCCTTGTCCCCCATCCCCAGACCCTTGACTTCCCACTGTCTTGTGCTTGTACCACTTAGGTCCTTGTAAAGGACAACATGATGTAGCAGAGTGCTAGAATGGATTCAAGTCTTGGATCCACCAACTTACTAACTATGGGACCTTGAGCAAGTTACCTTGCTCAGACACCTCAAAACACCTCAGTTTTAAAATCTATAAAATGGGGATAATACTATTTGCTCTGCAGATTTGTTGGAAGGAAATAATTTTATTAACCTAAAAGCATTATAGAAAATGAATGGTTGTTAATGAGGCATCCTATTGTGATGTAGTGGAAGGCAATTCCTAGGCTTAGGAGACCCAGGTTTGAATCATAGCCCTGATATGAAGGCAAGGTGCTGACCTGCTTTGTCCCTCAGTAACCTCAGCTGTAAACCTTAAAACACCATTGATGTGGGAATTTTTAGAGAGGCAGCAAAGTATACTGGTAAGAGAGGCAACTTCAAACCAGGAAGACCTGGGTTCAAATCCTGCCTGGGATAGATATTGACTGTGTAACCCTGGGGAAGACACATAATAGGCTCCTAGGATCATAGATATGGAAATGGAAGGAACCACAGAGACTATCAAGTCCAATGGAAGCTGAGGCACACAAAGGTAAATGACTTGCCTGAGGACACACAGTTATTAAGTGTCTGAGGCAGGATTTTGAACTTGGGTCTTCCCCCGGACAAGCCCAGAGCTCTAGCCACTGTTCCACCTAGATGCTACCAGTGCCCTCAGGAAGGGCTGACTTGCATTGGCAAAAAGAGCTACTTCTCCTCGGGGTCCCCTACATCAATTAAGTCCCAGGTCTGGTCCCCTGTTCCTCTTTGGTGTTACAGTTATTTGTATACGTGTCATATACCCCTGCTAGACTGGGAGCTCCCTGAGGGCAGGCAACCCCCAGGGACCATATCTTTGCTAAATCTTGTATCTTTTCAGCCCTAGCAGAGGTTTCTCTAAGTAATCAATTGTTTTTTTACTGGAATTGAATTGGTTTAGTTGCAAGCAGTGAAATATTTCAGAAAGAGCCTGGATCTAGAGGCAGAAGGTCTGCATGTGAATTTTAATTATGCTGCTCTCTATTCCTGTGAGATTGAACAGTTCACTTCCTTGCTTTTGGGCCTTAGTTTTCCCCTCTGTCAAATGGGAGAGTTGGGCCACATGATCTCTATTGCTTCTTAATCCTCTAACAAACTATGGCAAAACCAGGATTGGGCCTGAGGTGTGTGTTTTTCCCTTTCCTCCCCTGCCTCTGTCTCTCTGTGTCTGTCTCTGTCTGACTCTCTCATCCATTATCTTTCTTTAAAAAAAAAAACATTTTCACTGATATTTTTTCTTTTATACTATCTATATTTCCTAATATCCTTTTTCATCCCAGAGAATATCCCTTATCTAATGACAAAGAATGGAAAAAAAAGGGAGAAAACTCAGCTTAAGGAAAACTAGCCAATCTGTCAAAAAAGTTTTATATTTTGTATATTTTTCCACACCCACAGATCCCCGCCTCTTCAAAGAATAACACTAACAATACTAATTAGCTTTTACATAGTGCTTTAAGGTTTGCAAAATGCTTTACAAATACTGTCTTCTTTGATCCTCACCACAACCCTGGGAGAAAGATGCTATTATTATTATCTTCATCTTACAGATGGGGAAACTGAGGTAGACAGAGGTTAAATAACTTGTCCAGGGTCACACAGTTAGCAAGTGTTTAAGGCTGTATTTAAACTCTGGTCTTACAGTGCCCAGGTTTAGGGTTTTCTCCACTGTGCCACCTGCCTCAAAGAAGCAGAGAGGGGCTGTGTCATAGTTCTTCTTTGGGGCACAGCTTGGGCATCGTCATTTCACAGCATTCCCTTTTACTTGTGATTGCTGCTCTTTCCATTTAGTATTACAGTAGATGTAGTCAGCATACATGTTGCTTCCCTGGTTCTGCTGACTTCACTTTGCATCAGCTCATAGAACTCTTCCCTGTCTCTGTTTTCATCATATTCATTGTTTCCTACAGCACAATCATGTTCCTTTACAGTCATGCACCACAATCTTGCTTAGCCTTTCCCCAGTAGATGGACACTTGCTTTGTTTCCAGTGTTGCTAGTTGCTATGAAATTTCTGGTGTCTTTGGGGCATTTCTTTCTGTCGTTGACCTCTTTGGGGTAAATTCCCAGCATTCAAATACTCTTAATAGCATTTGATGCTGTCTCTTCAGACTCAGCCTAATAAAGTGAGGCTTTGGGAGCCTTGTGTCTGGACCTCCCTGGACAGTTCATTCTTTTTCCTCAAGTTTCCACGGTAGCAGGACTGTGGAGGAGGGGCAGGGACTCACATCCCATGGAGTCCCCTTCCCAGAATCCTGGGCTGAACAGGATGTTAGTTCTCCAACTCCCTGTGGGGGTGGTGGGTGAGCAAGATCATTCTTCCCACCCTCACTCCCACTTGATCTGGCCAAGGCCCCAAATCTCCATGGCAACCCCAAGACACAATCCTGACCTCAAGGAAAGTAAAGCTCAAGGAAGCATGAAGAGACCAATGGAGATTATAGGCTAAGGACAGAGGCTTGCTTTTCCCTCCTCAGTCCTCTCTGTCACCAGGCTTCACTCTTGGACTGGTCGGGACAGGAAGGAGTCTCTCTACACCTGAAGCCTCCAGCTTGGCTGTGTCTCAGAGGGTTGGACACTGGCCAACTGATTGAGGACAATACTAGATACAAGATGTCCTGCCTTAAACCAAGGCCTCCTTTCCTGGGGCTTCCCCCAAGCCTCCTCTTGCTGGGAGCTCTCCTCCCGGCAGCATCAGCTCTGGAAGCAGGTGGGGTAGGATTGTCCATAGCTGGTGAGGTGCATCTCATAGAGCCCATGCTCCTGTCCTCCTTCTAGGGACTCTAGCTTAAGTTGGCCCAAAAGGGAGATTGAAATAAAGTTGTTGGGTGTTATGGGACCCTTCCATCAGGGGCTTGGAGATCTTGCTTCCTCAACTTCTAGCTGGGAGAACAAGTTCTTCCTTGGTCAAATCCCTTCCCCAAAGGTTGTGGGAACAGCAGGTCTCTTAGACCCCTGAGTCTCCTGATACAAGAATAGTACCCTCCCCGCTATCTCCCACCTCCCACCTGGAAATCAGCTAGTTGTATGTACAACATTGTAAAATTGGTGCCTTGTGTTCTCTCAAATTTCTCTTTTGCTCTTGTCTTCCCAACATCCAAGCTGGATGGGGGTCCTCAGCCCAAGAAAGCCCAATGCCATGGACACCAACTTTGGTGTCTCTTCCAAGAAGACTTCCTTTTTTCCTTTCAAATACCTCCCCTGATCTTCCTTCCCTTTCTCTACCTCTGTATTCTCTTCTCTCTAGTCAATCTGGTGGATTTCTGTGACCAGATGCTGCAGGGGGATGGGATGATTGTCCGTTCCCATCCAGATTCCCGGAAATTCTACTTTGTGGCTATTGAGACAGACTGCTGGCTCACTGTGCAGGCTGCATCCCCCCAGGACAGAGTCCTGTTCCAGTTCCGTTTCTTTCTGGTATACAGCCTGACCCAGCCTGCATCTTCTGAGCTGCCACAGACAACCACCTCTGGGCTAAGCCAGCCCAGAGAGGACCTCTGCACCAGTGGCTCCTACCTACAATTCTATGATGGCCCAGCCAAGGAAGGTCCCCGCCTTGGGAACCCACTATGTGGACTGACCATCCCAGGCCCAGTCCTGTCCACAGGCAGATCCCTGAGCCTGCGCCTGGTGACGAGGGGCCAGCAGCCCAGGGTAGATTTCGTTGGGGACTTCACCTCATTCCGACTAGGTACATTGTTGGGGTGATGTGGGGAGGCATGGTAAGAGAGAAGGTGGGACAGCTCCAGGTAGTGGGAGCTAATGAGGAGGCAGCAGAAAAATATACAGGTAGGGGCAGCTAGGTGGTGTAGTGGATAGAGCACTGGCCCTGGAGTCAGGAGGACCTTAGTTCAAATCCAGTCTCAGACCAGGCACTTGACACTTACTAGCTGTGTGACCCTGGGCAAGTCATTTAACCCCAATTGCCTCACAAAAAACCAAAACAAAACAGAAAGTATACTGGCTTGGGTCACAGAATTGGGGGTAGCTCTGGCTCCTAATGGTTCTGACTTTAGACAAGTCCCCTGAGCTCTCAAGGATTCAATTTCTTTCTCTTTATGATGAGAAGTTGTACCAGTGGATCATGAGATTATAGATTTAGAGCTGAACAGGCCCATAGAGGCCATTTAGTTCAATTTTACAGAGGAGGAAACTGAGGTTCATGGAGATTAAATGACTTATCCAAGCTCCTACAGGTAGTAAGAGCAGAACAAGGATTAAAATTCAAATCCTTTGATTCCAAATCCAGCATTCTTTCCATTACACTGATCTCTGGAATCCTTTCTAGCTCTGACGTTATATGAAACCCCACCAAAAAAAATTAATATTTATAGCACTTACTATGTGCTGGGCACCACACTAAGTGCTTCAATATTGTGATTTCGTTTGATCCTCACGGCAACCCTGGGAGACAGGTGTGAGGAAAGTGAGGCAATCAGAGGTTATGTGACTTGCCTAGGGTCACACAGCTAGTAAGTGTGTGAGGCTAGATCTGCACTGGGGTCTTCCCGATTGCAGGCTCTCCACTCTACCCAGTGTGCCACTTAGCTCTCCAATAAATGCACAATGTCTGCCTAAGGCAATAGAGGACACAGTTTCCCTAAAGACAGTAATAATAATAACAATAATAATAACAACAACAATAATAATAATAGCTAGCATTTACAGAGCATTTTTAAATTTGTAAAGCACTTTGTACACATCATCTCAGTTTATCCTCTCAAAGACCCAGTGAAGTAGGTACTGTTATTATCCCACTTTTACAAATTGAGGAAATTAAGTCTCAGAGAAATTATATGACTTGCCCAGGTCACATGGTGAGTAAATATCAGAGGTAGGATTCAAACATAGGTCTTCCTGACTCTTTTTTCCAACCTTGTTCACTATAGCATTCTGCTTCTGCATCTTAAGGGGAGAGAGTTGACTCTGAAAGGTGAGAAGAAAGTATAGCAGGGCCCTTGGGCTCATGCTGGTGGATGGAAGGAGACCAAGTCTCCAAAGGGAGAAGCCGCCAGTAAATACCATAGCAGAAAAAGAGAGGTGTAAATATTGTGTGTTGGAGGTTGGAGGGATGGGGCAATTGTCATTTCCATATTCTTCAGCTACCAACTTGTCAATTTCAAATTGTCCGAAAGGGACTGAAGCAGAGCTCTGAGACAATGGCACTTTATTAAAGGGTCCATGGTCCCCTCTAATGAAGCGGACCCAAGACCTTCCTCATGATCTGAGATGCCCCCTCCTTCCAGGGCCCTATTTTTATAGGGCTAGATATCTAGACATTCAAGAATGGCTATACCAAATATGGACTAATTCCATTGGTTGGCATATGATGCATATGTCAGTATGTCATAAGCCTGACAGTCAGAGTCATGGGCTGGGCAAAGTATGGGACATCTCCTCTGAGTGGTCATAAGATGGTCATAATATGGTCACCTGCTCATGCTGGACAAGAGAGAATGGTCCAGAGGAACAAAGATAAATTGGAGGACTTTCCACGTAGTTGAATCACCTCTGCCGCACTGGGCTTCGTCCCTATGACAAGCAAAAGCAAGGGTGGAGGGCTTCTAGTTAACTTCCTATGATTAAGCAAGTGAACCTACAATCTGCAGCTCATAGCATAACTCTGGGGCCTGATATACAGAATTTATAATCACTATCCCTATGCAATCATATCAAATCGATTAATACTGATTGGAATAGAGTAGGGGTTCAAATGAATTATTTCTCATACCACCCAGCTAGGTGGTATAGTGGATTGAACAAGGGGCCTGGAGTTAGGAAGACCTGAGTTCAAAGCCTACCTCAGACACTAGTTATATGACCCTGGGCAAGTCACTTAACCTCTGTACACTGGGGATAATAATAGGACCTACCTTTCAGGGTTGATGAGAAGATCAAATGAAAGTGGGAGTAGCACAATGTCTGGCATATAGCAGGTATTTCATACTTGCTCCTCTTCTCTTTCCTTTCCATCCACAGCCCAGAAGCCTACCTTTGTGGGCTGTGCTGGATAAGAAGGTCATTGAGCAACCCCATTCCCAAAGAGGTTCAATCCCAGGACTGGCAGTTTTAAAGCTAAAAGGGACTTGATAATATAAAGCAGGAGAGATGGAAATAATCTTAGAGCACAGAATGTCAGAGCTGAGAAGGAGGACCCTAGAACATAGAATTTCAGGGTGGAAAAGGGGTTCTAGTCTAACCCCCTCATTTTATAAATGAGAAGACTGAGTCCCAAAGATGCTAAGCCAATTGATCAAGGCTTGCTGCATACACACACTCCCTTACCCTCACCCACTGACTCACACACACACACACACACACACACACACATGCAAAGATGCTCACATGAGGAGGCTCACCACAAAAAAACACATCATCACAATAAAATAAATACATTAAATGTTAATAATTGAAAGGATCTTTTCAGTCATCAATTCAAACTTCTTAACCAGTGAAAGAGATGCTCTTGGTAGCATCCCCAGTAGTCAATCACTTAGTCACTTCTTAAATGGGGGAGACAACTACATCCTCAAGTTTCTTGATAGCCAGCCCTAATTGCCAGGAAGTTGTTTTTTGTATTGAGCTGAAATTGGATTTTTACCCTCATATCCTTTCGAACAACACAGAATGGATGAGCCTATACTTTCTTCCATATTGTCTTGACTTCCATGATATTGGACCTGATTTCATATATTACATTCTCTATAAAGCTGTCTCTTCCCCAGACTCGACATTCTCAGATGCTTCAATGGGTCTTTATGTGATAGTTTCCAGACCCTTTACTATCCTTCTCATCCACCTATTTGTCCTTCAGCTCATCAGTTTCTTAAAGTATGTCTTCCAGAACTGAAAATGAGAATTCTTAATGGGGTCTGACTAGCACAGAACAGAATGCAACTACCACCATCCCATAATCTGGACATTCTGGGTTTGTGGACATCGCCCAAGATGGTGTCAGGCCTTTCAGCAGCCACATCATCCTTTTTTTCTTTTTTCAAATCAGACCAAGCTTTTATTTTATTCATTTCTTGCATTTAAAATATTCTTCGATGACATCTTTGGCCTGAGATTCCTTGCCATAGTCCTTAACAACAATGCAACTGCAGCCAACCACTTTACGGGGCTTTCCCTCTCTGTCAGTTTTACAGAGGTCTACCCATTCGCCCAGCTTCTTGTTGTCATCAACCTTGATGAAGTTGATTTGGTGCTCAGCACACAGGGCCTCAACCAACTTTACATACATAGGTTCATCACAGTTGGAAGCAAGAACACAAAGATGGGCTTGGCGTTTGTCCAAGGCTTTGGCAGCTTCACGAATTCCACAAGCTAGGCCATCGTGGATGAGTGCGGTCTTCAGCCCTTCTTGTAGAGTGGTATTAACGTCCATTACACCTCCAGCAGCAATGCCTTCCTTAGCCGTGGCAGCGGTTCACGGGTGAAGCTAACTTTTGAAAACACCCGGGAGCCTCCACCTCCCACTCGACTCAGCAGCGACAGGGAAAGAGCCACGTCATCCTTTAGCTTGTTGAATTTGCCATTAACTAAGGACATGAAGTCTTTTTCATGGGCTTAGAATGAACTCCTGCCTTCCCACCACTTTTCCAGATCTTCCTTCAAGGAAAGAAGTCTACCTTGAAATACTAATCTTCCTATAAGCCTCAGCTCACATGCTGTCTCTTCCTGGAAGCCTTCCCTACACTTGCCACCCCCTAACAAGTTTGTGGTACTCTTTCCCTCTACAAATTGTGTGGGAGAATGGAATGAATACTGACTCTAGAATCAGTCTAGATCCTGGGTTCAAATCCTCTCTATGATGCTACATGTGTGATAGAGAGGTAGCATGGGGAAGAGAACATTTATTAAGCACCTACTATATACCAAGCACTGTGTTAAGTACTTTACACATATTATCTCACTTGATAATAACTCTGGGAGGCAGGCTTTTTTAAGATTGAGGAGCCTGAGACAGACAGGTTAAGTCACTTGCCCAGGATTACACAGTTAGTAAGCATGGCATAATGGATAGGGCACTGGACTTGGAGTCAGGAAAACCTGGATTTGAGTTCTGCCTCAGACTCTTACTAGCCAAATGACCTTGGGCGAGTCCCCTTAACTTCTCTGTGCCTCACTTTCCTTTTCTGTCAAAGGAGGGCATTGGACTGGATGACCTCTGAGATCTCTATAGCTGTCCAAAGACCTTATAGTTATTTATTTGTGTGTTTGTGATATCCCTCCCCAGTACGGTATCATAAAATCCTTTAAGGCAGGGGTGACTTTCATTTTATTTGTATTCTCAGCTCCAAGAAAAGTGTCTTTAAATAGTTAGGAGTTTAAGAAACATTTGGTTTTCAGTTTGCTGTGTGGTCTTGATGAGGATGGGTTCTAGACCCCAAAAAGGAAAAACCCTGGACTTTCCCCACATGACTAAATCTCTGGCTTCCCCTGAGGCTATAATCCCATCAACTGGCCTTTCATTTTGGCTAAACCCAATCTGTTACCCTTAACCTAGCCTAGACCTTCCTATGGCCTCCAGCCATTTCCCACCCTTAATCCTAGCTAGGCTCCATTCTCTCCAGGTCCCAGTTCTGTTCACCTCAGTTTACTGGCCACACCCATTCAGATCTTCCTTAGACCCCTCCTCCAGTCACCCCAAACTACTTGGCCACTCCTAGATCCCTCCCACTGTCTTTCTATATGTAAGGTCCATCTTGTCTCCATCAAGGTGCTTAGGTTCTTATAATCTAGCCATGGGCTGATTCTTAAAATTTAGCCAATAGTTCAGACTCCTTAAAAGTCTGCCGTATATGGTGAATGTTCTAATAAACCTTAGTCTTTGGCTGAAACAAGGCTTGGGTCGAATTCTTTCAGGCAGGACCTGTGTTGTGATATTGGGGTCCCAGCACCCTTGAACCCTTAAATCTCATCATTTTGGTGGCTCATACAGGGAAAGTACCTAACCCCAAGTTCTTCTCTAGCCAAGACAGGAAGGTATGCAAGCCTCCCCCTGCTCCCTTTCTTGCTCTGCAGTTGGCTTCACTCTCCAAGCACCAAGGCTTGTAGGTACTTTTCGGGCAGACAGTTAAGAGCTATCTAGCACTTGGCCTGATGGTCTCATACTCTCAGTCCTCTGGGTCAGTTCGATGCCATGGACCTGGGTACACCTTCCGTATCATAGAGGACAAGGACGGATGCCCTATCTGGGAGTGTATGCCCAATTCTGTCGGTTCTGGGTGCTAGATAGTTGGCTTAGCATCTTTGGGACTCAGTTTTCTCATTTATAAAATGAGGGGGTTAGACTAGACAACTTCAAAGAACAAGCAACTGCAGGTGCTTTTTTGGTTCCCTGAGGCTTACTTAGTCCCTTCCCTCTACACCCCTGAATTCTCCTTTATGGAGGTTACAGGGGAAAGTTTGAACAGCTAAAAATATCTTGGCAGATTCTGGAGGTTTTGTGCAGACTATTTAAGAGTTGGATGTTCTAGGGGGCAGCTAGGTGGCACAATGGATAGAGCACCAGCCCTGGATTCAGGAGGACCTGAGTTCAAATCCGACCTCAGACACCTGACACTTACTAGCTGTGTGACCCTGGGCAAGTCACTTAACTCCATTGCCTAGCAAAAAAAAAAAGAGTTGGATGTTCTAATAAACCCTGTCTTTGGCTGAAGGAAGGCTTGGGTCAAATTCTTTCAGGCAAGACCTATGTGTTGTGATATTGGGGTCCCGGCACCCCTGAACCTCTAAACTTCATCAGTCTGGGGAAAGCTGTTCCTTTGCCATCATCCTGGTCAATATAATTAAGACAAGTTGAGTCACATTGGCCCTATAAAATTAGTTTCAGCCTGAGATCATGATTGTCTTCTCCCAAGTACTTTTCCATATACACCTTCTATACCTTCATCCAAAGCTTCCATAAAAACAAACTGAGGGACAGACCCGAATCATATGAGTGCTCCCCAAAGGCATCCAGGTTTCTTTAGTTGACTTGGAGTCAGAATAGTCTTCAAATCCCAGCCCTGCTGGATAACATGAACCCTCTGGGCTTCATTTTCCTCATCTGGAAAAGGCCATTGTGAAGAAAGCCTCGTAAGGATTCAAACGCTATAGGAACATGATTTGTTATTCTGTAGAACCTCTCTCCTGTGCCTCCTTCCTTTCCCCTAGCCAAGGGGAAGATATGTCAGTCTTTCCTCAGATCTTTTAAAAATACCTGGTTTCAGGAGAATGTGGCCAAAATTTACTTCCTTATTAGGAAGGCTATGATGGGGTCACTCTCTCTCCAAGCACCACTTTGGTAACCAGCTCTTGTCATTCACAACTAATCCCAAAGAGCAAATCTCCAATTAACAAATGAAATATTTATAAAGCACTTAGTGCTTTATATTTATTAAGCATAGTGCTTAATAAATGCTCATCCCCTCCCTGCCCCTTCTCTCCTTCCTTCCCAAGAGCTGGAAAAGTCTGCAAGGCAAATTCAGGAGTTTATCAAATGCAAATAGTAGGTACTTGCTTAATGAATAAATGCATGAAGGAAGGAAGGAATAAATGAATGTGAAAGGAGTGCTGGGTTTAGAATAAGAAGGCCTGAGGCTGAAAGGGCCTGAGATTGGGCTGCCTACTTCTAGTACCTTATTTGGCCTCAGTTTCCTCATCTGTTCAATGAAGGGTGTGCAGGCTAGAAGTGGGCAAACTCAAAAATCCTTATCAGCTCCAACAGCCTTGCCTAATGGCGCTGTTCACTCTAAGTCTGTGTCCCTGTGCTCTTCTGCCCCAGCTCTCCTGATCCCAGGCTCCAGCATCTCCACCTGTGGCCTGGGCTTCTACTTCCTCTGCCATAACAAGAGATGCATCCCCCAGAGCCTGGTGTGTGACACTTGGGACATCGACAACTGCGGGGATGGCAGCGACCAGACATCCCACCCCCCTGCCAGCTGCAGAGGTCAGTAGTGGGCACAGGCCCCCTTAGCTCATGTTTGGGGTAGGGAAGGCTACAGTGGGAGGCAGGGCCTGGATGGGCCCAATCAGCTCCCATTTCTGTAGCACACTTTTTTCTGACAGCCCTATGATGTAGACAGAGCAGAGGAGGAAACTCAGGCCCCAAGAGATGGAGTAAAAGTGGATGCTCTAGAAAGGGGGATGACCCTGGAATCAGGACAGGAAATTGAATCTGGGATCTGCCATTTATCCATGACCATCTGACCCTGGACATGTGTTGGCCTCATCTCCTCTTTGAAATGAGAGCATTGGACTAGATCAGCTGTTCTCAAAGTGTGGTCCAGGGACCCCCCCGCCCGGGGTCTGGGGACCTTTTTAAGGGGGTCTCCTGGGTCACACAGTCACAAGGAAGAACTGCTGCTTTGATATGAGGGGCCAAAGTCTGAGGTCAAAGGTTGGCCCGAAGAGTCTCTGTGGGGTCTTCTCCCTCAGTGGTCTTGAATGACATTTTAGCACTTTAATGTTTACTAAGAGCTTTCCTCACAGCAGAACGAACTATCACCCCCATTGTCCAGAGGAGGAAACTGAGGCTCAGAGAATTGAATGATAAAGGTAAAGTCCTTGGTCACACAGGCAGTAAATGGAAAGAACATGGTTCAATCAGTAGTCCAGTGCAGGCACTGGACCTCACCACAACACGAACTCTCTACATATTATTGCCTTCTATTATTAAATTATCACCTTCTTGAGGGCAGGGACTGTCTAGCTTTTTGTAGCCCCAGCATCTAGCACAGGACCTGGCATGCAGTAAGCACTTAATAAAAGCTTCCCTCCTCCCCTATTCATTCATTTATTTAAAGGTAAGAGCTGGGATTCACACCCAAATCTTCTGACCTCTCCCCTCCCCCCAGGTTTCACTATAACACATTCCCTTTTCCCACCCTGCCCTAGCCCTCTCTGCCCCCCACCAATTGCATTTCCATAGTATTTTAAGGCTTACAGTGAATCAATTAATAAGCATTTATTACAGGCCTACTATATGCCAGGCCCGGTGCTGGATGATGGGGATAGAGAGCAAAAGTGAAAATCCCTGCCCTCAAGAAGCCTCCACTCTACCCAGAGGAGACTGTGCATACACAGATAGATAGTGCCACACAGATACTGGGTCATTTTTTATTTTTGAGGGGTGGGGTTAGGGGACTGGCAGCAGCTGGGGAGAAGCAGGAAGGGTCTCATGGGGGACAGAGCTTAAGCCGAGCTTTGAAGGAAATCAGGGACTGAAGAGGCAGAGGTGAGGAGGAAGGACATTCTAGGCCTGGGGTCCCCAAATGAATGAATATTGTTACTCCCTATATGGGGAAACTGAGGCCCAGGAGGGTGATATTATGTGAATGAGGTCACCAAGGTAATAAGTGACCTTGGACCTGGGAATTGAATTCTAGTCCTGACATTAAATCCCATGGCTTTTTCATTTCAGCTTAAGGCCTCCCCTTGCCTGGGAGTAACCAACCTCCACTATCCATCAGCTTTAGGGAAGGGGCAAGTGGGGAATGGACAAGATGGTTTCCAGAGGCCCCTTCTTACTGGAGGATTCTGGATGGGTGAAGTCCACCAATCTCATGCACTTTATTAAGCACTGACTGGGGCAAGACTCAGCTATCAAGGCTGGCCGAGGTGATAAAACGTTGACTTGTCCAGCCTTCTGGTCCCTCACAGTCTGGTGGCAGCTACAGGATGGGAACTGGGTAGAGAACCTAGTGTAGTTGCTCAGGCCATGTGGGGTAGCCACCTGGGAGCCCTGACTGTGCCATCTATTCCAGTTCAGTTATTTGTGCACTTGCTAAGCTTGCCTTCTCTGGGCCTCTGTTTCCACATCTGTAGGATATTGTCCCTGCCTCCTCTCCTAGGGGTATCTTGAAGGTCATGAAATAATGGATGGGGAATGACAAAGGGATGAGGTGGGAAGGGCTTCCTTAGAGGCACTGAGCTCCCTGTCATTGGAGGCTTCCAAGTGGAGGCCAGATAACTGCTTGTGTGCCATGTTGTAGAGGCAGGTCCTAATCAGCTACAGGTTAGACTGGGTGCCCTGAAGTCCTCTGCAGCTCTGAGATGCTGTGTTTCCAGCTGTGACCATGGCCAACCCAACGTCTCCTGTCTTCTGGATGACTCAAGGGACTCTGAACCCCAGCAGCAGAAGTGGTGGCAATGGTGAGCCCAAGAAGAGCTGGCCTGCCCTCCAGGACAGATCAGCCACAGGTAGCCAGACTTTTCTTGGTCTTTGCCCACCTTCTACCCAGTCCTTGGCCAGAGAAACCAAGGACCCCCCTGCTCACATTTGCTCCCATTTCCATAGAGCTGAGAGATTTGGAAGGGTTTCCCTACAATCACCCCAGCAAGTCAGATGAGCCTAGCTTGACAGATGAGGAACTCAACGTTGAGAGTTTAAGTGAAAATGGGGGATGGTGTGGTCAGGGGCTTCAGCCTGGCCTGAGGAGATGTTTCTCACTCTCTAGGGCAAAGGTCGCCAAGGACTCTACTGGCATCCTTGGTGCTGCTGGGCTCCGGGGGGGCCGTGGCAGGCCTACTTTGGTGGTGGTGCTGCTGCTGTCCAGGCTGGACCCTTGCCAGGACCAGGGCATCCAAACTGCTCCCCCGCTACAGTTCCATCTATACCACCTGCTGCCCCTTAGGTCTGCCTGGCTGCCTCTGCTCAGGCCGGGTCACCCCTCAGGGGGTGGCAGCTGAGCAGGTTGGCCAAGCTGGGGGGCAGGGGCCCACTACCAGGGCTCTCCCTACAGCTCTGGCCTCGGGGGGGATCTACCTAAAGCCCTCAGATTTTCCCACACACAATCAAATGTTGTGAGTTCTGTCTCAAGATGTTGCTGTTACCAATCCTCTGTCCCATCATCATTATCATTATCAAATGGCTAGCATTTATATAGCCCTTTTAGGTCTGCAAAGTGCTTTACATAGGTTAATTCATTTGAACTCAGCTTTTCCCACTGGATGGATAGCTTGAGCCCTGGATAGAAAAGCAGGCACCTGACTGGGGGTAGCACCTTTTATTGAAGGAAGACAAAGACCACAGGAGGAGCCTCCCTCCCCTTTCCCACCCTCACTGTAGGCCAGGGACCTGGTCTGATCATCCCTCAGGCCTGCATTGCCTGAGGGCACTCAACAGGAAGGACCCCAGATAGGTTTGTGGGGTGCCAGGCCCCAGAGGTGGAGGGAAGACTGGAAGAGAGAAGATCTTGGCTTCATTTCTTCATGTCTAACTAGGACAAGAGGAGACTTTGTCCCCATGCTAGGCCTCCTAAACTCCCCCTTAGATCTGATGTGGGGGTTGAGGGGAACTGAAGCCCAGGTCCAAGTTCTCTCACCTCCTTCCCACCAACCTCAAGCTCTTGGCACTCCCCACCCCCACCCCCAGCTAGTGCCCTGATGTCTCCTAATTCACCTCCTCCTCCCTGTGCACTGTCCGCCTCCCCCTATAGCAACGACTGATGGTCGACCTCAGCCCCCCATCCTCCCACTAACCCCAAGCAGACTGATCCTGGGGAGCCCAGCCATCTCTCAGCTGGCCGTGGATGCCAGCACTGAAGCCTTAAGAGATGTTCCCTTTTCTGAGCTTTGCCTTGAACCAATCCTTTTTTGAGCTGGGTGTGTAGACAGCCCACCATCCAGATGTGTTTCTCTGATGACACGGAGAGAAGATTGGTGGGCTCGGTGTGAGCTGTAGGAACTCATGGGTTGGAGGCCATATGGGGGTCTGCGGAACAACAGTCCAATTCAGTGGAGACCGGAGTGTGGGGCCAGAATGGGCCTGTGGTGGGCTGGCACCGTTCCCCTCAAAGCTTCCTCCTTGTCCCCTAGACTAAATTCCTTGAGGACAGGGAGCCCTCAGCATTTAGCACAATGCCTTGCACATAGTAGGTGCTTTATCAATGTTTTGAGTTTGGGGGAAAGAGGCATGGTAATGATGATGGGGGTGTGGAGAACATGGCAGGCTGGTACTGGGGAAGGCACGGAGGTGGGCAAGAGAATCTGCCAAGCTAGGGAGATGAGTCAACTTTGGCCACATAGTTGGCAGAAAGGGGCATGAGGTCACCTGTTTCTCTCTGCCCAGAGTGGGGGAATGAGAAGGTCTCAAAGCCAGCCAGCGGTTCCAAGGAGAAGAGGGAAACCTTCAGCAGTAGGGGGTGGAGTATGTGGAAGGGAAGGAAAGCTGAGGGAGAGGGCATACCCTTGTTTGCCCAGCTGGAGATTTGGGGGTCTTCTCTCCCCAGTGCCCCAGGTGAGAGAGGCAGCGTGAGTTTCCTGCAGAAAGCAGGGCAGACAGGAGAAGGGTCCTGGCACCAGACCTTGCCTGGGCATCTCATGGCCATCTGATTCTGGCATTGCACAGGACCTGGCTAGTATGGGTCGTACTGTGCCCAGCCTGAAATTCCAAGGATTCTACTAGCTTTTCTGGTGCACATTGGTATCTCACAGTGCCCATCCCTGCCCCACCTCACCCTGTGGCTTTGTCCCCCGCCAACCCACGGGGCAGGGTCAGCCCAGCCCCAAGGCGGGTAGCAGCAAAGCATGATGGTTGCCTTTGTTTCTTACAAAATAATAATAATAATAATAATAATAATAATAATATAATCATCAATATTGTCCTATCCAGGGGCATGTGGCCCAGGAGTCTGCATAGGCGCCTAGGAAGGGCAGGGGCGGGTGTTGGCACCGGCTTGGACATGGTGCTGCAGGTCCAGGGGCTGAGGAGGAGGACCACCAGGGCTGGCACAGTGCAGCACCAGGTTCTTGATGCAGCCTGTGATGCCCGCATCAAACCTGCCCGCAGTGAGTGTTGCTGCATCTGGAGCCCCACCTGTCAGGGAGGGAAGGCTCATCAGCATGGTGGGTATACCAGACCTTCCCGCCTGCTCACTCCCATCCAAGAGCCTGGAACCTGGCCTATGGCCTCTGCCAATGAGGAGTACGGGGTCATGGCATAATCATAAACTTAGAACTGGAGGGACCTTGCAGGCCTTCCTTGTCTAATCCCTTCATTTTACTCATGAAGAAATAGTAAAGGGATTTGTCCTAGGTCACAGGGCTACTAAAGGCCTAGATGAGATTTGAACTCAGCTCTCCCTGACGCCAAGACATCTGGCTCTAAACACAGTGCTCTTTCTCCTGTGCTGTCACTGAACTGTGAACCAGCTGCCCCAAAGACAGTTCTTTCGGTCTTCCTCTCCATTAGGCTATCCTGTCCCTTCCCCATGGGCTCAGGGCTCTTTGAACAGATAACAACAGTCATAATATTGGTTGCTCTTTAATAAAGAACGCTCCCTCCACACCTATGATGTAGATCACACAAGGTTTTTAGTCCCATTTTATAGAAGAGGAAGCTGAGTCTCATATAAGTTAAATGACTTGCCTAGTTGGTAAGAGTTGGCCTCGAGTTGGGTCTCCCTAACTCCTCCATTCCTCTTTCCCATTCCACCCAGCAACCTGCCACTTGATGACCCTTGGGGGACAGGGAGAAGGGTATGTCTTACCAACGTAGATGCTGCCTTTGGTGTTGACTGCCACGTTGGGTCCTGGAGATTGGCCACTCACCAGCTCCTCTCCATCTACCTGGATGGATCCACTTCTGCCCTCTCTGTAGGGATAATGGGATCAGCCTCTACTTGTCTTTCCTGGGTTATCCCTGGGGAGTTCCCCAGGGTCAACCTCTGCCCCACTCCATTCTCCAAAGGCCACACTCGCCCTTCTTTGTGGAATCTCCAATCTTCCCAAGGATCAGCCCTCCCCAGCACCAGTGCCTCTGGGGTGAGGAAGCAAAATATAGAGACCCAAGGAAACTCAGATATGACAGGCAGTCACCATTTTGCTTGTGGTCCCTCCCAGAGACAGGCCAAATGCCAGGCTTCCCCTTCCTTCCCTTCCCCCATGCCTGGCACCCTACCTAAGGGCTGTCACTTTGTGCCATTCGCCGTCATTGATGGGATCGTCAGAGATGATGTGGGTCTCACCGCTGCCCAGCTGGTAACTGCACACAGAGCCCCGAGGGGGCATGAGAGTCAGCCAGAAGATCTGAGGAATCTGCTGCCTCCCCTGGGAGACCCTGATCTCTCTTTGGGAGAACCCCAGAAGGGCTGGGCTGGGGGAGAGGGGCCAGAGGAAGAAGGGAAGGGGGGCAGGGAGACAGGCATGGCTCATGTACTGAAGAGAGGTAACTGACATTCAGGGAGATGGGGAACTCACCTGAAGACAAGATGCCCATCTTGTAGCCCCAGGCTGACGAAGTCCTTGCCTTCCTCTTTGGCCTCCTGCCAGGGAAACCCACGGCTGCTCTGGAGGACTGGAGGTCCCTTGCCAGGCCACACTATCCTCCCTCCCACCCATCCATTACAGCCCAGCTCAAACACCACCTCCTCCAGGAAACTTTCCCCATCCCCTGTGTTGGTAATGCCCTTTCACAGGATCAGATTTAGACTTGGATGGGACCTTGACAACCAGATCAGCCAACCCTCCCCTATTGTAGAAGAGGTGACTGAAGATCAAAGGAGATTGAGTAACTTGCCCAGCCTCCCCCAGATAGTAATCAAAGGTAGGATCTGAACCCAGGTCTTTCCAAAAATGCACAGTCCAGCACTGTCTTCTCCATGATACTAGTTCTCTCCTCTTAGACCTCAGAGCGCTCTGTACCACCCTGTTCTCTGCATATGGGATATCCCCTATCCCACTCCCCTGCCCAGTGCCTAAGCCTACTGCTCTGTATACCAAAAGTGCTTAATAAATGCTTTGAAGTTGAACTGAATTATCATATCTCCATACTAGAGTCTAAGTCCAATGCACACAGGGCTTTCCTCCCCAAGTCTGGCACAACGCTCTGTACATAGCAAATGTGTAATACGTGCTTCATTGAATTGAATTGCCAGAAGTTTCATAAAAAGTTCACAGCAAGGTGAGAAGAGGCTGAGGTTCCAGACTGCCAGAGTCCCTGTTCTTTCTCCTCCCCACAGCTGCCTCCCTCAGTCCTGAGCTCCCCCCCAGCCCTGCTCACCACGCCCTGCCAGAGCAGGAGGCCATTAGGAGTGTTGGTCCGGACCTCCAACTCGATGGTCTCTGGAACATCAGGGAGGCTGGACAAGGAGGAGAAAGGCTCGTTGGCTTTGGAGACAGAAGGCCCCCTAGAGACCTTCTAGGCCAACCCCTTTGTTTTACGGATGAGGAAACTAAGAGCTGAGCCTAAGTCTTCAGACTCAAAGTCTAGTCCACTGCCAGTGTGGCCTGAACCAGATGAAAACATAATGGAGAAATATTTAACAAAGTCAAATACATCAGGAGATAGCTAAGGTAAATGTGGGGTGTTTGGAGTCAATATGCACCTGCAGGGATGCCCATGCACTTGACGCCCCGTGCTACGCCCGACTACCCCACACTGCCAAGGCAACGAGACTGAGGGGACCCCATCCACGCCCCTTTTACGTCACTTCTGGTCTCCTCTGATGCACTTTCTCCTCCCAGAGATGCCACATAGTAACAAAGACAGAGACAATACCAAGAGTAGCCTCCACCCCTTCCACAGAGCTCAAAATTTGCAAAGTGAGATTTTCTCCCAAGACCCTGTATGTGTAATGTTGGGTGGGGGTGTGAAGAGGCCTTACCCCCGAGGGAACACACGGCTTGGGAATGACAGGTAACCACCATCATGGAAATAGGCTCCATACTGTCCGGGAGCATCTTGGGAAGGAAAAAGGGAATGAATGAATGAATGGATGGATGAAATGAAAAAAAGTAATGCAAGAATCGAAGGATCATCCTATGCCACTTTTATTTCTCTAGACTCCCTGTCTCACCTCCAAGGGCTCTGGGCCCATGGTTAGGGGAAGAGATTCACCCACAACTTCTGTTATCCTTCCTATGGCTAAACTGCCTCAGGTCAACCATTCCTGCCCTGGTCTGTCCAGGCATATGCAGACCCACCCACTCGGTACATACAATCTGTCTCTAAACTTCGTAAGCTACCTTCCCTTTGTCACCCCCAGCCTAGATCCAAGGATCCACAGGGCTCTGTACACAAGGGTTTGGCTAAATGTCTGGCGAATTGAATCATTTGTACCTGAGAGATGCACCTACTCAACAGTCTGTGCCCATCCTCTTGCTAGTCTAGACTGTAAGCTCCATGAGGGCAGAGACTATTTCTTAGCTAAGCTCCATGTTTCTCTGACAGATTTTGAATTGAACTGAACTGAATTGTCTGTGCCCAGGCAGATCTGCCTACTCAACTGGCTATTCCTGAGACCAGGGCAAGAACTAAGGGTGAGAAATGTTTGGAGGAAAGGGACAGAAAAGCCCAGGAAGAGTGGATGGAGGGAACCGGCTGTTCTCTCCCTTGTCCCAGGGCAGCTCAGGTTGGTTGTACTGTGGGGATACGCACCATTGCCTCCACTGCCCTCTAGGTGCCAGTCAGCTTCAGGAGGACCTCGGCCTGTGGGGAAGGGGGCAGGTCCTGGTCATCAGTCAGGCACTCGGCGTTTGTCCACGCTGAGCCTAGACTGGGGGCCCAAAGCCACAAAGGCTCTCCGAATGCTGGAGCTAGAACAGACTTTAGACTACTCTGGTCCAGCTCTCCCACTTTCAGAAGTGAAAACCAAGGCCCAGAGAGGGACGGTGCCTTCTTAAGATCCCATAGCTATGCCAGTTCTCAGACCCAGGTTTTCTGATCCCCCTGTGTAGCATTCTGTCTGTTGTGGCAATCTTAGCTAATGGGCCAAGGGCAGAAGAAGGGCCTGGGCAGGGGGCAAGGGGAAGGAAGGGTGGGTTACTTTTTTGACATCGAGGACCAGTGAATCCAGGTGGGCAGAGGCAACGAGCACCCTGGCAGGTACCTCCATGAAGGCAGGGCTCTGGCAGTAGGCAAGGATTCTCTGCATGTTCACAGTGGTCTCCTGAGGGGGAAAGGGCACTGATTGGCATTCGGCATCATAGTACTCATTTTTTAAGTGATTTGCAGTATGCAAAGAAGAGGAGTACAAGCAGTGTTATTACTATTTCACACAAGGGGCATCTGGGGCTCAGAGAGGCTGTTATTTGCCCACATCCACTCAGAGTCAAGAGTCAGACCCTAAATCCAAATGGGCTTGAATCTTGGCTTTTTAAGTGTCTGGGTGACATTGGGCAAGCGTCTCATCTGGAGGGAGAGGGAGCCTGAGCAAATGGCCCCACACCTTTTCTAGGTCTAAATCCTTTTATCTTAAAAGTATCCAAGCTGGGACTTGAACCGGGGTCTTCTGGCTTCATGTACATGCTTCCTTTCCCTTCAGCACACCAGCTCTGGGTCATGGGGTTTTCAGGGAGTACCCACCCACCCACCTCCCTTTCCTTTCCCTCCCAGCGAGAGACCACCTGCAGGAAACACCCACTGCCTCCCTTTCTTCTCTCTGCCCCATCTCCCCCCCGCCCAAGAAGACCCTTCCCATGGGGCACTCATTCACCTTTGAAACCATCACGGCACAGGCACTGGAACTCATACTCGCCGGCTGGCATGCAGGTGGCACCATTCTGGCAGGGCTGGCGCTCACAAGGAGAACTATCATAGCACTGGCCTACACCATGGCTGCCCAGGAAGCTGTAGGTCATGTCCAACCGCTTCCCATTGACTGACACCTGGGGCCAAAGAAGGCAGAAGCAAATGTTTGGGTTACTGGAGACAAGGAGAAGAGTGGAGGACCCCTGAAGGCCAGAGATGTGCTCACTGGCCCAGGGCCTGACGGCCTGACCTTATCTCCTTTGGCCTGGTGGGCTGGAGGCTGGAGTTCCAGGGAGATGCTCTCCTTTTCCTATATCTCCACTTTTGCCCAGAATCCTGACTAGATTTGAGGCAGGTTAAGGAGTCAGGGGGCAAGCAAGGAAGAGATAATCCCTGCCTTTGAAGGGACAGATCTCAGTGTGATGCAGAAGACACAGTCCTTGCCCAGAACTTTTATTACTGAATCTGTCCCTTCTATTTGGCTTCTAAAGCCTCTCACAATTTGACCCCAACCTACATCCTCAACTCTCCTCCCCTTCCTACATTCTCTGGTCTGTCCACACTGGCCTTCTTGCTGCTGCTCCTCCCAGCCCTTTCCCATCTTGAAGCTTTTGCTCCAGCTGGGCTCCCTGCCTGGAGTGCACTCCCTCCTCACCTTGCAAACCTGTGCTTCCTTTAAGACTCAGCGCAAGTATCACCTCCTCCGTGAAGCTCTCCCTGATCTCCAGCTGCTAGGGTCTGCCCTCTCTAATTACCGACCAATGATTTTGTATGTACTGAGATTTATCCATGCGTCCATCCTCCAACCATCACCCCCTCAAGTGTATACACACTCCTTAAAGGTAAAGACTGTTTTAATCCTTCTGTCTTTCTATTCCCAGTGCCCAGCACACATAAATACTTATTTATTCACTGATTAACAACAATGGCAACTCCCATTTTCATAGCACTTCAGAGTTAACAAAGCTCTTTTACTACAACAGCCCTATGAAGGAGACACTGTTATCATTGTCGGTCCCATTTTACAGATGAGAAAACTGAGGCTCAGAACCCTGTAAAATAATAAAGTCGTATTGTAGAACAGGTTGTAGCCTGCTAGCACTGGACTTGGGAGTCAGGAAGACCTAAGTTTAAATATTGCTTCAGACACCTGCTTGCTGTTTGACCCTGGGCAAGTCACTTAAATCTTTGGCCTCAGTTTCCTCATCTGTGAAATGGGAATAATAATAAACCCTGTATCACAGGCTTACTCTAAGGTTCAAAGCACATAAAATGCTTTGAAAATCTTACAGTAGCATAGAAATGTTGGCAGCTATTTTTTTTTATTTAAAATTTAAAAAAAAAATTTTGGGGGGCAGCTATTATTATCAGAGAGTACCAGTGACTCTGTTTTACAGATGGGGAAACTGCCTCTTAGAGCTTAAGAATCACAATGATGAGGACACAAGACCTGGAGATTATAACAGTAATAACAACAGTGATAATAACAATGGTGACTGTAACAGCTGGCCTTTAAATCCTGCTCTGAAGTTGGCAAGGCAATGCGAACAGATGATCTCATTGAGAATCGCAGTAACTTTGTGCCAAAGGGTGTTGCAAGTGTAATTATTTCCATCTTACAGAGGAGAAACGAAGTGACTTGCCCATTGTTACACAGCTCGGCAGAGCCAAGAAGGGACAGCACGTTGGGGCTCAAGAATGGCAGAAGGCAGAAGGCCAGGGCTGGGAGTGGGAAGGCTCACCTCGCCGATACAGCCGTGGAAGTGGGCACTGACATTGACAGCAGGTGGCATGGCCACCGAAGGCTCCACGCCACCCAGGTAGAGGAGAGTGTGCAGATTGAGCCCTTGGCTTTTGCCAGGGGAGGATCGCTGCACTGGGCGCCCACCGTTTACTCGGAGGCTGCCATCTTTATTGAGCCGCTCTGCAGACACACGGTGCCAGCGGCCGAGGGTCAAGGGTTGGGTGCTCCGGAGCACTGCTGTCCCTGTAATGTACATCAGGAAAAGGCAGGCTTAGTTCTGGTCTGGTTCTTGGGCAAAGGGCCCACTAAGACCATATTCTAGCACTACAGCTTGGCAGCCCCCTAGCATTTCAGACTGGTACTCAGTTTGGCACAGGAAAGTTTCTCTGGAGCAGTCATTTCAGCAGCCCATGTCATGGCAGGGCATGCCCATTCATTAGCCCAGTTTAGGGAACCAAGACTGGCACCCAGATCCGGTCACCTATCAGAGGTAGCAGGGACTTAGATGCCCATCTCCCTGTCATTCAGTGCCCAAGGTGAGTGCCTGGTCCATGATCTCCACCACCCCATACCCACATGGCACTCACCTGAACCCAGCTCATAGCGGAATTCCAGGTGCCCACCAGCCATTGCCAAGGACACAAAGTCTTCAACAGGTGCGCCCTTCCCACCACTAAAGAGCAGGAGTCCCTCAGGAGCCAGCGGCTTGAACTCAAGGTCCAGGCGTAGTTCGTGGTGGGTGTTGGTGAGGGCAGGTAATGCCAGGTATGAACCGGCACCTGACAGGGCTGGTGTAGTCACTGTCACCCCTGGAGCAACAATGAACAACTTCAGCAAAGTTGTAGAACATAAAATAAACCCCCAGACATCATCAGCATTTCTTATATTACCAACGAAACTCAGCAGGAAGAGATAGAAAGAGAAATTCCATTTTAAACAACTACAGACAGTATAAAATAATAACCTGCCAAGACACACAGGAACTATATGAACACAATTACAAAGTATTCTTCACAAAAATGAAAATAGATCTAAATAATCAGAAAAATATTAATGGCACATGGATAGGCCGAGCCAATATAATAAAAATGACCATACTACCGAAATTAATTTACTTATTCAGTGCCATACTAATCAAACTACCAAAAAACTACTTTATAGAGCTACAAAAAATAATAACAAAACATCTGGAGGAACAAAAGTTCAAAAATAGCAAGGGAATCAATGAAAAAAAATGAGAAGGAAGGGAACCTAGTAGCATCAGATTTCAAACTATACTACAAAGCTGTAATTATCAAAGCAATTTGATCGTAGGTAAGAAATAGAGAGGTTGGCAGTGAAAAAGATTAGGTATACAATAAACAGAAGCAAACGAGCACAGTAACCTGTGTTTGATAATCCCAAATATCCAAGCTTTTGGGCAAGAACTCAGCTCAATTCAACAAAAAAATGTTGGGAAATCTGGAAAGCAGTCTTTCAGAAAATAGGCACAGACCAACACCTCCCACCATACACCAAGATAAGCTCAAAATGAGTGCACAATTTAAACATTAAGAGGGAATGGCCTAAATAAATTACTGGAGCAGAGAAGAAATTACCTGTCAGATCTATGGATTCATGACTAAACAAAAGATAGAGAGGATCACAAAGGACAAAATTTATAATTTTGATTAAGTAAAATTTTAAAGTTTTTGAACAAATAAAACTAATGCAACTAAAATGAGAAGAAAAGTAAGAAAAGGGAAAACTGCAGCAAATTTCTCTGATAAAGGTCTCATTTCTAAAATATATGAGGAACTAAGTCAAATCTATAAGAATAAGCTCCATTCCACAACTGATAAATGGTCAAAGGATATGAATTAGGCAGTTTTCAGAAGAAGAAATCCAAGGTTTGAATAACTATATGAAAAAATGTTCCCAATCACTACTTATTAGAGAAATATAAGTTAAAACTCTCAGGTACCATCTCATGCCCATTAGATTGACTAAGATGACAAAAAAGGAAAATGACAAACGCTGGAAAGGATGTGGGAAAATAGATACACTACCTATACATACCACTACTAAGTCTGTATCCCAAAGAGATTAAAGAAAAAGGAAGAGGACCCATATTTAAAAAAAATTATAGCAGCTCTTTTTGTGGTGGCAAAGAATTGGAAACAGAAGAGATACTCATCAATTGGGGAATGGCTAAACAAGTTGTGGTATATGAATGCAACAGAATACCATTGTGCTATAGGAAACAGGGGATGGTGTCAGAGAAACCTGGGAAGATTTGTATGAACTGATACAGAGGGAAGTGAGCAGAGCCAGGAGAACAGTTTATACAGTAACTACCATAATATAAAGATTGAAGGGATTTAGTAACTCTTATCAATACAATGACCAACCCCAACCCCAAAGGACTCATGATATAAAATGTAATCCACTTCCAGATAGAGAATGATGGACGCAGTGTAGATTGAAGCACATTTTTTCTTCTTTCCTTTTTGTGAACATGGCTAATATGAGAATTTGTTTTCCATGATTATGTATTTGTAATTTTTTTCCATTTGTTTTTTCAGTGGGGGGAGGAAAGGAAGATGGGAGGGAGAGAATATGGAATTGAAACAAAATTAAATTAAAAAAAGTCTATGTGCATTAAAAAAAATTTTTAAGGTCTCCTGATTAGCACACATGTTCCCTTTCTTTCTTCCTCTGTCTCTGCCTCTGCCTCTTTTCCCCCTCTCTCTCCCTGTCCCTTGTCCCCATTTTGTGATGAGGGCTGGCATCACTTACCTTCCATGCACTTCTCCCCAAAGCGGCCCAAGTGACAGCGGCAAGAGTACCCCTGGCCATCTGGGCGGTTCACACAGGTGGCATCAGGTCCACAGGCCTCTGGAGAGGAAGAAAGGAGAGGGCAGGTGAGGGTTAAGAATGGGAAGGGGGAGGGAGAAAATGGCTGGGCATCGTCTGGGCCAAGAAAACCTCCACTCTTTCTATGCATTGGGAGAGGGGAGGACACGGAGGCAGTTGGTCCCAGGGTGTCACATAGCGGCAGGGATCGAGGATGTAGCAGGTGGTAGAAATTGGAGGTGATATTGGTATGTATTGGAGGAAAGGGGATTGGGTGACAGAGTCCTAATAAATATTTGTTGAATTCACAGCCCTGAGATTTGGAGCTAGAAGCAGGTGTATGCTGGTAATCATTTAACGCCTGGCTCTGCAGAAAAAAAGTGTACATGACACACATTTAACTTTAATCTATATTATTAACACTTTCTCCATCACTTTCTGAAGTCTAGACAATCAACAAAGATATAAATCAAGTCCTGATTTGAAGCCTTTGCCGACTCCTGATGTGTAAATGCTTAAGTGGAACATTTAATATCTGGCTCTCAGGAGCCAGTTCAAGCTAGCTCCAGCACACCCTTGGCTAGAAGGGCCTTTAAAGGTGGTCATCAAGTGCACTTTCTCTCATTTTCCAGTAGAAGAAAGGATAAAATGAGACAATTTATAATGAGCTTTGCCAAGGTTAGTGTCATATAAATGTTAGTGATTATTTCTTCTTCATCTTCTTGTTAAACCCCTTGCTCTTCCCACTGTACAGGCTGCCTCCCTTGTATCAGACTGATTGGTGGGTGCCAGGTACCTGGGTGACAATGTAAGGCCTGCGAGTGTTCACAGCGGCTCCCGGTGAAGCCGGAGGGACAGGAACACACGTAGCTGCTGCTCTCAGAATCCTGGCAGAACCCCCCATTCTGCAATGCAGATCCCATAGGTCAGGCCTCCAATGCCCCTGATCCCCTGGCCCCTGCACGGAAGGGAAAATGGAGGCCCTCCCTCCTCCTGGGGTCCCCTGGTGCCAAGGTCCCTAGGTCCTGGGGCGCTCCCTCCTCCTGGGGTCCCCTGGTGCCAAGGCCCTGGGGTCCTGGTTTCTATCCCTGGGCTCATTAGAGGCAGGAGAAGGCTTTTAGAAGAGCAAGAGGAAGGGGCAGGGAGGGTGGGAAAAGGTGACAGAGGAAAGGGCCTGGAGGCAGGAGTTGGCCTGTCCAGGCATGGACCAGCTGAAGGAGCTAATTAGGGCTACCAGTAAAAGGGTACTATAGGTACCCCCGGGGTCAGGAGAAGGGAAGGGAGGGGATGACCTCACCTGGCAGGGCCTGTCCTTGCAAGTGGGGCAGTGGGAGATGCCGTGGGCCGTGAGGTTGAGATCCTGGAAAATCACTTCTTCACCCTGGATCCGAAGCTCCCGCACGCAGCCTGAGGAGGCAACAGATGCTGGGCCTGGGGCAGGGCACCTGCCTCTGCCTAACCCCAGGAAGATTCCCTATGCCACCAACATACCCAGCCGCATTCACGTATACTGGGAGCTCCTCCCTCTGCTGGGGCAGAGCTGAGTAAAAGAACTTTCTTGGGCAGGCAGCTTGGGGAATATCAGAGGTCTGGGATGTGGGGAGGGAAGGAGAGTCATACCTATAAAGCCGCTGCTTAGACCAGACTTGGGGATGGCACCATAGTCTGGGTAGCCGCCCAGGTAGAGCTCCTCATTCAGGTCCAGGCCTTGGAATTTGCCCTGGAAGGTGAGGGAAGGGACCAATGAGTTGAGGGGAGGTAGTGGGAAGCCTGATCCCTGGGGACACCCTTAGACCCTCCTCTGGATGCTCCTGGCCTCTGCCCAGTTCTGGGCCCTCACCCGCATCAGGAGATGGGACAAGGCCCTTTGCCCACTGTGTCCCCTTTTGATGCTAGAACATGCCCCAGGGCAGCAAGGATGTGAAAGAGAACTGTGCCTCTACCCCAAACTGGGGCAGACCTGGCAAGAGCCTTTGGAAGGCCTAAGAAGAGCTGAAGGGTATGGGGGCAGTGTCTGGATCTTCCTCCCTCACACCAAGTGCTCCCAGAGGACAGAGACTGTGGTCTCTCCCATCAACCTGGGGACTCCCTGAGGGCAGAGCCTGTTTCTCCCTTCTCACACTGGGAGCTCCTGAGGGCATGCACCGTGAGGTTCTGAGACATCACACAGAAAAGGAAGGTGTCAGGGGAGAAGTGCTCAGAGCCTCACCTGGGATGTCCCATTGACAGGGGACAGGTTGCCCACAATCAGGGTACCCTGGGTCAGGTTACGAAGCAGGGTCACTGTGTGGAACTGGCCCAGTGCCAAGGGGGTGGGGTGGCGGATGGTGGCCATGCCAGACCCAGCGTCAAACCTGCTCAGGTCAAGAGGTTAGTGACAAGGGAGATTGGGATCAGGAACTGTGGGGAAGGGTGTGAGACCATGGGAAAAAGGGCAGTCCAGGACTCTCCTAAGCTCTGCCAGGAGACCCTAGGAGCTACAAGTAAACTGGAGGAGTTCTGGATCCTACTCCAGACCCAGTCCATCCATGCACAAGGCAGGTAGATCTGTCCTCCATCCCTCCATCCCAGATGCACTGACAGCTGTCCCAGGTCTTTCTCACCAGGCCTGTGCTTCTTGCTTAAATATGGACTCAGTTCTGCTTACTCTGGGAAGCCTTCCCAGACTAAATCCATGTAGTTCTGCTCAAACTGCTCAAACAACCATTCCCGACTCTCCAACATAAGGGGAGTCCTTCATACGTAGCCTGTCTCCCTGCCCCTTCCAAATACTGGGGACTCCCTGCAGGCTGAGACTGTGTCTACTCCGTAAGACCAGAGTGTCTTCAAGAGTAGACTCATGATTTGTCACCCAGGCTGCCTGACCATGCCATGGCCCTGCCTCCAACCTGTTCAGGATTCCGAGAGAAAGCAGGAGTGTGGGGAGAGAAGGGCATCTCACCGGAATTCTGGCCTCCCGCCCACCAGGCCAAAAGAGATGAAGTCAGGCTGCCTGGCTGCCAGATTCACAGGGCTCCCAGGCCCTGGGATCTGCTTCTGTCCATTGTAAATCAGCATGCCTGTGGGGGACAACCACGTCAGGAGCTCCCTGTCTGGCATCTGCCTCCCTCTGTCCCCTCCTGCCACGCTACTGCTCAAACCAGGCTGGTCTATCCCTACTCAGCTTCCCAATCCCATCTCAGTCCTTGGCTCTTTCTGAGACAGAAATCTGGCCTGTTACATCCCCCTCCCCCTTTCCCCTGGGAGAGCCTCCAGATTAGAGGGAACCCGCTAAAATGTGACAGAGAGGGAGAACTCATGCCTGTCCCCACAGAGCGATCAGTTAAATGAAGAAATTCCCAAAGGGTGTGTGTGGAAGGCAGAGGACTTACCGGAATAAAGGAGGAGGGCTGGACAGGGAAGACCGAAGACAGGCAGAAACAGGAAAAAGTGGAGAGAGGCAGGAGGCATGGGCCAGAATTGGGAGAGGAGGGAGAGATAAGGAGAAGGGGGGAAAGGGAGGAAGAGGGAGGGCCTCAGGAAGAAGGGGGGATGGAGCAGATAAATAGGACAGAGAGGAACGAAGAACAGATGATGTTGGAGAATCCCAGGAGGGGAGGCGCCATGGAGAGAGAAGAGGAAGAGATGAAGAATGAATGAATGAGAGGAGAGAGGAGGAAGAAGAGAGAGAAAGACAAGACACTAGCTGGTCTGTATGTGCTCTGAGATAGATAAAGAGAGGGGCAGAGAAATGGCCTGAAGACCTGGGGGGGCTCAGCCGATGGGAGAGGATGATGTAATGGGAAGTGTTCTACAGTGAGTCAGGTCTTCAGCCAGGCCTCCATCCCCAAGTCTGAGAGAGGGACCCCGCCCCACTGGTGATCACCCATCCTCTTACCATCCGCAGCATCAGGCCTGAAATTGATTCGGATTTCAAACTTTCTGTAGGCATCCTTGATGGTAGGCAGAGGCAGGAAAGAGTGTGGGGTCTGGGTGAAGTAAGGGACCACCCTCTCTGTGGACAAGGCATGGTGGTCAGAGGGCATAACTCACTAGACATGGCAGGGGAGAGTTGGAGGCTGGCATCAGGGCCGTCTCACCTGGTACCTGGAGGCGGGCAAAAGCTTTCACTTTGCCCTGGCGGTTGGTAGCAGTACAGATGTAGGTGCCAGCATCTTGAGGCCGGACGGAGGGCAGAGTCAGCACATTGTTCTCCTGATGACTGTCTGGGGGAAGGTCTCCCTCCAGCTGAAACAAAATATAGCCACTTATACTCAGCTCCAGCCCCTTTATCAGCTGCCTGGTGCTCTGGCTCCAAGGCCTGGTACCACACATGAGGATCTTTGACTTTCTACCATAGCTTGTTCATTCTCTCCGAGAAGCCCTTCCTTTTATCCCTGGGTCCCGTGATGCAGTGTAGTGAGAGCTGAATTTGGAGTCAGGGAACCCAGGTTCAAGGTCCGGCTCTGATACTCCTTAGCAGGGGGCCATGAGTGAACCTCATCCCTCCCAAAGCCTCAGTTTCCCCTTCTGTAAAATGAAAGGTTTGGAGGAGGAGATGATTTTTAAGGTTTCCCCCCAGATCTCAGAAGTGGATCCTGCATCCAATCACCAGCATCAGTCACAACGAGGGGATGGGGGGGAGGGGAGGAGAGGATTAGAGCGCCAAGAGAGTCCGTGCCCAGGAAATCAGCCTTGAATCAGGGAAAATACACTATAAAGGGGATGGCAAGACTGCAGAATGTTAGACCTGGAAACAACCTTAAGTCAGTTAGTCCAATTCTCTCCACTTTACAGAAAAAGAAACTGAGGCCCTGAGAGATTACATGGCTTGCCAATGGTTACATAGTGAGTAAATGTCTGAGGTAGGATTTGAACCCACATCTTTCAATGATGTCTCATTTCTCTTGAGAAGGTTCTTTCATGTCTTTAGGTTTCCTCTCATCCTCTGGTTTGACCCCATCTTTAGTCTTTCTTACTCTCCAGTGACCTTCACATTTCCCTCTCTTCCCACACAGGTCCCTACCTTGGTCCAGGTGATGTCAGGAGTCGGGAAGCCCGAAGCCATGCAAGGGAAGACGGCTGCAGAGCCAGCAGGCACTCGGACCTCGGGAGGGGCCGAGATCTGGGGCAAAGCTAAAAGGGGCAGGGGGTACATATTGTGAGGTACAGGCACTGTGTGGGGCAGAGAGGCAGGTCTGGGAGGGAGGATATTAAAGAAGGACAGAGCTGATTAAAGGGAAGTGGTGGGAATGGCTGGGTTATGAGATTGGGAGGGCACGATTGACATGAAGTGGGATGAAAGGCAGGCATGGCCACATTTGAAGCTTAGGGACCCCCAGGTCATGGGTGGACTTGGTGATTGGGGGAAATGATGGGCCCAGAGAACAAATGATGTGCAGGATACGGGAGGGATCTAAGGTAGGCCTTTACCTTGCACGAGCAGCAGCACGTGAGACTGGGTGGTCCCTGCAGCATTGGTGGCGGTGCATCGATACTGCCCAGCATCCGCCTGCTCCACGCGGGCAATCCTGATGGTGCCTCCACTCTGCACAATGCCTGAGCGCAGCTGGCCTCCCACTTTGCTCCAGGTGACATGAGGCTTGGGGTCACCCAGGGCCAGGCACTCAAACTCCACAGCGTGACCCACTACTACGGTCTGCACTGATGTTCGGATGTTAATGAGCACAGAGGGTAGAGCTGGGGAGAAAGAGAGGGAGGGACAGGGATTCAGAGATGCGGGGGCCCTAATGCGCTGGCCCCAGTTGATGGAGAGGCAGGTAGCAAATGCTTATCATAATCAAGGAGGCAGAGCAGTTAAGCTCAGAGCAGCCAGGAAGCAACTGATGCCAATAGCCTTTAAGATGGCATTGGTCTCTCTCCCACTGCAATGCTGCCTCTCAGCAATTTATAAAAGTTTGGAAAGCCCAGATTTGTGTTTCCTAATTTGGCTTATATACTGAGGAGCTGGGTGTATTGACAAGAAGGAGGGAGGATTCGCTGAGATCTTTGTGGTCTGGTTACCAGGTTGGCTTTACCTTTGCCAGTGCTCTCCTTTCTCACATGTATCCCTCTAGAGAATGTCTTGCACATTGGGCTGGGCTGTAAGCTGCCTGAGGTCTTAAACCACAGGGTCTGGAGAGTGATTACTTTGTTACACCCACAGGATATCTCTCATCTGTGTCAGATGTTATACTACTCTAACGCTCCATAAATAAGGTTTATATAGGATTATCTCAGGGTTGGAAGGGTGTATAATTAAAAGACTGCCTCAAGTCCCTCAGACCCTTCCCTTTGCTAGTTTTCTTTCCTCCCCACCCACCTGTTGAGGTCTGAGGCTCTTTGAATACAAATTTCCCAGACTAGACCAAGACTTTCACTCATGGGGAAGCTAGGTAGCCGAGTGAATAGAGTTCTGGCTCTGGAATCAGGAGGACCTGAATTCAAATCCAGCATCAGACACTTCCTAGCTGTGTGACCCTGGGCAAGTCACTTAACCCCGATTGCCTCCAAAAAAGAAAGAAAAAAGAAAAAAAAAGACTTCCACCTACCATGAACAACTAGCTGTGCGCTAGCCTGGGCCTGGCCCCATGGCCCATGTGCACGGCAAATATATGTCCCCTGGCAGCTCTGGTCCAAATTCTGGATCCTGTAAAGAAGTCAAAGTCCAGCATTGGTAGTGCTGAGAAAGGCCAGGTAAACAACGATGATAATAAGAATTAGAGTAGTTAACAGTAACAGCAGCATTTTCCATCTGTAAAGACAAATCACTTTACTTCGGACTCTGTGTCCTCTTTTGTAAAACAGGGAGAACACCTCTCTGGGCTGCCCTCCTGACTCTGTCCAGGACCTTCTTTCTTCCATGCTCCCCAAAACCTCTTCTTCCTGAAACCTCACTCCTGCCCTGGAATTCACCCACTGGACATACTCTGTGTCCCTGCAGTCCCTCCCTCTGATTGGCCGCTCTTCATGCTTCTGGCCACCCTCCTTCAGGTTCTTTCCAGAACTTTCTCTCCCATGCCCCCACTTCATCCCATCTTCCCTTTTATGTCTTTCCCCATTAGAATATAAGCTCCTTGAGGGCAGAAATTGTCTTTTTTTTTTTCTGCTGGTATCTGAATTCTCAGCCCTTTGAACAGTGAGTGCCAGGCACATAGGAAGTCCTTAATGTTTGCTTACCTACTGATTAGTTAAGCGACCTCCCAGAGCTATAGTGAGATTACTTTGGAAACCTTAGCACTGCTATAATAGGAGCTAGTGTTAGGATGACGCCAAAGTCACTATATCTCTTACACACGAGGTGTGAAGCTCTCTCCTGGGCTCCATGGCAGGGACTCCAGGGACAGGATGCCTGCCCCCTCCCCCACACATCTACCTCCCCTCCTCACCGAAGCACCCCATCTTGCACAGTATGACCCTGTGGCAGTTGCCCTCCTTCTTTGAACCAGTGGATCTGGGCACCCGAGTCACCATCCACAGCACAGTGGAACTCGACGCTGCCCCCGATGCCCTTTGTCTCCTGCTGAGGTGTGATGTGCACGGCTGGAGCTGAAGCTGCCGGGTAGGGGACTGCAGGGTGGGCACCTGCTGGAACAAGGCTGCAGGTCACAGCTCTGCTGCTCATTGGCCGTCACAGGGTAAGGGGCCCCTTCCTGGCCCTTCTGCTTGAAGATGCATCGGGGAAGCAGAGATGGCATAGGAGGAATGAGGGGGTCCTGACTTATGCTACTTAATATTTCATCTGCTTTGGAAGTTAGAGACAGACAGACTAGATGCTTATGATAGAGAAATAAGGTGTAGTTCCTGACTTTATCTATTTAAAAAATTTTTAACATTAATTTAAAAAATTTTCAGTTCCGAATTCTCTTCCTCCCCTGTAGCCCCCTCAGTCCCACCAGTCCCACAGGCTCCCCTTCACCCCCACTCCAATTCAATCCACCAAATTTTGGAGATGGAGAGGGACTTCCAGCCAACATCCAGTTCAATGATGCAGGCCCCATTTCACAGAGGGTACAATGAAGCCCAGGGGAAGTGACCTGGTACCAGCATGTCAAAGCAATAGAATGCATGTTCTTTGAGGGCAGGGACTGTTTCATTTTGTCTTTTTATCTCCAACTTCTAGGACAGAACCTAGCACTAGTAGGTGCTTAGTGATGAGGATGGGATCTGGATCACAAAAAGAAAAAACCCTAGACTTTCTCACATGGCCAAATCTCTGGTGTTCCCCCCAAGGCTATAATCCTATCAACTGGCCTTTCATTATCGCCTACACCCAATCTCCCAATTCTATTACCTCCAGCTAGCCCCAGCCACTTCTCACCCTTAATCCTATCTAGACTCCATTCTCCCTTGGCCAAGCAGTATAGGTCCCACTCCCATGGAGACCTTCCTTAGACCCGTCCTCCAGTCACCACTAACCCCTAAACCCCAACACTTAGTAAATGCTTGATGAATTGAATTATACTGAAATCAGGTGCTCTGATTGAGAGATCATTCCATCTAACCACATTGGAGATAAAATTGGACTTGGATTCCTGATGACCTGAGTTCAAATGCTACTTCAAACTCTAACTAGTTTTGTGATTGTGGGCACAGAAAAACCCTTCTCTCTGCCTCAGTTTTCTCATCTGTAAAATGGAGATAACAATAACACGGACCTTACCATTGGGTTGACAGATTAAGTAAAGTGCTCTGTAAGCCTTAAATTGCCATGTATGTGCTAATTATTATTATGATAGAATATTAGATTCATAGGTCTAGAGCCAGATAGGACCTTGGGTCATCTAGCCCAACCCTCTCATTATATTGATGACGAAACCCAGGACCAAAGAGGTCACAGGATGAGAGCCAGGAGGCCAGCCCATGTCTGCAGACTCCTCAGTGTTGTTTCACAGCTCACTCTGGGGGGAATCTCGATTTCTTGGAACACTTTCCATCCTCCTCCTCCCCACCTTTCAGAAGCCTTCCCTGCCTTCAGTGTGAATGGCCCTTTATTTAGGGCCTACTTCTTTCCTCTCCTCTCCCTTCTCAAATTACTCTTTAATACTCTCTCTCTAAGAATAATGATGATAATAATAACAGCTAGCATTTACATAGTGCTTACTGTGCCCCAAGCACCATGCTAAGCACCTTACAAATACTATCTCATTTGATCCTCCCAACAACCCTGGGAGGTAGGGCTGTTATAATCCCCATTTTACAGATGAGGAAACTGAGGCACACAGGAGAAATGCTTTGCCCAGGTCATACAGCTAGTGTCTGAGGCTGGATTTAAACTCAGGTCTTTGTTGACCGTAGGCCACTGTACCATCAGCTGACTCATTTTGTATAACACCTGAGTACGTGTTTTAACCCCTCAAAAGCCAGTATGCCCCCTGGGATCACCAACTGTTTTGTTTCTCATCTTTGCATTCCTATTACAGAGCTCAGGCCTTGGTACACAGTGGGAACTTGCTAGAGGTGTGAGTCTTTATGTGTGGCAGAGGCAGTGGGGGCCTACGTAGGGGTACCAGGAAGCACTGGCACTAATAAACAGTGTCCACAGAAAGTCACTCCCCTTCCCTTTTCATGTGCCTCTCACCCTGGATTCGGAGGTGGGCGAAGGCCTGGGCAGAGCCCACCTTGTTGGTGACGAGGCACTGATACTGGCCAGCGTCCTCGGGGGAGGTGGGGTTGATGCGCAGCAGGTCCCCTCGAACAGCTGCCCGTCTGGGGAGGCTTCCATTCACCCGACTCCAGTGGAAGGTGAGTGGGGGTGTCCCGTGTGCCAGGCACTGAAACTGTACCATTTCTCCTGCTCCTACCAGGGCCTCTTCAGGGATTGTCGTGGCATATGGATGGCCTGGGGGAGATAAATACAAAAGGGGTGAGGGCACCAAGCAGGCAAGGAGGGGCAGCACATGTAGATCACAGATTAGGTGGGGAGTGAAGGGAGAAGGGCAAAGAGGCTGCTTTGCCTTGGAAACCAGCTCTGTTGGAGGTCAAAGGGAGAGATGGGCTGAGGTCAGAAATGGGGAGATGGGCAGCAAAGAGATGGACACCAGAAGGAGGTGGCAGAGAGGGCTCTCCAGCTGCTGGCCAGCAGGTGGACTAAAGAGGGGGCATCCACTCCTGGGGCCAAGGGCCAAGTCCTTACTCTCCACATGCAGGATGACAGTGGCCTCAGCATGCCCAGCTGAGTTGGTAGCATTGCAGATGTACTGGCCGGAGTCTTGTTGGGCAACCTCAGGGAGGATCAGGGTGTTGCCAGACAGCTGATGCTTCCAGGGCAGAGGTGCCCGAAGCTTGGACCAATGCACAGTGGGAGGAGGGCTCCCTAGAGGGGAGAAAGAACCAGGAGTGGGGATGGGGGGTTGGGGGTGGGGCAGGGCATCCTTGGACAACCTAGACCATTCTAAGTGTGATGGGATTGGGGGTATAAGGGATTTTAGAAATAATCCAGTTAAATCACCACAATTCATTCTCATTCCATTCAACTCTCAGCCTATCTATAGGGGAACCACACCTCTAGGTCACCAGAAAACATCTTCCCTTCCTGCCCCACCCCAATCAAAAGATTGCTAACCCAATCAACTTTAGAATTTAAGCCCAGGGACCCAGTTCCCAAGATGGGTGAATGATTCAATTAATTCATTAAATATGGACATACCAAACCCCCACTCTCACCAGATAACAGGATTAAGTTTCCCAACTCATTAAGTGGTCTACCCAATTCACCTCCCTCCAGGCAGTGGGCTGGAGGGTGTCCCACACCCTTCCAGCCCGCTAAGTAATCAAATAAACCCCACCTTTGTTCCTAGAAAGGGGGTGACAGTTGGGTCCTCAAAACTTCTGCTCCCCCATCCATCCCAGGACTCCCCAGGACTGGTTTTTTAAAAAAATGTATTCCCAACACTCAGCATGATAGCTGGCACATTGTCGGCACTTATGCTTTTTCATTCATTCATTCATTCAGCCGGTAGGTATTTCTGCTTGAGAGGCATTAGTTAAAACTCCTAGAATCATGGTTCAAGTCCTCTCTCAGACTGGCCTGTGCGACCCTGGATAAGTCACTTATCCTCAGTACCCAGATAGCTCTCAAGTTGCTTTTCTGCTTTGATATGGGACCAAAAAGATTTTATTGTTCCATTTACTGAAGAAACTGAAGTCAAGTGCCCAATATGGCAGATTGTAAATGGAAGGGCCCACATTTGAACCAGGTCTTTAATCATCTCATGCTCTTTTCATTTCCTCTGAGCTCCCAGGATCTTTGAGCTCTGCTAGCTCTCTTAAGTGAGAGATCAAGGAAAACAGCAGCCAAGATGGCTCTAGTAGAAGAGTTGGAGCTCTGAGTGACACACAAGCCCCAGATATCCCAGAGCAGCTCACAGTAAAGGGCTGACTATTATTTTGACATGTCGAGCTACAGCACAGCTCTTGGGATGGCTTGTGCCTACCCTCTATGACCCACTGGTCATCAGAGCAATAGTGTGCTTAATGATAATAATAACTAACATTTATATAGCAGCTACTATCTGCCAGGTATTGTATGAAGCCCTTTACAAATATCGTCTCATGTGATCCTCACAACAATTCTGGATGGTAGGAGGTATTATTTATCCCATGTTACAGATGAGGGAACTGAAGCAGACAGGTTAATTGAGCAGGGTCACACAGCTAAATATGCCTGGGGCTGGATTTGAATTTGGGACCAGTGCTCTGTGCATTGTGGTGTTCCCCCTAGCTGTCTACTTTAGCAGACATCTATGTATTCATTGCTGGAACACTCTGAAGTTCAGGAATGTCCTTCCCCAGTGCCCTGTCCTGGTAATTCTGACCACCCCTTCCTACCTGGGGGGGCCATGCCCTCTTCCCTACCTGTAGCTGAGCAGCGTAGGGTGGCGGTCTTCCCTGCTTCCACTGTCATTTCTGCCTCTTCCACATGCACCTCAGGGGCACCCATGGGTGCTGTGCCTGTTTCTACACTCACCTCCACCCGAGCCTGAGCAGAGCCCAGAGCATTCTGGGCCAAGCAGACATAGGTGCCTGCATCCTCTGGTTGGGCCTCTGTAATCTGGGGGTAGGCACAGAGAATAGAGAGAATGCTTAGAACAGACTCCTCCTAGCAATTTGGAAATATGACAAATGGGCTATAAAACTGCATACCCTGTGATCCAGCAACACCACTACTAGGTCTGAGTCCCAAAGAGATTTAAAAAAAAAATAAGGGAAAAGGACCTATTTGCACAAGGTTATTGATAGCAGCTCTTTTTGTGGTGGCTAAGCATTGGAAATTGAGGGGATGCCCATCAATTGGGGAATGGCTGAACAAGTTGTGGCATATAATTATGATGGAATGCTATTGTTCTATAAGAAATGATGAGCAGGATAGTTTCAGAAAAACCTGGGAAGATTTACATGAAGTGATGCAGAGTGAAGTGAGCAAAACCAATAGAACATTTTACACAGTAACTGGCAATATCGATTGGGAATGACTTAGCTCTTCTCAGCGATACAATGATGCAAGACAATTCCAAAAGGCTCACGATGAAAATTGCTATCCATCTCCAGAGAAAGAACTAATGGAGTCTGAATGCAGACCAAAGCATACTTTCTTATTTTCTTCCTTTCTTCTTCCACAGATGACTAATATGGAAATATGTTTTGCACAATTGCACATGTATAATGTATCAGACTGCTTACTGTCTCAGGGAGGAAGAAAAGGAGGGAGGAAAGAATTTGGAACTCAAACTTTAAAAAAAAAGCCCAGAATGTTACAAATTGTCTTTTACATGTAATTGGGGGAAAATATTATTGAAAAAAAAATAGCACCGCCTGCAATGACAGAGCCAAACACCATGCAGCTGTGCAGCCCTTTCCTTCTAGGCCTGCTCTTAGATCCCCTTAAAACCTTGTACACCAGTGAGAAAGAAAGAATAACAGTTTCCATTCATATGCGGGACATGCTTTGGACAGCTTCTTAGACATTCACTAGGGTTGTCACGTAAAGGGAGGGATTCACCTTGTGTAAGAGGAGGTGTTCCATACCCCTACCTCAGTCATTATAGAGGACTTCCAGACTTCTCCACCCAATCAATCAATCAGAAGTGTGAACCAGGGGGGCAAACAAGGCTTCCCCTCTCCTTTGACTCAATCACCTAATCAAGAGTATTTCAACCAGGGAAGATAGGATATATTGGGATTGGCTGGGGGAATTCCACCCTCTGGGACTTGGATAAAAAGTGCAGGCTAGTTCAGAACCCAAAGATTTGAGGGGAGAGCAGTCCAGCCGAGCCCCTGAGATGGAATCACTTGGAAGAGTTGAAGAGCCTGTCTCTCTCCACTACCCAGTGAGGATCAAGGCGATTCTGGACTTCTCAGAAGTGTCCTTAGCAAAGCCCCGGCCACTCTGTCCTGGTTAAGGATCTTTGGGAATGGGAGCCAGCTCAACACTCAGGTGGAGGCCGGTTCAAACAGTGGAACCAGACTGACTGTGACCTTTGTGATCATCCCCTTGCTCCACTCTGACATACACTGTGCGGGGATTCCAGGAGGCAGGCCCAATGCTTGTCTGTGACCCCCTCCCCCCAAACACAATGGCAATAAAGGAAGAAGGGATAACACAGAAACAGCAGATGCACCTCGAAGATCCAGGGCCCTCTCTTGCAAAATAATGCCCCACGTTAGCAGACCCTGATTGCCAGCATGCATCTGCTGCCTTCACAAGCATCACCTTCTCCCACTCACCAGCCCTCTCTCTTCCTGCTTTTTGGCAGGCTTAAATGTTGGTGCTCCCCACCTCTCCCCCCCTAGGCTGGCAACCAGTGACATCCTCCCCTGGTTGCTCTGCATCTGGGAGAGCTGGAATGTTGATAGATGACTCTTAGATCATAGCTAAGGATTTCAAATTGCTTTATATATTTACACAAAATTTAGAGGTTGCCCAGGAACATTAATACTCAGGCACTGGCTGTGCTGCATCCCTAATTTCTTGCCCTGGTCCCTGTCATGCCCTCTTCCTGGGCTGGCTTCTTCACAGAAGCCCCATAGCCCTGCCCAGATCCCAGTCCTTACCTGCAGCACAGCATGGCTGTCCATGGGCCCCAAAGTCCGATGGTGATCCACCTTGAGGGGTGTCCCAATGCGCATCCAGCGGGCAGAAGGTCGGGGCTCTCCAGCACTAACACACTCCAGGGAGACAGTTTTGCCAAGCTTCACCTGCACAGGGCCCTTAGGGAGCACAGACACTGTGGGCGGTCCTGTGGGAGGCAAGGAAATGGAATTTATTGAGCCAGCTCAGGGTAGGCCCCTGGGAACATCTAGATCACCCAGGCCCCAGGGATTTCACCCCACACACTTACCCTGCACACTCAGACTGACGACACTCTGGGCCACACCATAGGGGTTGGAGGCCATGCAGCGGTAGGTGCCATGGTTGCTGGGCCGGGCACCCATAATGGTGATGATGGAGCCATTGGGGCTGAGATGCACATTGTCTGCAAGGGAGAAGGTAAGCAGAACAGGAGAGGCTCAGATCTTGTCCTGGTCCTCAGCCCTTCTAGGCACTTAGGGTCCTGACTGCTTCTCCCCAGTGCACTCCTGATCGCTAAGTGCCCTTCTCACTTAGGAACAGAACTGAGGGTGTCAGAGCTGGGAGGGCCCTTAGAACAGAGAATGTGAGAGCTGGGGGGCCCTTAGAACAGAGAATGTGAGAGCTGGGGGGCCCTTCGAACAGAGAATGTGAGAGCTGAGGGGCCCCTTAGAACACAGAATGTGAGAACTGGGAGGGCCCTTTTATTAATCTAAATTTTCTTCCAGAATATTATGTGTGGAAGAAAATTTAGATTAGTAAATATAAAAGGGACTTAAGAACATAGAATATTAGTGCTGAAAGGAGCCTTAGAATATGGAATGTCAGATCTGGGAGGGATCTTAGAACAGCAAATATCAGAACTGTAAGGTACCTTAGAATACAAAACATGAGATCTGAAAGGGCCTTATAAGAACAGAATGTCAAATGTGAAAGGGAGAGAGAACAAAGAATGTCAGAATTTGGAACCTTAGAACATGGAATGTCAGTTAGGAGGGACCCTAGAGACCATTTAGTCCAACTCCTCATTTTATAGATCAGGAAAAGGTGGGTCAAAAAGGTGACACGATTTGGCTAGAGCCTGGTAGCAACTACATGGAGGAGCTGAGCCGGAATCCTTTGGAAGATATCCTTACCAAGTGGGCCCTGCGTGAAGAAGTTAGTGATAATGAACTCTTGCCTCAGACCCTCCTAGGGCCTACTGTCAAAAGAATCTCATCCAACTCATACAGGAGCAGGAATCCCCTTTGTAGCAGTCCTGACTAATAGCCATGTGGTCTGTACTTGAAGAGCTCTAGTGATGAGAAACTCACTACCTGCCAAAGGCAGCACATGCCACTTTAAGACACGTCTGATTGTTAAAGACCTTTTTTTCCCCTTACATTTAGTCAAAATCTGTCTGACCTTCTAGTCTCATTTTCCTTATCTGTAAAATGGGGATAATAGCACCTTGAGTTCTTATGAGTATCAAATGAGATATCCTATAGAAAGTATTTTGGAAGTCTTAAAATGCTATCCAAAGGCTGTTGTTCAGTTCTGAGTCTTGTCCAACTCTTCATGTCCCCATTTAGGGTTTTCTTGGCAAAGATCCTAGAGGGTTTTGTCATTTCCTTCAGCTCATTTTACAAATGAGGAAACTGAGGCAAACAGGGTTAAGTGACTTGCCAGGCTCACACAGCTAGTAAGTGTCTGAGGTGAGATTTGAACTCTTGAAGAAGAGTCTTCCTGACTCCAGGCAAAGGGCTGTACATATTATGGTGCCACCTAGCTGCCCTTGACATGGACAACCATTTCCTGTTATCTGAGAGGCAGCTGGAAATTTGTGCCTATATCTGAATAGAGATAATTGAGGTCCCTATGCCACCTGGTGCCCACACAAAGGCTAACTCGTATTAGCATAAGTAACTTCCTTCTTTGAAGTGAGAGCCTTCTAAATGCCCAAAGAGTCCATTCTTATAAGCCTAACAGACAAGCTTCCCTCTGTTCAAGGCCTTGGGTTCTCCCTGGTGACTTCTGACTCTTGGCATTCTGCATGATAAATCTCTCGCCTCTGGCCCTCTCCCCTTATATGCTAGAGGCAAATGTGCCCACGAAGGCAGGTGGTTCCTGGCTTAGCCAGCCCAATGCTGCCAGACCCCAGGTTCCTCCAAGGCTCTGCTCACCTTCCAGCTCCTGGTTTCTCGCCATCTTCCACTCAATGCTGATGGGGGCCGCCCCATCGTGGATCAGACACTTGAAGGTGGCATCCTGGCCCTGTTGTACAGTGGCGCTTGGTGGGTCAATGGAGATGACTGGGCTCTGAAGGCCTGGAGGAAAGGCAGGCTTAGTGGGACTGAAGGGCACCAGAAGAGAACGATAGTAGGCTCAGGGAAAGGGATGGTGCGGGACTCAAGAGTCCTAAGGAGGTGGGCCACAGGATAGGTGGAGGGGTAGGGCAGGGGGAGGGTGCCTCAGTCAGATAAGCCACTACTTCAAGCCTGTCCTGTTTTGGGGGGGATTGTCACAACTCACGGTAGGATTCAGCAGTAGTAGTGGAGGGCAGCACAGCGATGGTGAATGAAGACTCCTGTGGAGGGCCAGAGACACCGATCACCCGGCACACATACTCGCCTGCGTCAGTCCGAGACACCTGGTACAGCCTCAGGTGGGAGCCATGGACCTGGGGGTCAGGGACATGACAGAATTAACAGGAAGGAGGAGTAACCAGTCAAGGGCTTGTCTGCCTAGCTCAGTCCGACACATCCTAATTCCCCCCCAGGTTTCTCGGAGAGGTTCCGGTCGGGCTTGGAGAGGGAGGGCAGGGACTGTCATGCTCAGGGAAGCCACCCAATTGGCCAAGAGAAGGCAAAGACTGGGAAGGGGTTGGGATGGGGAAAGAAACTTTGGGCTCAGCCCATCCTTTGTTTCCATACCTGATGTCGGGTGGGGAGGGTGCCCCCCTCTCTTATACCATGTGACTTGGGCATGGGGCTGCCCAGTGACCACACAGGTCAAATCCACCGTGTGCCCTTCTGTCACTGATGGGGATGAGGACTCAATCCTGATAGGTATGAATGTGGCGGCAGCTGTGGGCACACACAGAGGGTTAAGGCAGAGGAGATCATTCTCCCTCATACATTTCAGGTTCAATTCAATTCAATTCAATTCAATTCACATGATCGCAGAGTTAAAGCTGGAGGGAAATGGAGAGGTCATTAAATCCAATCTCCTCATGTTACAGATGACAAAACCAGGGCTGGAGAAGTGAGTGACTTGTGTCTTCCCTCTGAAAGAACCTTCCATTTCCACTGGTCTGTGCCTTGTACGTTCATGGTTGTTAGGATATTGGCTCACTCATTAGAATGCCCTCTTTGAGGGTAGGAATGGTATTTTTACTTGTCTTTGTATCACCAGTGCCTGGCACATAGCAGGCACTTCAATAATAAATGTTTTTGGACTGAGTCACCAGAGCTAGTAAGTGGCTTGGTTGAGTCTTCTGACTTCCAAATCCAGTCCTCTTTCTCCTGCAATTCCACTAAACAAGCATTTATCAAATGATGACTATATGTAAGACAAGAGAGGCATGGTGGCATAGTGGATAGAGAGCCTGCCTTGGACTCAGGAAGATCAGGATTTGAATCTTGCTTCTGATACATATAAATGTACTAGTTATGTGGGGGTAGCTTGGTGGTGCAGTGAATAGACTCATCTTCCTGAATTCGAATCTGGCACCAGACACTAGCTAGCTAGGTGACCCTGGGCAAGTCCCTTCACCTTGTTTGCCTCAGTTTCCTCATCTGTAAAATGAGCTGGAGAAGGAAATGGCTAACCACTTCAGTATCTCTGCCAACAAAACCCCAAATGGGGTCATGAAGAGTCAGACAGGACTGAACAACAATAATAAACTAGCTATATGAGCATGGGTGATTCACTTAATCTCTCAGTGAGTTCAAGACTAGAAGTTGCAGGTGAATGGCCAATCTGTATCAGTGGAGGGCTTTTACACACTGAAAGCCCCCACACCACCCCAACTCACTCCCCCTCGATGTCGCAGACAGTGGAGATACAAAGACAAGACCTAATGATGCTTGCCTTACATTCTACCTGGAGGTGAGGGGAGCACATACAGAGAGATCAGTAGACAGACACATCGTGGCCAAAGGATGGCATGCCCTCTCCATCCTGGGTCATCCAGGCTGCCCGTGCCCAGGACACCTCCCTCCTCAGGGCCACCTGGCTCCCCTCCAGGCTGGGTATAAGACCACCACCTCCCATGAAGCCTTCTGTTACACTCTCAGATGAAAGTAATGATCACAAATGTTCTGGGTCCCCTATCCCATTTTATCTGGTATTATATTCTACATATTTGAGGACATGCTCTGTCCTCTGCGCTGCCCACCCCTCTCCAGGAAACTGTAAGCTCCTAAAGGGGAAGGAGAGTCATTTCCATTTTTCAACTCTATATTCTTTTTTTTTTTGTTTAAGGCAATTGGGGTTGAGTGACTTGCCCAGGGTCACATAGCTTGTAAGTGTCAAGTGTTTGGTTTGAGGCCACATTTGAACTCAGGTCCTCCTGACTTCAGGGCTGGTACTCCATCCACTGTGCCACTCATCTTTATATTCTTGATGTCTAGTGTATGGTCTTAACCACAGTAAGTATTTGGTGACTGTTTTTGATCAAATTGTCCCAAGGTCTTGAGGCATTTGTGAAGCTACAGCAGAGATGCATCTTCCTCCTTGGTTACCCCCCTTCTTGTTCCTTAAACAGAAGGAAGGTCTACAGCAGAGGTGGGGAAGCTGTGGCCTCGAGGTCATGTGTGCCCCTCTAGGTCCTAAAGTGCAGCCCTTTGACTGAATACAAACTTCACAGAACAAGTTCTCTTAATAAAAGGATTTGTTCTGTAAAACTTGGACTCAGTCAAAAGGCTGCACTCAAAGCCTTCAGAATGATAGACATGGCTGGGTTCTCTCTGGCCTTTGGAGCAAAGATGTGCTGCCTTCCAGGAGACAGTGTTTAGAAAATCAGCCAGAGAGAAATAGGATGTGTGTGTGTGTGTGTGTGTGTGTGTGTGTGTGTGTGTGTTTGTGTGTGTTGAGCGATGGGCACCACAGGAGGCAATGGGAGGGGTAGAGACAAAGCCTTAGCATCCATGGATTCTGGACTAGGCAATTCCTGAAGGTCCCTAGGGTCCCAAGCCTCTTCCCAAGCCCTAGAATCAGCAGCAGCCCCACCCCTAATTCTGCTGGCCACAGTCCCCGCAAAGGCACTCACTGGGGATGACAGAGCCAGAGCTGGAGCCTGAAGCTCTGATGGTGACCAGGATAGAAGTCTCTTGGGGGCTGGCACCGTTGAGCACCCGGCACACATACTCGCCAGAGTCAGCTGGAGATGCCTGGTACAGCCGTAGCCGGGAGCCATGGACCTGCTCAGTGAGTGAGGAGATTGGAAGCTGAATTTTTCAGGCCCTCTGACCAGCCATCACCCAGTGTCCTTTGACCCACTTGTGATCTCTAACCTTTTCCTGGCCTTCAGACTACCTGTGCCCTCCAACCTTTCCACACCCTCTGATTTACCCCTGGGCCCTCTGACCCTTCCATTTACTGCTTTGTCTGATCCACCACAGCTGTGGTCCTCAGTGGCTTCAAACCATTTTTTTCCCTGGGCAGGACTCGAGCAGATCCACTCCTGAGGGACCTTTTCTCTGATTTCTCCCTCTCTCTGAGGTTTCCCCACCCCTTAAATTCTCCATACCTGGTGCTTGACAGGGAGGCTGCCCCCGCGCCTGTACCATGAGACCCTGACGTGGGGCTGTCCTGCCACCACACAGTTGAGATCCACAGTCTGTCCTTCGGCCACAGATGAAGATGAGGACTCAATCCTGATAGGTGGGATGATGCCTGAAGGTGGGGGCACACAGAATGTATCAGCATACAAGGCCTTTCCCCTCAGAAAGGCTGACCTTCCCTGCTCCAGCTTTCTGTCCCACTATGAGCCCCCCAGACTATCTCAGAATGTTGCACCTGATTTGGGGCCCCACATTTTAATGGAGATGTGGATAAATGGGAGAGGTAGCTATGGCGTGATGGGCTGTCAGGAGGGAGAGAGGTCAGACATATTCTGCTTGGCCTGAAAGAACTGGGAAGGGGATGAGGGGGAGTTATAAAGTGTAGCTTATAGCCCAACTCCCCCTCTCCCAGAAGAGTCTCCTGAGCAAAGCTAGTTACATCTCCTTTCAGAGTTCTAAGGGTACCCTTGAGAGCAGGGTGATTCTATAATGCCATTGGCTTGAGCCCCCACTGGAGTGCTCCATCCCTACATAGTATAAGCTGAGAACAATTTTCATTAGTTAGTCTTCAGTGACTTTTATTTAGGATTATTTACTAAAAGGTGATATGGAAGGACAGATTGGGTAATAAAAAGAGCTGTTGCAAAGTAGAATGCACCACTTTAGAAGCAGTGATCTCCCTGTCACTGAAGGAATAAAAGCAGAGACTGGATGAGATACTGTAGAGGGGGTTCCCGCCCAGGGATGAGTTGGATGAGATGCTCTCTGAGATTCTGTTTTGGTTCAGAAGACAGATTCAACTGTATTCCTTGCCTCCTCCCCCAACCCCAAGTCTAGCTTCCCTGCACCATCCCTACTCCCTTTGTGGCCCACTTTCCCTGATGCTGGGGCCCTCACCTGGTACAGAACCAGAGTTAGGGTGAGCAGGCTCAATGGTGACAAGGACAGAGGCTTCTTGGACTCTGGAGCCGCCAATCACCCGACACACGTACTCGCCTGAGTCAGCTGGCGATACCTGATAAAGCCTCAGCTGGGAGCCATGGACCTGAGCCAGGAATAAGCCGGGTCAGACAGAATATGACCTAAGGATCCTGTTGTTGTTGAGACTCTTGGGCCAAGTCCCTTGGATTCTCCCCTCCATGTTTGCTGACCCTCCTGATGCCCTAGCAGACTAGCACCTGGGTAAGGGCCAGGAGATCACACTCCTGGCTGAAAGAACCTTCAAACCCGTGTCTACCCTTCAAGTCTGCCAGCGCCCCATACCTGGTGCTGTGCTGGGAGGCTGCCCCCACGCTTGTACCATTTGACCTGGGCATGGGCCTGTCCAGAAATGACACAGTTCAAGTCCAAGGTCTGTCCTTCGGCTACAGATGAGGAAGAGGATTCAATCCTGATAGGTGACGTATGTCCTGGGGCTGAGGGCAGAAAGGGGAGGTCATGGGACCATAGATCTAGAGCTGGCAGGTACTTTAAAGGCCATCAAGTTTAAATTCCCTCATTTTCAGAAAAGTAAACTGAGTATGGGAGATTAAGCGACTTGCCTAGTCTGAGCAGGGATTTGAACTTGGGTCTTCCTAACTCTATCCTATCCATGACGCCATGTTGGGTCAAGGCATGGCTTACCTTGGGGACCATACATCTAGTAGGCAAACCTACTGGCTAACCCTGCCTTATGGAGACTAGAATGTTGCTTTTCTGGGACCCTGGAGCAGTGGTTCTGGATAGGTGGGGGAGGTGTAAATCAAGACTCTTTCCCCCAAATAAATGTCTTAATAATAATGCCACAGCCTCATATTGTTTTACAATTGATATTTTCAAATTGCCCACTTATCAGTCTTGGGAAAGAGGCAGGACAAAAGTCATAGATCTAGTAATGGACAGGACCTAAGAGGCCACTTAGCCCAACCCAGACACTTTACAATTGAGAAAACTGAGGGCAAGTGACTTGTCCAAGATTGCACAGGAGACTTCAGATCTAGTAGGACTCTTTGTATGACACTGCTGCCTCTCATTTTCCAGATGAAGGAAAATGAGGCCCACAGGGGAGGAGAGTCACAGAGTTAGTGGACGAGCTAGGTTCCTGCTGGGTCAGCTCCTAGCAGTACAACATAAGTCACATGAGGGCAGGGACTTATTCATTTTTGCCTCTGTATTCCCAGTCCTTCTAAAAACGCCCAACCCAAAGCAGACACGTGCTAGTGGAACAGTGGACCTGTTGAATGGACAGACTCAGGGTCAGACTCACAGGAGGGGCTGCTGGGGCTGCTGGAGGGGATAGAGATCACAATGGAAGTCTCCTGGGCCTCTATGTTGTTGTTAGCCCGGCACACGTACTCTCCAGAATCAGCGGATGACACCTGGTTTAGCCGGAGACGGGAGCCATGAACCTGACAGAACAGAAGGCTGATGAGGGATGGCAGAAGCCGAGTGTCCTCCTTGCCTCCCCTTTCACGCTCTATTGGCTCTTGATAACCCAAGTCACTGAGATTCAGAGATTATCAGAACAAGAGAACCCAGAGAGGTCAGCTGGTCCAGTCCCCTCATTCCCCCCCCCCAGAGAGATCACTAGAGCAATCAGGGAAGGTTTCAAGTGCAAAGGGGGATTTAAACGGGGTTCTGAAGGATGGTGAGGTTTGGTCCCACACACACCAAAGCTCTTCTCTCCCTGCATCATGTTCCTTTATCCATCCCTCTTCTCCCCACCCATCTTTACCAACTCTTCCCTCACTTGCTTCCAATACCCGCTTTTGATCCCATGTAAGTTTCACTAGCGATTACATAGCTGATCCCTGGTTTTATGTATGAGGAAACTGAGGCCTGGTGAGAGGAACTGACTTAAGATCACATAGCTAGTTAGTGACACAACTGGGCCTTGGACCCTAGACTCTTGCCCTCCTGATTCTGAGTCCAGAATCCTTACCCTGAAAGTGTTTGTTGCCAGAGGTTCCCAACTAATGAGAGTCCCTAGTTCTAGGGGGGGATATAGTAGAAGACAAAGAGGTTTAGGGGTCTCCTGATAATAGGGTCACAGGTTTAGAGCTGGAAGGGTCCTTGGAAGCCATTGAGTCCAATACCCTTATTTTACAGATGAAGAAACTGAGGCCCAGAGTCAACCAAATAGTACGTGACTGAAGTAGGGTTTGAACCTGGTCTTTCTGATTCCAGGTCTAGTGTCCTACTACTGAACATCTTGGATCTTAGGTCTCATCTCCTCCAGACCTATCTCTGTTTTCCTCTCCCTTTCTTTCCATTTTCCTTCTCCCTTCCTAGGCCCCCTGCTCCAACTTAGGGGTACTTCCTACACTGAGACTGTCCCTTGCCCAACCTGTACCTGATGGCGGGCAGGCAGGCTGCCCCCTCTCTTGTACCATGTCACTGTGGCTTGGCTCTGCTCAGGGACTACACAGTTGAGATCCAGGGTCTGTCCTTCCATCACCACTGGGGAGGAAGATTCAATCCTGATGGGAGGAGTGATGCCCGAGGCTACGAAGAGAGACCCAAAGGCAAGGCTCAGGGATGCTGGATTTTCCCTGGTATGGAACCCCCACTGGTGCTTGTTTGCCTCCCTGGCCCAGCTGAGACTCCTAGTCAGCCCCTAACCCCAGCCCAGTGAGCTACCCGGTGGAGCCTTGAAGGATGGGTAAGAGGGAGAAGGGGCCTTACAGTGGGAGGAGCCACCACCCTGGATGGTGACGATGAGCGAAGATTCCTGTGAGCCGGCCCCATTGCTGACGTGACATACATATTCTCCAGAGTCGGCAGGGGTAACCTGGGGGATCCGCAGCCGGGAGCCCACAATCTGGGGAAAATGGGACAGACTCTGAACAGGAGCTAGCAGTACTGCCCATGGAACTGGGTTTGAGACATCTTCCCAGGGGCCAAGCAGAGGGCAGTGCCACCCTCAAGACAGACATGGGATCAGAGAGAAGCATAATAATTTGTCTTGTTGACTGGTAACTTTTCTTTTCTTTTCTTTTCTTTTTTTTTTGAGGTAATCGGGGTTAAGTGACTTGCCCAGGGTCAAACAGCTAGTAAGTGTCAAGTGTCTGAGGCCAGATTTGTACTCAGGTCCTCCTGACTCCAGGGCCAGTTGCCCCAACTAGTAACTTAAATGGTTAAGTTTTAATAAATACTATGACTTCCTGTCAAAAAAATTTTTTTGCTTTGCATTTTTGGGAGCTCAGTTCATATTCTTTCTGGTAGAATGTAAGCCCCTTGAAGGCAGGTATCATAACATTTTTTATCCAGCCCTGCTCTACTGAGACAGTATGGTAGAAGTATCATTATTCCTATTTTATACATCACAGGCTTTAGGACCTTAAAGATTGTTTAGTCCAGCAGTTCTGAACCTTTCTGGTATTCTAGACCCTTTGGGCAGGCTGGGAACATCTCTAGATCCTTTCTCTGAATCATGTTAAATGCATAAAATAAAATACATAGGATTATAAGGAAATCAAATGTATTGAATAAAATAAAATACATAGGATTACATAGGAATTGAATATATTGAAATATAGTTATCAAAAGGTTAAAAAAGCCAAGTTCACAGACCTCAGTTTGAGAATTCCTGGGCTAGTTCAATCCCCTGTTTTGACTGATAAGGACACAGGGTCTCAGAGGTTCAGGGCCCTTGTCCAAGGTCCTGACTCCTAATAGTCCTGATACAGACCCAGGTCTCTTGACTTCCAGGCTGCTGGCCTTTCTGCTACTGCACCAGGCATGTATTCAGAATGGGTCTTACTCCCAAACTTGTTTTCCTTGCCTCCTCCACCTTCTATCCAGAATTTCCTTTCCTCGTTCCCCAGAAACCCTCGTACCCGATGGCGAGCAGGAAGAGTGCCTCCACGCTTATACCACGTGATAGTATGTGGGGCTTGACTAGTGACCAAGCAGTTGAGGTCCAAGGTCTGTCCGTTGGCCAGGGAGGAAGAGGAAGACTCAATTCGGACGGGGTACACAACACCCTGGGCTGGGGGGAGAGAGGGGAGAGGAAGGGTAAGAATGTAAGAGAGACTCAAACTGAGGGGGCATAGAGATTAGATCTGCAAGGATCATGAGATCATACATTTAGAGTTGGAAGCAACCTTCAAGGCCATCAAGTGCAATGTCATTATTTTTCAGATGAGGAAACTGAGGCCCAAAGGCATTATGTGACTTGCCCAGGGTCACACAGCTACTAAGTGTGGCAGTAAGTAGTAAGGTAGGATATGAACCCAGATCTTCCTGATTCCAAGGACATTGATGTATCTACTACACCAATATCTACTCTGATCACTTTATTTTATAGACAAGGAAGCCTAGGTCCAAGTGACTTGAACAAGGTCAAATTGGCAAATATTAGCAGGATTTGAATCCAGGTCTTCTGCCTTCCCATCCAGTTTATTCCTAATAATAATAGCTAGCATTTATATAGCACTTGAAGGTTTGCAAAACATTTTACCTATATTATCTCATTCGATCCTCACAATAACCCTGGGAGGAAAGTGCTATTATTATTCCCATTTTGCAGATAAGGAAACTGAGGCTGAAAGCAGTTTTATGCACAAGGTCACATAGCTGGTAAAGTATCTGAGGCAGGATTTGAACTCAGGTTCTCGACTCTATGTCCAGTATCTATCTATCCACTATGCTGCCTGGCTGCCTCTCCTGAGACAAAGTTCTTTCCTATGAGATGGCAGTAGGGCCCTGGCTAACTCCTCCCCACCATCACACCCCAGGTAGACTCACGGTGGAAGTGGCCAGGGCGCTGCTGCTGGATGGTGATGAGGACAGAGGCCTCCTGGGGGCCGGAGCTGCCAATCACCCTGCACACATACTCGCCTGAGTCATCTGGTGACACCTGGGACAGCCGTAGTCTGGTGCCATGGACCTGAGTCAGGTGGGAAGAGGGGAGGTCAGAAAGTGAGCAGGAGACAGAGGTGCCTGAACTAAGCAGGGGTTGTTTCATCTTTTTAAAAAAAATTTATAATGCTTGTGGATTGATTGATAGTAGAATATAAATTCCCTAATTTTCATCTTTGTATATGCCTGGGTCACAGCAGGCACTTAAAACATGTCTATTGAATAGAATTTAACAAGCATGTACAAAGGGCCACGGACACAGTCAGGACCCTTCAGGCACCAGAAAGGTACTCACACTGGCTTCAGAGATTTCCCCTAGACTTCTGCATAGGGACTCTTGGGCCTCCAGGCCTTGGAGCTCAGCAGCTCCTCACTGGCCCAGCAGCTGGAGTTAGGTCCAGATTTGGCTTGTGTCCATCCCTCCCCACAACACACAAGAGGAGGTTCCCCTCTCCCCTGCTACCTCCCCCTCCCCCCTTCCATATCTTCGGATTTCTGGTACCTGATCTGAGACTTCCCTCTCTTCCAGGCAATCATGGGGTTAAACAGCCACATCTGACCTTGTCCTTTCTTACCTGATGCCTGGCGGGGAGACTGCCACCTCGCTTGTACCAGGTGACCTGGGCATGGGTCTGTCCAGAGACCAGACAGTTTAGCTCAAAAGTCTGTCCTTCAGTGATGGATGAAGAGGAAGACTCAATCCTCACTGGGGGAGTGACTCCTAGGCCTGGGGAACAGAGAAGTCAGATCAGGACTTAGCAGACAGAGACATTGGGAGATAGAAACAAGTCTATGGGGACAGTGGGATCCTCTACTTTGGAAGATAATAATTATAATAACAATAATCTATACTTCTTAAGTGCTCTAAGGTTTGCAAAGTGTTTTACATATATTATCTCATTTGAATCTCATTTGACCCTGAAAGGGAGGTGGCATTATTATTATCTCCATTTTACAGATGAGAAAACTGAGACTAAATGACCTGTCTCAGGGTCATTAAGTTAATCAGTTTCCGAGGTAGGATTCAAACTTGAGTCTTTCTGACTCTAAGCCCTGCCCCACCGAACTGCCTAGAAAACGATGTTGATGAAGTGTCATGGAAAGATTCCCTGACCTGGGAGTCACAGGATAGTAGAATTAGTGAAGACAGATTTACAGGTCACCTTCAGCTCCTTCATCTTGTGAATGAGGAAGCTGAGGCCCAAACGAGTGAAAATGACTCGCCCAAGGACCCACAGCTGGTAATAATCACATGAAAACCATGATTGATACTGGAAAGGGGAAGACAATGTGCCATCCTGTGGCTCCATTCACCATCTCTGTGACTGCCCAGATCAAAACTCCCTTTCCCTGGCCACCATATTGTGTCTCCCATTAGATTATGAGCTCCTGGAAGGCAGGGGCTGCCTCATTTTTGTGTTTGTATTCCCATAATGTCCGGCCCTTAGCAGGTGTTTAATGAATACTTATTGACTGATTGATAATCCCAGCAGGACTGGGATTCAAGGCCAAATCCAGCACCACTCTTTTCTCTGTTCCATTGTATGGGAAACTTGGCGTTGACTCTTACTATGTGTTTAACTAACCACCTTTTAGAGACTTGGTTTCCCCATTGGTAGAAGGATGGTAATATGGGATAACCATCATGTTGGTTGTGAGGAAGGTGAGACCATAACTGCTACAGAAATGGAGTTGTTATTAGGATTATGCCTCCTCTGAAGATGCCCAGTGGCACAGAGGTGGTCCTGGGTTCTTGAAGGACCAGATCATGGGATCATAGACTTTAAGCTAGAAGGGAACTCTGAGTGCCACTAAGTCCAACTCTTCATTTTACGGATGAGGAAACTGAGGAACAGACAGATTAAGTGACTTGTACAGGGTCACATAGCTAGAAAGTGACTGAGACAGGATCTGAACCCAGATCTTCTGGACTCCAAGTTCAGTGGCCTATCTACCCCACCATTCTCCTTTCTCAAAATACTCCATGGAAGAAAGAAAGCTTCGATTTAGCATCAGAAGGGAATTGTAGAGGCCATCTGGCCTCATTTGGGGGGGGATTGGTGAAGTGATTCGCCACATGTCACAAAGATGACCACTGTGATTTTGCCATGGCACCAAAGAGCCCTTTATAAGCATGTGGTGAAGGAAAATAAGCTGTGGCAGTTTCTTCAAGCTTCATTAAGCTTTTATTAAGCACCTACTGCATTCCAGGCACTGTGCTAAGTATGGGAGGTAGAAAGCCAGTAGTTGAACAGACCTTCTCATGGAGCTATCCATCTATTAGACCTGAAAAAAACAAAACCCCAGAGCAGGAAGGCCTCCATGCTGTGGATCCACTCTGGGGGAGCTCATAGAAAGATTTAGCCAAGGATAATACAAGATGAGAAAGTTTGAATGAATCCAGATTTGGACCAATAGTGAGAAGATGCGTGATGATGAGACCACAGGTCTATCAGACACTGAAGCTTCACGACTGTGAGGATAACCCAAGCCAGGCTGGAAAGCCGCCAGATCCTGACGCTCACCAGTCTCTTAACTCCACTACCACAAGGAACATAAATTCCCCCAGCGTGGGCCAGTGAAGAAGCAGGGCTACTCTGGGGATACATATGACCCCTGAGATCTAGAAGAGTCCTTCCTTGACTCCAGGTGGCTTACCAGGGATGGAACCATGGCTGGAACCTTGGGCCTGAATGGTGACAAGGACAGAGGCTTCCTGGTGGCCGGAGCTGCTGACCACCCGGCACACATACTCTCCGGAGTCAGCTGGCGACACCTGGTATAGCTGTAGCCGGGAGCCATGGACCTGAAATTGGGGATGAAGGAAGAGAAGATTAAGAAGGGCTCAGGACAGAAAGGTGATGTAGAGGTACCAGAAGCTCAGGTGTGAGATCAAAGACTTGGACAATTCATACCCTGTCACCTTCTGAGCGCCGTCTACCCTTCTGAGTACTCTGATGCTTATAGGCCTTCTTGCCCTCTGACCCTCTTATTGTCCTAGCTGTCCATATCTATCTTGAGATTAGATAAAAAATATTCAGTGACTCTTATCAAATATAGTTTACACTCCTGTGTCTGGCATTCCATGGTCCCTCAATATGGCAGCCCCCTACCTACCTTTCCAGCCTTATTTCCTCTCAATTGCCTTCATGTGTGCTATACTGCAGCCAGATTGGACTGCCCTCTCTCTCCAAATGTGCTTGGTGTTTTCCCACCTCTGTATCCCCCCACCCAAATCTCTCTCCACTCCAAATCCATCCTCCGCTCAGCCATTGAAGTGATTTTCCTAAAGCACCGATCTGACTACATCTCCTCCTTAACTCAAGAAACTTCAGTGGCTCCCTGTTCCCTCCAAAATTAAAGATAAAATTCTCTGATGGGTGGATTAAACATAAAGTTCTCTGCTGGGCATTTAAAGCGCTTCCCAACCTGGCTCCACCCTGTCTTTTTAGTCTTATTGTCCTTTCCTCCCCTCCAGGAATGCTTTGAGCTGGCTACATAGACCAACTTGCTTTTATGTAAACATAACACTGCATCTCCCAGCACAGTGCCTTTGCCTGGGCTGTCCCTCATGCCTGGAATGCTCTCCCTCTTTCTCATCACTTTCCCAGGCTTCCTTCAGAACTCAGGTTAGAACGCACCGTGTACCAGAGGCCCTTCCTAGCCCTCCTAGCTGCTAGTGCCTTACCCTCTGAGTATTCCCTCCATCTAATCTGTACGTATCTTGTAATTTATAAGTTGTTTCCTTCATTGGAATATAAACTGCTTGAAGGTAGGGATTGGTTTTTGCCTCTATTCCAGGTATCTACTATACTGCTGGCACACTTAAATTGATTAACTATTAACTAATTGATTTACTGACGGCCCCCTAAAGATAATTCAAATCCCGGGGCAGCTAGGCGGCACAGTGAACAGAGCACCGGCCCTGGATTCAGGAGGACCTGAGTTCAAATCTGGCCTCAGACACATAACACTTACTAGCTGTGTGACCCTGGGCAAGTCACTTAACCCCATTGCCTAGCCAAAAAAAAAAAAAAGATAATTCAAATCCCACCTCCTTCAGGGAGTGTTCTTCCTCTGATTCCCTGGGTCCATAAAAACCTTTCCTTTCCAGCCCACATAACTCTGTTTCTGTGCTGTTCTGTAATCTTATAGTGTTCTATGTGGTTGTCTTTCTTTCCTGCTTGACCCTAAGTTCAATGAGGGTAGGAATTGTGTCTTCTCTATGTTTGCACCTTTCCCTGGGCCTAGCACAGTGTTCTGTACACAGCTGGTGCTTAATAAGTGTTTGTTGAAAGAATGAATGAATGAGGGCACAAATCTTAGGGATGGCTAAGACAGAAATAGATATCAAAATCTTCACAGCAGCAGGTTCTGTGGGAGCAATAAATGAAACAAAGAGGCTGCCCTTTGATTGGAAAGGTCTGAACAAATTGTGGTAGATGAACATTACAGAATAATATTATGCTACAGGAAAACGCAAATACAAGGAGTTTAGAAAAACATGGGAAGATTCATGGCGATTAATGCAGAATGAAATCAGAAGAAAAATATGCACAATGAATACAATAATTTGAATGAAACCAACCCTAAAAGGCAGGTGAGTTCTGATTCACTGTAATGTTCCTTTTGCCCAGGACAGAAGATGGAAATACATTTCCCTTCTCTATAGAGGTGGGGAACTGTGGGCAAAGAATGTTGTATACACTGTCGTGTTTGCGGACTTTTTACAACTATTTCTTTGTTGCAAGGAAATGCTGCGATGTGAAAACAAAAGGCATTCATAAAGCAACAAATTATGAATGAATGAAAATCTGGCCTGCTTAGAGGGCACCCTCAGTTAGAAGGTCCTAGATTTAGAAGGGTGGTGATATCTCTATACAACAGGAGGTCTTAGGGATGAGAGAGATCCCAGCCATGCGATTCTCATCATTAGGATATAAGATAATGTATTTACAGTAATCTGCTTGTTTTAGATATGAGGGAACTCGACCCAGAGAGGTACTCAGAGACTTGCCCAGGGTCACTCAGATGTTAACTGCAGAGGGGAATTTGAACCCAGGATCTCTGACCCCAGAGGCAGGTGTCTTTCTTCCTTCTTATGACGTGCATCTTTCTGTCACTCTCCCTGAGCCAACCCTTACCTGGTGCTTGGCTGGGAGGCTGCCCCCGCGCTTGTACCATGAGACCTGGGCATGGGCCTGACCGGCAACGATGCAGTTCAATTCGATGGTCTGTCCTTCGGCCACGGACGAGGAGGATGATTCGATCCTAATTGGAGGTGTGACGCCCTGGGCTGGGGACAAAATGGACTGCTTGGGACCTTGGCACAGCCTCTCTGGGCAGGGAGATGGCGAGGCTGGGACAGGGCAGTGGGGCCCACTGGACCTCTGTGTCCTAATGGGGAGATGGGAACTAAAAATGGCATGCTTCAGTGTAGTGAGACAAAAACTGGGTGTGGAGTAGGAAGGCCTGGGTGAGATCAGATAGTTTTTTTCAGCTCCATATTTTTAAACTCCTTACAATGTCTTAGGCTAGGACCGGAGGCAAACTCAGAGGTACTTCAGTTAAAGGAGTGGGGATCTAAGAATTTCCTAACTACATACTGGAGAAGAGGAGAGGCTTTGGGGCAGGGCTTCTCTGGGGCCACATGGCCCTCAGCAGTCCCCTCTATGACCCTGAGACCCTCACCAGGGATGGAGCCTTCAGGCTCAATGGTGACAAGGACAGAGGTTTCCTGGGGGTTGGAACCTCCAACCACTCTGCACACATATTCTCCAGAGTCAGCGGGGGACACCTGATGTAGTCGTAGCCGGGAGCCATGGACCTGAGCAGGCGAAAATGAGAGAAGGCAGGAAAATGACTCAGGAATTCTCAAGGTAAAGGCCAAGAGCTTCCCAGACCCTAGGAGACAGGAAGTGCCCCTTCGGAGCAGGGGATGCCTTTAAAGGCACCTGGGGCCTCCTGACAATGAACTGGGTAGAGACTGAGTAATATTGTTGATGAACACACACATACATGTATGCACGCATAGTATATGCATGTGCATATATACACACAAACATACACATACATACTATATACATATGTGCTGTGTATGTATAGCTATGTGTGTGTATTTATGTATATACATGTATGTTCACTCAATATACATATTCTGGACATGATCCATGCAGGAATTTAATTTTGCTTGATTATGCATGTTTAATATAAGGGTTTTTTTCAATGGGGGAAGGGAGATAGGAGAGAGAAAAAAAAGCATTTTGTTAACTGAAAAAAAGACAAGGAATTTGGGGAACCCATCATGGGGAGCAGAGAGCTTCCACTCCCAAATCCCTCTGGACCTGTTTCTCTCCTAATCCGCCCCAGATTGATCATACCTGATGCCGGGCAGGGAGGGTGCCGCCACGCTTGTACCATGTAACCTGGGCATGGGCTTGCCCTGAGATGACGCAGTTTAGATCTAGGGTCTGACCTTCAGCCACAGATGAGGAAGATGACTCAATCCTGATTGGGGGTGTGATATCCTGGGCTGGGGACACAGAGGAAAGGTCAGGGACCTGGTAAGGCTTCTCCAGCAGAGAGATGGGGGGGCCAGAATAGAACTATGCAGACAGTGTGATCTCACTGATGTCCTAGGGCAGACCCCAAAGACCCCCCCCTTGAGGTTCATCAGTTTCTTGGCTCCACTCTCACAGTGGGGAAAGGGTGGTGTGAGGATTCCCTGGCAAGATTTCACTGAGATCTCCCTGACCCTGGGCCACTTACCTTGGACAGAGCCATGCAAAGAGCCCTCAGGTTCGATGGTGACAAGAACAGAGGCTTCATGGTGGCTAGAGCCGCTGACCACACGGCACACATACTCTCCGGAGTCAGCTGGAGACACTTGGTGCAGTTGTAGCCGGGAGCCATGGACCTGATTCGAGACAATTCGATTCAATTGGATTCAACAAGCTTTGATTAAGTCTCAGAAGGTGCTAGGCACTGTGTTAAGACAGAAAAAGAAAATGGTCCCTGCCCTCCAAGAGAATATATTCTATTAGGTGAGGGGGAACAGGATCTAACCCTCCCCTTCTCTCTCTCTCTCACACACACACACACACACACACACACACACACACACACACACACACACACACACACACACACACACACACACTGGTCCTTGAGTTTTGAAGGGAGCTAGAAAGTGCAAAGATATGGAGGTAGAAGATGGCAGGTTGTGTATGGGGAAGAATAAGTTGGCCCATTTGGCTCCAGTGTGGAGCAAATGAAGGGCAGTGATGTGGGCTGCAGTGAAAGGCTTTAAATGCCCAACAGAGGAATTTGTATGTGGTCCTAGAGGCAATGAGGAGCCAATTGAATTTCCTGAGCCTATGAGTGATGTCATGAGACCTGTGCTTTAGAAACACCACTTTGGTAGTTGTGTGAAGGATGGTTTAGAGAGGGGAGAGGCCAGAAGACTCAGCTGGAGGCTACTGCAGTCATCCAGGCAAGAGGTGATGAGAGTCTGAGGAAGGTAGCAACCACGTGGGTGGAGAGGAGATCTACTCAGGAGATGTGGATAAGGGATACAGGTAGACTGAAAGTGGCAGGAGAGGATGATGAGCCAGGGATCCCTGAGGCTAAAGCCTCCATGTCCTCTGGCCTTCCGAATGCCATCTGTTGTTCAACCGGTCAGTGCCTCCTGGTGCCCTCTGACCTAGCTAGGGTACCTTCAACCCTTGTAGTCCGGTGTCACTACATGTGCTCAGTGTGACCTGCCTGGTAGGCACTGAGCCGTCCTCAGGGATTCAGGAGGTTAGGGGTGGGGGTTGTAAACTTCCCTCCTGGGTGATGTTATAGGGATTGGAAGGGAGAACCCAGGGCAACAGAGAGTTCCCACATACTTCTTTCCTTGACCTTTCCCAATGCCGTACCTGGTGCCTGGCTGGAAGGCTGCCTCCTCGCTTGTACCAAGTGACCTGGGCATGGGCCTGCCCAGCCACGACACAGTTCAGAACCAGGGTCTGCCCCTCAGCAACAGTAGAGGAAGAGGATTCAATTTTGATTGGAGGAGTGACACCCGGGGCTGGAGGGGATGGACACAGAGAATGGATTATCATCTGCTCTGGAGGCTCAGAATGATCCCAGCCCAGCCCACCGCCCATCAGGTGCCCCCTTGGCCTTGACTTACGGTAGGAGAAGCTGGCGCCCTGGCCTCCAGTGACTGTGACCGTGAGGGAGGCCTCCATGCCGTTGGCCGCACGACACACATACTCACCAGCATCGGCTGGGGTGGCGTGGAAGATGTACAGGCGGGAGCCACGCACCTGCAAAGGGAGCCATGAGGAGGGACGAGACAGAAGGCCCTGGAGCCTCTTCTCTTACAGAACCTCAGCCATGAAAGGGCTCCCCAAAGCCACCTGGTCCAATCTTTCCCTGAACAGTCAGTGGTCAGTCAACAAACATTTAACATGAGCCAGACACTGTGCTAAGCACCAGGGATTACCAAGAAAAGCAAAAACAATCCCTGCCTTCCACGAGCTTCCAGTCTATTGGGGAGGTGTTCTTGAGGCCACATTCCCAGCAAGTGGTCACCCAGTCTCCACTTGAAGATTCCTAGTATTATTTTGTTTTTATTTCTTTTTTTTTTTGGTGAGGCAATTGGGGTTAAGCGACTTGCCCAGGGTCAAACAGCTAGTAAGTAAGTGTCAAATGTCTGAAGCCACATTTGAACTCAGGTCCTCCTGACTCAAAGGCCGGAGCTTTATCTACTGTACCACCTAGCTGCCCAACTAGTATTAAAAAATTTTTTTTTTAAGGCACTTGGGATTAAGTGACTTGCCCAGGGTCACACAGCTAGTAAGTGTCAAGTGTTTGGTCTGAGGCTGGATTTGAACTCAAGTCCTCCTGACTTCAGGGCCTCTCTGCTCTATCCACTGCACCACCTAGCTGCCCCGAAGATTCCTAGTATTGACCCTAGTATCCGAGGCCTTCATTTCCAATCCCCTGTTTGTACCTACTGTCTGTGTGATCTTAGGTGAGTCACTTCCCTTGGACCTGAGCTTCCTCACTTCTAAATGAGGGCTTGGACTGGAGGACCTCTGAGGTCTATGATGCTAGCAATAGAGAGCTGACTTCCTTCTCAGGCCAACAATTCTGCTTTTGGGCAGAAGGGGAGCAGAGAGCTCTGTACTCCTTGCCTACCCTGGCCCTAATTCTCTGAGAATTCCTCACTTTGATAATGATGATTATTATGTCATAAATAATTGTTATTATTATGTTACACATAATAATTATTATTAACAGCATTTGAAAAGCTCTTTATAAATAACATCTTATTTGACCTTCACAACAACCTTGGGAAGGAGATGCTATTATTTATCCTCCTTTTACATACAGGAAACTGGGGAAAAAGAGGTTAAGTGACTTGTCCAGGGTCTCCCTGCTAGCAAATGTCTGAGGCAGGATTTGAATCCAGGTCTTCCTGACTCCAAGTCTGAGCTGAGCCTCTCACCTGTTACTTTCTTTTTGGTTCAGTTCAAAGGCCACCTCCAATAAGAAACCTTTACTGATTCTTACAGTTAGGGTTCCTTCTTGCTTTAAACGATCATAGATCTACTTTTTTTTTTTTAAAACAAGCTATGCTTCTCAGTAGTGTATAGTCCTTGAGGGCAGAGACTGCTTTCATTTGGTGTTTGTTATCACCACTGCCTGGTACAGAGTCTACTACCTTGTACACAGTAGGAACTTAATAATTGTTCATTGAATTGGAATGGGCCAGGCACTCGGACTGAGAGCTGCCTCCAGGGCTTCCTTCCTCTCCTCCCTCCTCCCCAGCCCACCCCCCATGCCGCTTGACCTCTGCTGTCGTCTTCTTTGACAGGGGGTCCAGTACCTGGTGACGGGCAGGGAGGCTGCCCCCTCGCTTGTACCAAGTGACCTGGGCATGGGCCTGCCCAGCAACCACGCAGCTCAGGTCTACCGTCTGCCCTTCGGCCACTGTTGGGGATGAGGATTCGATCCGGACGGGTGCAGGAGTGGCTGGGGCTGCAGACACAGGGGTCATGTTAGGATATCAGACCCAGCAGCAAAGGTAGGCAGTGAAGAGAAGATAAGGATGGGGAAATAAGGGGGCTAGAGAGAGATAAGTGGAGGGGAAGTGGAGGAAAGTTAGCTGGAAAGGATAGTGGAGGGCCAGGGGTGAAGTAGTAAATCAGAAAGCCAAGGGAAGCTGGGCTCCTGGGCTAGGCTCTCATAACAGATCTAAGACCAGCAGGAGGGTGGGGGGAGGCCTTTCCCTTTGCCTCCAGGCTGTTCACCTGGGATGGAGCCATCATTAGAGCGGGAAGGTTGGATGGTGATGATGAGAGAGGCCTCATGGGGACGGGAGTCTCGGACCACACGGCACACGTACTCCCCGGAGTCAGCTGGGGTTACCTGGTACAGCCGTAGCCAGGTTCCATGGTCCTGCTCAAGGGGAAGGAGGGAGAGAGATGTGGGGCAGGAGAGGAAGGAGACCCTCCAGGCTGCTCCCACCCCCCCAGTGCCACCAGCTACGCTCCCAGGGGCTGGAGGCGCTGCATGTGAGTCAGGAGTCCACGGCCCCCATCTGGGCTCTGTCACTGATCATGCCCTCCCCTACCCTGAGGTTCCATGTCCTCATGGGGAAGGGAGGCAGGTCCTACCTGTCAGCCTATTTCACAAGCTGGTCATGAAGACAGCACTTTGTAAAACTTAAGTATCATAGAAAAGGTAGCTACCCCTGCTAAAGCTCCCAGTTAAGTGGGAGCCTTGGGGGTGGGGCTCCTCCCATGGCAAGCTACAAGTTGGATGGCTTCGGTCACCAGGGAAAGGCAGTGTGCCTCAGTGGAAGGCACATGGGATGTGGAGCAGTGGGTTCTAGGTTAATAGCACCTATATAGCACTTTAAAAATATTATCTCTTAAAAAATAAAAGTATTATCTCATTTGCTCTCTGCAACCACTCTGGGACATAGGCACTATTATTATTTCCATTTTACAGCAGAGAAAACTGAGGCAGACAGATTAAGTGATTTGTCCAGGTCATGCCTGTGGCAGGGATTTGAACTTGGGTCTTCCTGACTCCACGTCCAGAGCCTTAATTTCCTCATCTGTAAAATGAGGGGATATGGCTACATGACCTCTAACTTCTGTTTCAGCTCAGAATCCTAAGGGTCTATAAGGACGCCAGACACCACCTCTCTCTGACATTCTTCTCCCCTACCTGACGCCGGACAGGGAGACTGCCACCACGCTTATACCACGTGACTTGGGCGTGGGCCTGTCCAGTGACCACACAATTCAGATCCACGGTTTGTCCTTCAGTTATTTCTGTAGAGGAGACCTCAATCCTCATGGGGAAGCTGGTGTCAGAGCCTGAGGACAGACAGGTGGGTCAGGGAGCTAGGTGTAGACTCCTCTTCCCTGTACTTGGCACCTGTCTCCAAGGCTCGGCTGGCAGTGCCACTGAGGGCATGGGCCCCAAGGATATACCAGAGTGGGACAGCTGGGTGGCCGTGGCAGCTGAAACTGACGCATGGAAGGCGGCTCAGAATGCCTGGGCCCAGGCAGCCTGGCTGCCCCTAGGGGCCTGGACAGGGGCATCCGAAGTCTCCCTCCCATATTCCATCCTAACTCAGCACCTTGTTCTCAGTTCTTTTTCTCAGAAATGCCTCATTGCTGATGGGTCATTACGCATAGTAATCTTCCTGCTTCGATCATACTTCCATCCTAAGACCTTTAGGGACTCCCTAACAAAGAGCCTATCTAATAAAATACCGGTTCTGGCATCCGAGGCCCTTTACAATCCGGTGCCACCTCTACTGGCAAGGATTATTTCATGTGACTACTTTTCCTGGATTCTGGAATCCATTCAACCTGCACTATCCACTATCCCCTATTCCCTTGCCTTCTCTTGTCTCCATCACTTTGCTCACACTATCCCCCAGCCCTGTGATGGACTTCTGCCCCCACTGCGACAACTGTCCATTGAAGCCCTCCCCTTCCTTCCAGACCCCAAGCAGAGGCCACTTCTTCTATGAAACTTTCTCTGACTCACCCTCCAGGGTCTTTCTCTTACTTCGAATTTTTTCCCCTAGCACTCTGTTTGAGCCTCTCTGGGGCAGCCCTGTCACCTCAGTCCCTGCCACCCCAGTTATTTGTGTCTCTTCAGAGCAAGGTCTGAGTGACAGTTATCTGAGCATCTTCCCCAGTACTGAGTAAAAGACCTTGTGTGAGATGCCATTTAATAAATATTGGTGAATGAATGAGTGACAATGTTGGGCATTAGCCAAGGCCTTTGCATGTCAACTCAAAGAGCCAAGCTATTTCACTTTACTTCCATGTAAGCAAGGCCAAATGCTCCATTTTTCCTAGGTCTTCTGGTCCATTCTTCCAGGGATGGAAGAATTAAGGGTCCCTCCAAACTCCCCTGGGTTTTCAGACCAGGGAATGTCTCTTGGGGCTTGGCAGACATATTCCAGAGAATCTATGTGATCCTGCAGCTTCTGGCCTCTCTCTGGCCTGGCCCACCATCATGGTCCCTCACCTTGTGAGTATCCAGAGCCAGGACTGCCCCCATGGGAGACAGAGATATCAATGGAGGCTTCTTGGTGGCCTGAGGTGCCCTCAAACCGGCACACATATGTGCCTGAGTCTGCTGGAATCAGGTGATATAGCCGCAGTCGGGTGCCATGAACCTGAGGACAGAGAATTAAGGGATAGGGTGGATGGAAAAGGGAGAAGAAGGGTGCCCCATGCCCTTTGCTTCTCAGTACCCCAGAGTCTTAGCTGTAGGGTCTCAGAATGACCCCCTTTCTACATTCCCATTATGTCCCTCTACCAGTCCCCCAAATCATAACTCCATCTCCCACCTCCCTTCTCCACGTGGCTTCCCTAAGAGGGGTTTCCAGAAGTACCTGGTGCCGAGTAGGGAGGCTCCCACCACGCCGGTGCCATGTGACCTGGGCATGGGCATGACCAGTGATCACACAGTTCAGATCCACTGTCTGTCCTTCAGTCACTGATGGAGAAGATGACTCAATCCTCATGGCAGGGACAGCGCCTGAGTCTGGAGGTTCAGAATGAGAAGGTGAAGATCGTTAGATCATTGAAAGGATCAGCCTGCTATGTACCAGGACGTGTGCTGGGCACTGGGGGCATCAAGGGTCATCTAGTTCACATACCCCCCATTTTGAAGGGCAGCATAGTGTAGTAGAGAGGCTACTGGACAGAGGTAGGAAGACCTGAGTTACTAGCCTCAGTTTCCTCTTCTGTAAAATGGGCACCTAGCTCAAAGAGTTGGTTGTGTGGATCAAATGAGATCAAAGAGGAAGGCCCCAAAGCACTATTGATTTTTTGTAGATGAGGAAATGGGAGGCAAAGTGTCAAATCAATAAACAAATCAACAAACATTTATTATTCACCTACTATGGGCGAGGCACTATGCTAGGTGCTGGGGATATAAAGGCAAAAATGTAATCATCTCTGCCCTCAAGAATCCTATTCGGGGAGACCACACCTACATATATAGGTATGTAAAAGAATAAAAAGGGAGTAAGTACAAAGGAGTTGCCCAGGTAGCAGGTGGAAAGGCCAGGATGTGAACCCATGTGCTCTAACTCCAAATCCAGAGCTCTTTCTCCTGTCCCACTTAGGAAAGGCTGATGGGGAGAGCTGGAGAAAGGCTAAGTGACCAGGCCCTCAAGTGGCCCCTTCAGGGGGGCCCCTGCCTCTTTATGCCCAGGCCAGACCTTCAACGGGCACCTCAGCCCTGCCCACTAACTGACCAGGCCTCAGCTTTGGCCAGTGCTCCCTGGGCAGTCACCCCTGCCCCAGTCCACACCTGGAACAATCACCACTTCCATGCGAGCCTGGGCACTGCCAGTGAGGGTGTTAGAACTGCACACGTAGACACCAGCATCAGCAGCTGTTGCATCTGGGATGAAGAGCATGGTGTGCTCCACACGGGCCTGCAAGGTCCAAGCAATGAGTTGGGATGAGAGAGGAAGGGAATGAGACAATATAGGATAGGAGAAATGATGGGTCTAAGAAACATGTACAGTGTCTGGGGCACAGGTGGACTGTTGAAGGAGGAAGGAGAGACTGGAATAGTTTTTTTTTAAGGCAATTGGGGTTAAGTGACTTGCCCAGGGTCACACAGCTAGTAAGTGTCAAGTGTTTGGTCTGAGGCCGGATTTGAATTCAGCTCCTCCTGACTTCAGGGCCAGTGCTCTATCCACTGTGCCACCTAGCTGCCCCGAGAGACTGGAATAGTTTAGAGAATGTAGAAAAGAGGGAGATGAGGAGGAAGGGAAGGCAGAGAATGGGAAAAGAGAGTAGGGGAGACAAGGGAGAGAAGAGAAGGAAAGGGGAGAAGGGGAGGAAGCAGATAAAGGGGGAGGCGAAAGAGAGAAGGGAGAAAAAAAGAAAAAAAGGAGGGGAAGAGTAGAGAAGTGGGTAAAAGGAGGAGGAAAGAAAGAGTAATGGACACTGAGGATAGTGGGTGGAGACACTGTAAGAATAGGTCTGTTTTAGAACAGACTGGACTAGACTGGGCTAGGCAAAGCGGGTTTTAAGAACTGGTCCTGAAGTTCTCACCTTGGCTGGTAAAGATCCCCCCTCCTTAGTCCAGACGATCCTGTGGGGTGGGTTCCCAGTCACCTGACAATTCAGCCTCACGATGTGGCCCTCCTGCACCTGGGTCTGCTCAGGGCGTGGCTGGACATCGGACGTTCGAGCCCCTGCCCAGAAGAGGCAGAGGGAGTTCTACTTGGTGCGCCCTTCTCCCCGCAGCAAAACTCCTTCTTTTCCCCATACTTTCAATGTTGCTCATCCTCTGGGGCCTTTGGCTCCTTCCTCCCACTCCCATCATTGCTCCAGATCTACCCAACCCTTCTCCCTGCTTGCAACATCGAGACAGGCCCCTGCTCACATCCCTGACCTTCTCCTCCCCTTCCTTGCGTTCCTTCCCCTCTTACCATGCACATGGAGGACAGCTCTGGCTACATGCTGTCCAGCAGTATTGGAAGCACGGCATAGATACTGGGCTTGGTCAGACAGCTCAGTGGCTGGGAGGCGTAGGATACCACCATGGATCCAGGCCTTCCGGGGCATCTGACCCCCAGGACCTCCTGGAACCAAAAGAAGGGAGTACTAGGTCAGTGACAGAGTCTGGCCCAAGTCCTCACCCTTAAGACCCTCATTCTACCCATGAAGAAGGGGAGATATATCACAAAGTTTTTCACCCAATATTGCCTATATTATCAGGCTGGGTTGCTATGTTGGTTAGTTTTGTGATGTTAACTTATTTTTCTCTTTTTATTATTATTTGTAATAAGGCATGGCTCTCTGGGTAGGGATTAGGGAGGGATATGTTTAGAAGTAAAGGTAATATAAAAACAAAAGAGATTAATAAAAATGTTTTCAACAAATTGATCAAAAAACCTTCAAAGTTCCCCATCCCCTTTTCCTCCACTTGAATGTTCAGACTAAGTCCTAGCTTTGCCAAAGATCAAAGATCAAAAATGTAGACTTGGAAGGAGCCATGGAGGTCATCTGGCCCAACCCCCTTGCTTTGCAGATGAGAGTACTGAGGGTCACTGTCTAACCCAAGATCACACACGTAGTAACTGGCAGAGAAGGGATCTGATCTCAGGTAATCTGATTCTCCTTCTAGTGTACCTTCCCTAGCACCAAGCTGCAGCCATGTGACTGCTAACAATGAAGGACAGTAGGCAGCACAGAAGTCTTCAAAAAGTTTCAAAAGGGTCCCCACCTGACCATTCCAGGCTAGGCGCTGGGTTCCCGGTGGCACTACAGCGGAACTCTGCCGGCTGGCCAGGTTGCACTGTGAGCTGCGGTGGGTAGATAGAAACCACAGGTGGTGATGGGCTCCCAGAGGCTGTCAACAGAGGAGGGGCAGACGGTACAGTCAGGACCGTGGTTCAAGGACAAGAGAGAAGAGAGAAATGCAATCATAATAGGGAATCTAACGCGAAAGAAAGGCCAGAGAAGAAAGGAAATGGGAAAGCCTGGGGATGGGGAGGGGCTGAGGTTGGGAAGAAAGAAGAGACAGGAGGGAGAAGCCAGGACCTAATGAGAAGGAGGGCAAGGAATGAAAACAATAATACTAATAATAAAAATCCACATTGCATTACATATGTATGGAAGGAGTGGTAGGGGCTCCCCTGAGGGGCAAGGAGGCTGGAATAAAAAATAACCGAATAATAATAACAACCAAAACAATAACTCCCATATAGCACTTACATCCACTACTTATTTTAGTATCACAGACAGGATTGTGGATCTAAAAGTTCTCTTTGTCTCTGACTCTCTTGGCAATTAGGGTTCAGTGACTTGCCCAAGGTCACACAGTTAATAAGTGACTGAGGCTAAATTTGAACTCAGGTCCTCCTGACTCCAGGGCTGATGCTCTATCCGCTGTACCATGTAGCTGCCCCTAAAAGTTTCCTCAAAGGTCACCTACCCCAGCTCCATCATTCTACTGATGAGGAAGGTGATTTTCAGAAAAGGAAAGTGACTTGCCCATAGCCATGGCAGAGGTTTGAACCCAGGTCTTTGGACAACAAGTTTACTTTATCAACAGGTCGAGAAGGAAGAGAGTGGGAGAGTAGGGACTGGACCTAGGATGGGGGTAGGGAGGTTTTTAAAGGGTGGACAGATAGAAGGGCCCAGACTGGTGAGGGGTGAGAGAGGGGGGGTTGTACCCTGGACATGCAGCGTGGCGGTGCCCTGGTCCATGGCGAACATGTTGGAGCCAGTGCACACATAGGTGCCTGCGTCGCTGGGCTGGACGCCCCGGATGGTTAGGATGCCATTGAAGTCCATGGCTCGTGAAGGCAGCTTCCCATTATGGAGGCGAGTCCACACCAGCGTGTAGGCCGGAGACTGGGAGAGGCAGAAAAGACAAACAAGATCCATGGGACTTCTGGCCTCCTGCACATTATCTGTCCTCTCAACCTAGACCCAGCCCCTAAGAAGAGATGCCACCTCCGCCTCACCTTGCTCTTGGCTGTGCAGATGAAGGTGACGTCAGCCCCAACTCGGACGCTCTGGCTCGTCTGCTCCTCCACGGTCACTGTGATAGCCTTGGTGGGTGCCTCTGCACACAAGTGGAGAGCTGCAGTGTCTGCCAGTCCTGGCCCAGCCCCTGATGCCAGCCCCGGCCCAGCCCCCGGTGCCAGTCCCAGCCCAGCCTCCAATGCCAGCCCCGGCTCAGTCCCTGATGCCAGCCCTGGCCCAGCTCCCGATGCCAACCCCAAACCGGCTCTAAACCCAGCCCCAAACCTCAATCCTAGATCCAGGCCCAGGCCCAGACCCTAACCACGTCCCATACACCAGCCCCAGCCCACTTCTAATCCTAGGGCTAAACCCACTCCCTAGCCCTTACCCTGATCCTAATCCAAACACCAATTCTAATCCTGATTCCAGACCCTGACCCAACCAAAACCCAGACCCTAACTCTAACCTTTGAAGAGAAAGAAGCAGCTTAGATGAAGGGTGGAAGGGAAAGTGTAGAGAGCTACAGAAACATCAGCCATCAGTTATGAGAGCTACAGGGCCAGAGGAAGGAGGAGAGAGAGGAAGCAGACAGGGGCCGAGGGAGGCTCACCGGTGACCAGAAGCTCAGCCCTGCTGGTGTTGGCATGGTAAAGGTTGCGGCAAGTACAGATGTAAACGCCTGCGTCGGAAGGCTGGACGCTGGGGAAGTGGAGCTCAGAGCCTGGAGGTGTGTGAGTGGGTACTCTCAGAACAGCTTTGACCAAACCCCACTCCAAACATTCCCACCCCTCCCTGCTCCTACCTCCTCAGGTCCTTCCACTCCAGACAAGGCCCTGAGGCAGTAGGGACAGGTTGCAGGGAATTGGAGAACTGAAGATCCCATTCCCACTCACTACCTACTAGGGACTCCTGGGACATCCAGTACCTTGTTGACGCTGTTGGGTGGTGCTAGGGATAGACCGTCCATCTTCTCGGGTCCAGTAGTAGTAGTATGGGGGGGCTCCCGCTGACCTGGCATCGGAGGGAGTGGGAGCTACCCTGGGGCACTGTGCTCCGGGCTGGATGGACCTGAACTACCAGCAGGGCCTGGTCTGCTGAAGAGAAGGAAGTTCAGAGGGGCAACTAAGCCTGGTGACCCGCTCACCCACATAAACCACCCTGCTTTGACTTGTCTCTAAATACGAGGTCTGTGGGACCAAGGGATCTTAGAACCCAGAATGTCAGAGCTGGGAGGGCCCTTAGAACACAGGATGTCAGAGCTGGGAGGGCCCTTAGAAGCCAGAATGTCAGAGCTGGGAGGGGCCTTGGGACACAGGTAAAATCTCTCCCCCAAGTCATGCTACCCTGGTTCCAGGACTCCCAATACCAACTCATTAATCACTCTTCCTAGAATCCCTTCATTCCCTGCCCTCTGCAGTTCTCCATCTTCAGTCCTCCACTTACCTTGAGGCTGGCAGCGGCCTCCACGAACACTGGGGTTGCCCGCATAGCCTGGGGCACACCTGCAGGAGACATGCTACCCTCATCAGACTATCCCCATTAGGGCTGGCTGGAGCCCTTGGGATGCCTGGGGGATCAGAGTTCAGCTTCCTGCCCAGGGCTAGGCATGAGCCACAAGGGCCTCTTTTGGGAAAAGAGGGACTCGAGGCAGCAAGTAGAAATAGCTCTAAGACTACCAAGTCTCCCCGGACTCAGCTGGGTTGGGGGTTTGTTTCCACTCCAGGAGGCTCTTCCTAGAAACCCCGCTCCAGCTTCTCAGGTCCTTCCCCACGGCCTCTCATTCCACTCTCCTCCAGGCTATGCCTCTCCCTGACCCCAAGGACCCCCCACCCCAAGCTGTACAAAGACTTACTGTTCACAGTATTGGCCAGCGTAGCCAGGCTCACAGGCTGTGCAGCGGTAGCCCCCAGACCCAAGGCTCTCGCATGTCCGGGAGAACCTGTAGCCCAGGAGACCAGAAGTCAGATCTGTGTGAGTCCCTAATCTGACCCCCTTCCCCTGGGGCCAGCCCCCCTCGACCCCTCCCTTCTCCTAGGTGCCAATCATCCAGACCATGCCCACCCCTTGGGGTATCCACTTGTCAGAGGGGACTTCTGTTCAGCTTTGGCCTGGGGTAGCTGACCACCATCAGAGCTGATTTAGTGATTCCCCATTTCCCTTGGCACTAGGCAAGGCCAACCTACATGTTCTCAGGGTTGGTGAGGGGGCAGGCACAGGGCTGGCAGTCTTCAGGAGTCCCCGCAGTGGCATCACCATAGTAGCCAGGTGCACAGAGTTCACAGAATTCACCAGCCGTGTGGTGTAGGCATTGCTGAGGATTCAGGGGTGTCACACTCCGGTTTGGTGGCCCCTCATGCCCTGTATCCCCACTGAGTCCTACTGACTGGCCACTAGTGGGGGTCTCACATATGGTAAAGCTCTCCAATGCATTCCTACATGGATCTCCACCCCCTCAGTGAATCTACACTCAACCCTCCATGCTGACTCCCATTCACTAATCTACCCAGTGACCTCCTGCCCCTCACTGATGCCCTCCCCATGATTAGCCCTCCCCTTACTGATACCTCCCACCTCACTGATTCCTAACAATGAGTCCTTCCCTCACCTGCTAAGCCTGCCCTGACCCAAACCCCTAGATACCTCTTAAACACTGAGCTCCTCTCATAGAGCTCCTACATGGACGTCCTTCCACATGGACCTTACTATACTGACTACTCACTAATCATTGACACATTCAACTAACTGCCCAACCCAGATGGTACAAACCACTCTTCACTGACCTTCCACACTGACCCCTTCCCCTCCCACACAGACAGACACACACACATACAGAGATACACAGACACAGGTCTCCTCCAAATGCTTCCTCCCTCCCAAGCCCTGGCTTCCAGCTCCTATCCCTCACCGAGCAGGCTCCCGTCTCTGGGTGACAGCTGTCCGAGTGCCCGTTGCATTCACAAAGCTCACAGTGGCCCAGGTAGAGGCCGCTCCCTGTGCGTGTATAGCCAGAGGCACAGTCCTGGGAAAAGAGAAAGGAAGATCAGGGGTGAGCCTCCCACGAAGGTTCTGGGGGTGAGGGAGGAAGAATCAGAAGTCTCGAGCCCAGAGACATTGCTGTCATCACTGGGATCTCATGTGGGAACTTCAAAGTCAACATGGCCAACGTTATTTCTCTCTCTCTGCCCCAGATTGGTGACTGTTTTCTTAAAAGAAAGATTACAAAAACCACAGTGCTAGGATGTCAGAGCTGGGAGGGCCCTTGGAACACAGGATGTCAGAGATGGGAGGCCCTTAGGACACAGGATGTCAGAGCTGAGAAGGCCATCAGAACACAGAATGTCACACCCAGCAATGACTTTAGTACAGACAATGTCTGAGCCAAGATGAGGCTTTAGAACACTGAATGTCAGAGCTGGGAGGGCCCTTAGAACACTGAATGTCAGAGCTGGGAGGGCCCTTAGAACACAGGATGTCAGAGCTGGGAGGGCCCTTAGGACACAGGATGTCAGAGCTGGAAGGGCCCTTAGGACACAGAATGTCAGAGCTGGGAAGGCCATCAGAACACAGAATGTCACACCCAGCAATGACTTTAGTACAGACAATGTCTGAGCCGAGATGAGGCTTTAGAACACTGAATGTCAGAGCTGGAGAGTCCTTAGAACACAGGATGTCAGAGCTTGGAGGGCCTTTAGAACACAGACTGTCAGAGCTGGGAAGGCCCTTAGAACACAGGATGTCACACCCAGCAATGACTTCAGTATAGACAATGTCTGAGCTGAGATGAGGCTTTGGAACACTGAATGTTAAAACAAAGAATGTCAGATCTAGGGGGACATTAGAACAGAAGGCCAAAGCTGGAAGCCCTTCTCTTACCTGCTGAGCTTGCCCTGATGCTCTCCTGACCCTTCACTCATCCCCCCTCACACTGAACACCCTACACTAAGGATACACAAATCTGGTGATTAGAGATCAAGTTCAGGTTGGTTATTTTATAAGTGAAAAAAATCTAGGCCTAGAGACAAGTGACTTGCCCAAGGCCATATGCATGTTAGTAAAACTAAGGTAAGACCAGAAACCAGGTCTCTTGACTCCCCGTCTCGGGCATTCCTGAAGGAAGGCTAGAGCCCCCATGCTTTCCCCTCACCTGGCAGGATAGGCCCCGGTAGCCAGGTGGGCAGCGGCATTCTTCTACTTCAAGGGCACGGGGTCCAGTTCCAGGGCCAGGCAGGGCTCTCTCCATGCTGACGGCACCAATGCTGGCCGCCAGAGGGACTGAGGAGAAGGTGGCACGGACCAGGATCTCATCCAGGTCGGCCAGAACCATCAGCAAGTGCTCTCGAGTGGCTGGCTGGCCATCTAGCCTCCTCCAGAATTGCTGGTTTTGGGGAAGAAGGGCAGTGAATGGAGGTAATGAAGGCTCTATACTGCTTCTGTGACCCCCCTGCCTCCCAATCTGGCCCTTGTCTCCCTCGGCCAAGCAAAGACAAGTCTGAGGCTATGGAGGAGTCGGGTCAAAATTGGAAATTGATCAGGATGAGGTTTAGATTTGGGTCAAAGCTCTTGCTTTGATCAAAACTGGGGTCTGAATTGGGTGTCATAGTTCAGGTCAGAGTTGTTCGTGGTCACAGGCAGAGCTAGGGACATGGTCACGGCTTTGGTCAGAGTTGGGATCATGGCCTTGGTCAAAGTTGTGCTCATGGTCTTGTCAAAGTTGGGATCACAGTCATGGTCATGGTCATGATCAGAATCAAGATTATGGTTGACATCAGAGTTGACGTCATGGTTGGACTCATAGTCAGGATTGCTGTTGGGGTCAGAATCAAGGTCAGGGCTGGAGTCTTGGTCCTAGTCAGACAAGGTCAGGCTGGTCCACTTGTACCTCTCTGAACACTATTTCGAAGCTCTTCCTTTCACGGCCTTGCAGCTCTGGTTGGGTGGCCACTAGAGTGATGTCATTCCCCTGTGGAGAGATGGTGAGATAAGATGAATAATCCCTCCTAAGATTATGGTACTCCATAGTTGCAAAGCCTTTTCACATCCTCTATCTTTTTTTGCTCCTACAAGGTTGTAGGATAAGTAGGACTCCTCATTTAACAAATGAAAAAACTGAGGCACAGAAAACTGAAGTGATTTGGCTAAGGTCATACATGGAGTAAAATGGTAGAGCTAGGGAGCTCATGACCCCCAGACCAAGACACTATGAGATGGAAGAGGCTCTCAGTGGGCACAATGATACTGGCTGCTTTCCAATAACTCCAATCCCTGTTCACCAGCCCTCCATGCTCCCATGAAGAGAGAACAGAAGGGATCTCTGCCCCTAGTCTGCCAAGGTGGCAGCATGACCCAGAAACCCATGCTACAGTACACACTGGGAAAAGTATTACTAGAGTAGGCAGGTACTGGGAGAAGAGACTCCAGCAGAGCCTAGCCCTTTCCTTGTAGACACCCACTCCCCTTCTCCACAATCCCTACTGGTCCTGCCCACCCCTTTCTCCTGTGGTCTCATTTGAGGAAGAGCTCACCGTGATCTGCACATCAGGATCGGAGAGAGGACTGCCCTGTGCTCCAGCTGTGTAGGAGAGAATGTACCGGAGCTTCCCACCATAGGCGTCCACCTGCGGGAAACCAAGCCTGGGACGTCACCAGCCCTGCTCTGCTCCTCTGACCCCTTTGCCCCCACCCCCATCCCAACTCCGACTCCTCAGGGAGAACTGGGTGAGTGTACACAGGGTCTGGCTTGGGTGCGAGGGCCATGCTACTGTTCTAAGCTCCTTCTCTTCCCCTAGTGAGGCTGAATCCTGAGGCAGGGTCAGTGCCAGAGGACACAGGGTGGATCTCCCTTCAGCGGCAAATTCAGTTGTTGGGATCAGTCCAAGTTAACCTTGGGGTCATGAGGGTCATCTATCCACCTTCCCCCATCTATAACCCCAATTATTATTAATCTTACCCATCTTAAGACCCTCCTTAAAGCCTCCCATGATCTTCCCAGCCAGACAGGATGGTCCTTTCCATAGCTACCCCATCCAAACAAAAATTCACATTTACATCAACTAATCTTACTCAGTCACTTTACTAACCACTACTACTCCTGGGAGATGCAAACTATTTATGGTTATTAAATTATAATCTTTAAAAATCTATCAATTTAGCATACACTATTTGTGGGTCTGTAATCTCCTTTCTGCTCAACCGTAAGCTCCATTAAGTCAGAATCTTGTCTTAATTACTTCTGTATCTCTCTCAGCACCCAGTACTGTGTTCTCCACATTTTCAAAAAAACCGAACTTGTGATTTCATTGGTCATGGGGCCTCCTAGTATGGAATATCCTCTCTCCCAATGCAGGTCTGCACCTTCTCTAATTTTCAGTCTCAGTGATTTGCCTGAGGCACTGAGAAGATCAGTGACTTGAGTAAGGTCACACAGCTAGTATATGGCAAAGACAGGATTTGAACCCAGGTCTTCCTAACTCTGAAGCCACCTCTCTAACAACTAAGCAACACCTCCCCTCTCTCTGCACAGAAGGCTTTTTAAATGAATGAAGGACCTTTGGATATCATCACAATCTGCTCCACCCCTCTTTTTGTCTACATCTTTCCCATCCTCCTCTTCCACTGCCTCCTCTGAGAAGCCCCCCTGAACTCCTCAGCCTAGGAGGATCTTTCCCCGCTCTAGGGCAATTCCTACAGGCCTGGTCTGCTCTGTCCTACTCCCTGGCTCCCTAAGCACACATGCCCTGGCCCTATTGGCTCAATTCAATCCAGTTTGTAAAATGGCAGCAGGGTGTATATGTATGCAGTTGGGTAATCTCTCCTTTCCAGCTCTAAATCTCCAATCCTCACTCTGACTGAAGAAGGCCTCCCCTCCTCTCTATCCCTGCTGCCATCTGTCACTGTGTCCCATGATGTCTCGGTTCCCCAGCCCTCAGGACCCACAGACCCCAACCTGTGCTATAGCTAGCCAAGCCTAACTGGGCTTCTTCTCCTGCTTCTTTGGCTCTTGGGCCCCAGGCCCCAATGCTATAGCTTAAGCATAGTCACTGGAGACCTGCGCTGGAAAAGGGAAGAGAAGCTGTGTGGGTCCACTGACAATGGCGAACTCCTCCGTCGCCCCTCCCCATGTACCAGCCCTCTGTTCCCAGAGGGGAGGCCAGAACAGCTTTTTTCCCCCAATAGCCATTTTGTTGGGGTCTGCCTAGGCTCTCTTCAAGGCTCTCTTTAAGGCACTGGCTCTCATTGGGGCAGAGCCCTTTTCAGAAACTCAACTCAATTTAATGGCGAATTTGGGTGTCTGAGCTAGGCCAGGCATAGGCTGGTGACAATAGTATAGAGATGCTAAAGGAGCTGTATCTTGAGGTGTCTGGGAGCTGGACAGCAAAGGATGATAGAATAAAAAGTAGAGAGTAAGCCAGGAAGGTGGCATGAAACCCCAGGCTCTCCTGCAGGCCACCTGCTTGTATTTACATTCCAGGGTCCTGGGCCCTTCCATCGTGCACAGTCTGGCTAGACCAGTCTTGTCAAGGAACTTTTAAACCAGAGGTTCGGCAATCTCCCTGTCCTTCCCCGGCCCCCATTACCTTGTCCCCTAGGAAGATTCTAGGTAGCTGCCAATAATAGACTCTTTCAGGAAGCTGAGAGAAGGCCTTGTAGGCAAGAGAAAACTAGGATAGAAGGTGGAAAGACCAGTGAGGGTCTGGGAAAGCAGGAAGGAAGGGAGGAGGATGGGGCAGGGCCATTAGTGGATTCAGGGAGAGACTGAGAACCCCAAAAGGCAGGCAGAAGAGAGTTATCACCATGAGCTCCCAAGGCTCAGGCCCCTGGGACAAAGACTAGATATAGTTAGTGGCAATTGTTTCTGAGACCCCAAGGAATGGTGACAGGTACCTGGGGATTGGTGGCCATCCAAGGAGGCCATGGTCACTGTCTAATGGGCAGAAAAGGGTAACCAGATGGGCAAAGGAAGTAGAGGGAGGCCTTCAAAACTGGCACACAGTGGGCACTCAGGGATACGGGGAGGGAATGGGCCCAGAATTTGCTCCCCTGGCCCTCACAGCCTTCCTGCTCTGTATATTGCAAGGGGGTGGCACGAAAGGTTTACCAGACTATGTTGGTAGGGATGAGCCAGTCTAGAGGCATGGAGCTAAACAGGCAGTGGTGGATGGAGTGGGGCAGGGAAGGGTGGGGAGGAGGGGAGGAGCAGGGTTGGGCAGAGTCCCTGAGGACACAGCTTGGCTCTGCTACCTAGCCACCTACCTGAGAGCCAACTAGCCTGGCAGTTGTGCCAGAACCAGGGGCTGCAGGGGGAGAGAGGGAAGCCGCTTGAGAGAAGGAAGAAGAGGAAAAGGAAGAAGAAGAGGGAGGAGCTGCCTTTAAGGAGGCCACAGACTGATGGTGGGTGGGCCCTGCATGGCCTGGGCCAATGAGTTGGGGGGGAGCAGCAAAGCTGGAGAGGAGCTGCCAGATCTCTGCATCCATCCGCCTTTGAGCCTCATCCACCTGGAATGCAGGTGGGAAAGGAAGGAGAGGGAAGGAAGGGAGGGATGGAGAAAAGGGAGGGAGAAGTGATGAGGAAGGAGGAAGATGGCCAGCAGAAGGGAGATGGGAAAGGAAGGAGGGAGGGATGGAGGAAGGAAGGAAATGGAGGGAAAGAATACAAAAGAAAGAGAAGATTGCAAGAATCAGCAGGATGTAGAAGCCCCTTTCCCACGCCCCCCCCCAATCTGTGGATTTCCCCAGGCTGCCTTCTTAGCGACCCCCTCCCATGCCAAGCCGCAAGGTTACCCAGAGGGTTACCGAGGGCAGGACTACCCTTGCTACCTCCACAGGGGACAGTGAGACTCCAAGGCCTCCCTCTCTTCCTAGTCCTCACCCCCTGGGGTTGTGACTGCTTTGATCTTAGAGGGCAGGTGTTGCTAATGGGGAGGGGGGGATTGGTGGCATCCAAGCAAGACATGGGCACTGTCTAATGGGCAGAAAAGGGTAACCAGATGGGGAAGGGAGGTAGGGGGAGGCCTTCAAAAGTGGCACACAATGGGCACTCAGGGATACGGGGAGGGGATGGGCCCAGAGTTTGTTCCCCTGGCTCTCATAGCCTTCCTTGCTCTGGGATATATTCCAAGGGGTGGCGTGAATGGTTAGCCAATGATGGCATGAGCCAACACTAGAACAGGAAAAGTGGGCACAGACTAGACCTATACCCTCAGTTCCAAAAGCACTGGCTTTGGCTCTGGTCTTTCGCCTTCTCAATAGGGCCCTGGGCATTGCCAGGCTCAATGGTTACCTGGGGTGCCCGGGCTGCCCGGCCCCTGCCCACAGGGGGCCCCAGGATCTTCCCAGTTGCCACAGCCTCCCGCAGCTGCTCCTCTGAGAAGGATGTGCGGTTCTGATAGGACGGATGGTGGGTCAGCTCTCCCCAAACAATGCCTTGGCACCAGAACCCTTGGGCGGTGCCAACCCTCCCCTAGGTGCCTGCCAGTGCGAAGTCCCCAATCTGTATCATGCCATGAGTCACAGTTTCTCATTTCTGAGCTTGGCACATGGAAAGTTAGCTCCAGGTGATTGAAGGGTCAGTGCCAATGACCTGGTAATGTCAGGTGACACCACGGTTACCTCCTTCTGCCAACCCACAGTTGGTACTGGAGCCCAAACCACAGAAAGGTCATAGGAAGGTTGTGGGAATACTCTTCTCTTGGCTTGGCCTGTGGGGCCCCCTGCCTGACTACGAGCCTGGATGTGCCCGTAATGGACAAGCAGTGACTTGTGCCCAGGGCATCACTATATCCCTGCCATGGGCACCACTGCTGGGCCACCAGAGCATAGAATCCTGCATTCCTTTGGATCTGCACTTCATGCTGGGCTGAGGGGAACAGCAGGCTCCCCAAATACACACCAGGAACATGCCACACCACACTCGACATGTCATACCTGATGTGCCCGCCGTAGCCGTGCAAAGAATGCCTCCCTCTGGCAGCACAGGGTACCAGGAGAAACACAGAAATAGGAGAGGCCCCAGAGATCACAGGAGACAAAGATATGGAGGACAGAATGAAAATAAGAGAAAGAGACCAGAGGGACAAGGGGAGAGATATGCAGAATGGATATGAAAGCAGAGACCAGGGGCAGAGACAGGATAGACAGAGATGAAGGAAAGGTGGCAGGAAGGGACATAGAGACATGGATAGGGGACAGATATGGAAGGAGACAAAGGGACAAGAGACAGAAGGACAAAAAAATGGAGCAATGAAGAGATAAGTGCCCGAATGATGGGTTCCCTTGGCCTAATCTGGAGAGGTGACACTAATATGGCGAGCCCACTGGGAGGAAGAAGGTGAGAAGCCAGTTATGGTCTCAAGGATGGAGAAGGGTACAAGCCCCAGGGCTTCACACCACCAAGAAGCATGATCCACCCTCCTTTCTTCACTACTTTCCTGACTCAGGTCCCATCCCACCAACGTGCACAACCAGTTGGGCGTTGCCCTTACCCAGCCCACGGCAGCTCCTTGGACACAGGACACCCTAACATCACAGCCCAAAGGCAAAACCTTTCTACTTCATCCTCTGCCTCCTCTATCATCTGCATCACTGCCACGGTCAATTTCATCATTGCCCTTACAAGATCATCACAAGCCATTCTGAGTGCGGGGAACTGGGCCGGCCCCCACTGCCCACCTCTGTGCCCTCACACACTGTACCTTGTCTCCCTGGTAAAGCTCGGGGAGCTGCCAATAGAATGACTCATGGCCCAGTTGGGCAAAGTTGCTGAAGGAGAGCTGGCTGCCCTCAGGCATCGGCTCCACTGTGAAACCACCAGCCACCCGGCTGCTTCGCTGTCGATTCACCAGCGTGAAACCTTGGAAGTCACCAGGAGCAAAGGGGCTTGAGATCTAGCAGGAGAGAAGGTAGGATGGTGTCATTTTGGGTATTGGGGGGTAGGCGCTAAAGGAGAGCATTGGGATTGGCATTGGGGTGGGCACTGAGAAGGCTACAGAAATGGGTGTGGGGGTGGGCACTGAGAAGGCTATGGGAATGGGCATTGGGATAGATCTGAGGTGGGCACTGAGAAGGCTGTGGGAATGGGGATTGGGATAGATCTGAGGTGGGCACTGAGAAGGCTAGAGGAATGGGCATTGGGGTAGATCTGAGGTGGGCACTGAGAAGGCTAGGGGAATGGGCATTGGAAAAGATAACTAGGAAGAGTTTTGAGACAGCGGACAATGGAGACAGTGTTGAGGTCCCCCCAGGAACAAGGGGCTAGGCTCTGGAGAAGTCCCAGGACTAAGTAATGGAGGGGAGGGAAGAAGACAGGCCGCTGTGGGCCAGGAGGCAGAGCTGAGGAGTCCATACCAGGTGGCGGGTGTAGGAGGAGCTGACACACTGCTGAGTGACACCCATACAGAAACAGGGCAGGCAGCCTTCGGGGTTGGTGGCACTCAGGTAGAAGTGGTGAGGACGGCAATAGCTGCAGGTAGGACCCTCCACCTTGGGCTGAGGGGGGATGGGGTAGACACAGACAAACAAGAAGGTTAGCTGTCTTTTGTGGTTCAACCTCCCACCCCAGCAACCCCTGAGCTTCCTCCATCCCACTTTTTTAAAAAATTTTTTTATTTTTAGGCAATTGGGATTAAGTGACTTGCCCAGGGTCACACAGCTACTAAGTGTCAAGTGTTTGGTCTGAGGTTGGATTTGAACTCAGGTCCTCCTGATTTCAGGGCCAGTTCTCTATCCACTGCTCCACCTAGCCACCCCTCTCTATCTCGCTTTTTTTTTAAGCTAGGCAATGGGGTTAAGTGACTTGTCCAGGGTCACACAGCTCTATCTCACTTTTTAACCCAGTGCAGTCCCCTCCTCTCCCTCTAGGCCTGAGTCAAGGTCCTGGGGTAGGCAGTTGGCCTCCCTCAGGGACTCTAGGCACCCTGAGAAGGCCCTGAGCCTACTGGACTAAAGCAGCTCACAGCAAATAGAGATTTAAAGACTGCTCTCTTCACTCAGGTGAAGAAGGTAGGATCATTCCCATCTTACAGATGAGAAAACTGAGGCCTAGAGAGATCGAATGACTTGTCTAAAGTCGCATAGCCTGTAGATGGCAGAGTCAGGACTCTAACCAGGGTCTTTAGACCCACATTCAGTGGTCTTTCTGACTTTTTAATTTAAATTTTCTTTTTTATTATGAACTTAACATTCATAACAAACACGAACATTTCAGGATATAAAGAAGAACAGAAATGAGGATGGCATATGAAATTATAGCACACAGTTTAGTTTTGGGGGGCGTCAAAATACAGAGGCAGCAGTGGCTTGTGGATAGAGGGCTGGCCTTAGAGGGGGGAAGATCTAGGTTCAAATGCTGCCTCTGATACACCTGGTTCTTTGATCACGGGGAAGTCTCATAACTTCAGATCTTTTTGTTTTCTTCTCTGTATTTTTAAATGTTTTCCTGATGCTTGTTTCTAACTTTTGTGCATTGTTATCCCCAGTCCCCAGCTCCCCTCCCCTCCCTCAAACAGAAATCGCCCCTCCCACTACAAAGGCATAGAATCAAGCCCCCAGCCCCCTCGCCACCTCCTCCCACTACTCACCTTGCAACGACACTCCCCTGTGGCTTCACACTGGGTGCTGACGCTGCCTTCTGGGTCACATCTACAGCCATCAGGGCCCGGGCTGGGGCTGGGGCCGGGGCCAGGGCCAGGGACATCACCTGCAGAGAGAGAGATGGAAGGGAAAGTTATGGCTTTCCCCCCTGCTCCAGACACCCCCACCGCTGCTGCTCCTCCCACCGTGAACAGAGTGTAAGGGCACACCCCCCATGGCTTCTGCCTTTCCCCTCCCACAAACCCCACTCACTTCGGCAGGACTGGCCCAGGCTGGGGTTGCCATGGTAACCAGGAGCACACCTGGGGAAAACAATCAACTCATCAGCCATGAAAATTACAACCAGGCTTCCAAATGCTTCTGGTGTCTCCATAGAACACTTTCTCCCTCTGTGATTTCATGGGGTCAGGGGTGCGCTGGAGGCAGCTCAAACCAGCTCAAAGAGAACCGATGATTACATTTTCAACATGAGCATTTATGTCTCAGAAATCGAAAAATGCTTGACTTATTGACAGAGATTTAGTGACAGACAAAATGTTAACAATGCAAACTAAAGCTAAAAGCATCTCCTGCTCACGTTCTGCCCCACCCCCAACTCCAGAATCATTGATTAAACATTTTTCAGCACACCCCTGTACGGGGTGCCTCACAAGATAGATAATACAAGAATGATCATCTCCATTGTATAAATGAAGAAACTGAGGATATAACCTGCCTTAGGATCACAGAGTGAGCCCTGATGAGGGCGGGGCCCAAGCCAAGATCTTCGCCCTTTGCCCCTAAGGGAATCTGACTCACAGGCCCCCTAAGGGAATCTGACTCACAGGCCCCAGACCCTCATCTCCCTTTGAAAGCCTTCGCCTTACCTTTCAATCTTATTCAGATTCACCCTAAAAGAAGCTGGCTCCCTTTTGTCTATAGGTCCCAGAAAGGCCTTCTCTGATCTCAAACTGTTCCTTATCGAGTCCCCTTATCTCCTTTTGAAAGTCCTAGCCCCACCTCTATTTTGTGCAGATGCCTTTCAAACTTCTGCCTTCCTGTTCCCTCCATTAGCTATTCCCATTGTCTATTCAATCTCTCAGACCTCCCCAATTAGAATTCTCACCTAGACCCTTTCCCAACCCCCTTCTCTGGCCACCCAAAGTTACTTTAGTATTTAAGATCCACCTTGGGCCTCATTTAGATGCTGAGAATCTCAGGCCCACAAGGCTGAGCCTTTCTCATGCCCACCTGTCCTTATGGGGGTCACCTGGCCTCTGTGAGTTATCGCTAATAAACTTTTCCTCTGGCTGAAGAAGATTTTAGTTGAATTCATTCAGCAGGGCCCGGTACCGTGATCTTGGGGATTTTCCAGCACCCCAAAAGTCCTAGACCTCTTCAGTTCCACTATGTAACATGATCTCCATTAAACCATGAGCTGAAAGATTGCTTAGAAATTTTCTAATCAGGGGAGAGGGGAGGGAAGGAAATTGGAACTCAAAAATTATTAAAAAAAAAAAGAATGGTAAAAATAGTTTTTACACGTAATGGAAAAAATTTTTAACACTTTTTTTTTGCAAGGCAAGTGGGGTTTAAGTGTAACCGACTGGATTTGAACCCAGGTCCTCCTGACTCCAGGGCTGGTGCTCTACCCACTGTACCACCTAGCTGCCCATTAAAAATATTCTTAAAAGAAAACCTCATCTAATCCTCCCTTCATTTTACAGGGGAAAAACCTAAGGCTTCTACAGCACTGTGCCTCTCAAAATCAAATGCTTAAAGAAATGGCAGAACCAGGTCTAAGATCTAGGTCAAGTGTCAATGGAGGCCTGCCCTCTGTCCATCTCTTAATTCAAGTCTATAAAATCGACCTGAGAACCAGGAAGCACCCCCAGCCACTCGCCATGGGGAGGCAGCGTGGTCCAGGGAGTGGGAGGACCCAAAGGCCAATCTCCCTCTAAGGCTGTGACACATCACTTAACTTTTCTTAAATCTCAGTTCCTTCATCTAGAAAACAAGGGGCGGCTTCATGGCCTCTGAGGTCGGTTCTGCCTCATTCTAGATCTCTGCCCCTATGACTTGCTGAGAGATGTCCCTTTCTCCCACTCTCCTCTGGCCTCGCCCTCCTCCTCCTCAGGACATACCTCTCGCAGTGGCGGCCACTGTGTGCTGGGGAGCAGGCATCGCAGGTGGGACTGCCATCAGTGTCCAGGAAACAAGTGTGGATCCCCCTGGAGTTTGGGGAGAGGGAGCCAAGAAGGAGACGGGTCTGGGCTGGGAGCCGAGGTCAGGGGGAAAGGGACGACTCTCAGGGAGCATAGGGGTCAGCGCTAGAAGGAATCCTAGGATCTAGGATGTGAATTAGCACTGAAAGGAACCTGTGAGCACAGGCTGTTACAAATGGTCATTACAGAATGGTAGAAGGTAGGAGCTGGAAGGGACCTAGGGGTTATATAAGCCAGTGGCATCAAACCTGAATGGAAATACACTCAGGAGTTTTGCAGGCTGCAAGTATGACACTTCTGATCTAGCCCAATCCCTTATTTTTTTTTTTGGTCTAGGCAATGGGGTTAAGTGACTTGCCCAGGGTCACACAGCTAGTGAGTATTTTGTGTCTGAGACCACATGTGAACTCAGGTTCCCTGACTCCAGGGCCAGTGCTCTATCTACTGCACCACCTAGCTGCCCCCCAATCCCTTCATTTTACAGAAGACACTGAGGACTGGAGGAGGGACTTGAACAATGTCACACAGATAGTAAGGATCAGAGCTGAGATTCGAACTCAGATCTGACTCCAAATCCACTCATTTCTATACCGTGTAAGAACAGGGTGGAAGGGGAAGGGGGAAAGAAAGGCAAGGATAATGAAACACGAAGAAAAGAATGGGGCCCAGGGCATGGGCTACGTACTGGTTGTTAGAGGGTAAGCCGTGGCAGGGGCATGGCTTGCAATCTTCAGGGGAACCTCTCTGGGCATCACCGTAGTAGCCGGCCTGGCAACGTTCACACTTGGCACCTTCTGTGTTGTGTTGGCAGCCCTAGAAAGGAGACAGTCAAGACCTTGGGTTCCTTCAGGTCAGTGGGGAAGCCTGGCCAGTTGTCTCCATTTTCCCCCCATTCTGTGCTCTCCATCCCAAGCTAGGGGCTATCTTTTGCCATAGGATTCAGAGCCCTGGGAGTCCTTGGCACCTCGAAGAGCCCTGGTAGGGGCATCATCAGCCACTGGGCACTGGGTCAGGGGTCACTCCCGGGCAAGAGTCTCACCTGGCAAGCCCCGGTCTCTGGGTCGCATATCACTGAGTGTCCGTGGCAGCTACAGAGTTCACAAGTGCCCAGGTAGAGGCCACTGGAAGTACGAGTGTATCCCACGTCACAGTACTGAGGGGACAAGGCAGGTCAGGGAGGGACAGGGGCAGCAAAAGACCACTCCCCAGCCCAGATCAGAACTTCTTCCCTGGGCTCAGCTATTGGCAGGAGTGACGACCATCTCTAGAAGCCACAAATTGGGGAGGGGGGATTAAGCCCCCCAAGGAGCAAGGAATAAAATCACAGAGTCAAGGAAGGCCAGGGAAGCTCTTGGGGACAGGGGATTTAGGAGGGAAAGGAAAACTTAAGAAATCATCAGGACCCACCTCCTCATTTTACAGAGGGGGAAAGTGAGGCCCAGAGTGACCTGCTGGAGGTCACACAGGTAGCAAAAGCCGGGATTGTGACTTGAACACTGTCTCTAGGATGAAGGGAGGGGAGGGAAGGGCTGCAGGTGGAGGTGGGAGTGGGTGTGGGTGTACATGAATGCTGGGGGTCACCTGGCAAGATGGCCCTTGGTAGCCAGGCGGGCAGACACACTGCTCCACCTCCACAGCCTGCTCCAGCCCCGTGACCTGGGGCACTGCTACATCCATGCGCAGTCCAGAGAGCCTTTCGAGGGGAGGAGGGCATGGAGTCACGGGCATCAGAGATCATCGAATCCACCCTCCCACCCCCCTCACTTTATAGATCTGGACACTTAAGCAACAAGCTTATACAGCTGAGAAAGTGGTAGAACAAAGAGATGAACCCAGGTCCCCTGCCCCAAATCAAGCTCTTTGCCCTCTACCCTGAACAGCAGAGGCCCACCCACCATCTTCCAGCCCCCTCCAACCTCGTTCTAGGCTGCAGGATCAGAGATTTCAGAGGCCAAAGGACCTTAGGGTATAATCTGCTTATGTTGCAGATGAGGAAACTGAGGCCCAGGGCAGTAAAGTCATCTGCCCAGGGTCACAGCTGGTTTATATAAGAGGCAGGATTGGAACTCAGGCCCTCTGACTCCAAATCTAGGGCTCTCTAAATCACAAGAGGCCCACCTTTTCTATCTCTCCCCAACCTCACTCTAGTGTTCATTTCCCCCTGCCATTGCACATCGACTCCCCAAAACCACCCAGAAACTTACTACCTAGATTCCCCTGAGCACCTGCCATTGGCCCAAACCTCCTCTGAGCTGTGCCCCATGCCAGGCGCAAATCACTGGCCAGGTACCTGCTCTCTGCCTGGTTCTCAGTGAAGGAAGCTCGAATCATGATCACATCAATGCCTGCGAGGGCCATGAGCAGGTGCTCGCGAGTGGCTGGCTGCCCGTCTGCCCTGCGCCAGGCATGCTGTCAACAAGAAAGCACAAGTCCTCATGGGCTCCTAGGAAGACTATGCAGGATGAACTTGCACTCATCCCTTCAAAGAGGCTGCTCATTCTGACCAGACACCGGGTGAGGAGGAAGGCACTGGGGCCCACGGGCCTGAGAAAGACACACGGACATGGACCTCACCCCCTCCAGCCTGTTCTAGAGATCAGGGAGGGCTTGGGGCCGGGGCTCACCTCTCGGAAGGGCACAGAGAAGGTGCTGGGCTGGCCAGGCACAGGCTCCTGCTGGGCGTGGTGCTCAAGAGAGATGCCATTGCCTTGAAGCAGGACCAGCGGCTGCCCGTGCAGGGATGGGGAGCCTGGCTGCGGCCTCTGGGTTATAGTGAAATGTAGTTCTCCGCCGTAGGAGGTCACCTGCGGAATGGAAGAAGGGGCTAGGTTACACGGCCATCAGCTCCAAGGACACATGCTGGAAAAGGAGCCTCATCCAAGATAAAGGACCCTGGAATGGCAGGCAGAAGGCCTGGGTTCAAATGTCATAAATAGCTGGCTGTGAGACCTTGAATAAGTCTCTTCACTTTGCTGTGCCTCAATTTCCTACTCTGTAAATTCAGAATACAGGATTAGATGATTCTTCTTCCTTTCAGCACTGTCACTCCAAGTTGTAAGGGGCTTTCTAGATCTAATACTTTATAGTCTAAGGCTCTTCTCAGCTCTGACATCCTCTGTTCTAAGGACCTTCCCAGCTCTGACATTCTGTGTTCTAAGGGCCCTCCTAGCTGTGACATTCTGGTTCTAAGGGCCCTCCCAGCTCTGACATCCTGTGTCCTAAGGGCCCTCCCAGCCCTGACATCCTGTGTCCTAAGGGCCCTCCCAGCCCTGACATTCTGTGTCCTAAGGGCCCTCCCAGCCCTGACATCCTGTGTTCTAAGGGCCCTCCCAGCTCTAACATTGTGTATTCTAAGGCCCCTGTCAGCTCTCATACTCTCTATGCCCCACACTTCGTAGTTTGCTTGCTTACATTTCTCATTTACATTTCTCACGTGTGGGTCCTTTTGACTAGTCATATTTAACAGTGATCAGGTGCCTGCTGGCTAGGCAGAGCACAGGGTAAAGAAGCTGCTCATTGTGCTGTCCCCTCTGTCCCCAGCATCCCTTGCATCCCCCCCTCCCTTGGTGACGCTGCCCATGGACCTCCCCTCCGAACCATCACACGGCTTCCTGCTCCCATCCTCTGCCTCCTCCAACTGCATCTTTCATCCTGCCTCCATAAACATCTCCCTCCTGCAGAGTCTGGCTTCAGTTCCTTCTCTGCTCCAACTTCCCTCCCTGGTACGCGGATCCCTCCCCAATCTGATACCACTCTATCTTTCCAGCTGCTCTTATACTTTTCCCTCCATGAGTCCCAGGCCTTAGCCAAAATGGACACTCTCCAGCTCCCTGGATGTGCCTGCTTCTCCAGGCCTTCCATGCCTCAGCTCAGGCTCACTCTTGTTCCTGGAATGCCTTCCCTCCTTCTTTCTTTTTATTTTTAGCTTTTTTTGGTAAGGCAATCAGGGTCATCTTCTTTCTAACCATTGATTTCCCACTCACCTTTTTTTCCCCCTATATTTTAAATCTAACCTTTTGTTTTGAAGTTTTGTTGATGCCTACTAATTTATATCACAATCATTTCTGACCATACCTCTTCCACTTAACTCGAGTGAAACAGAATGAAAAACCAATCAACACAGGGACGACACGTGGCCCATTCCATCCCTCTCCAATGAAAGAGGAAGGCAATGTCCTCCTCTCTCCTTTTCCCTCTGGCCCCTTGTCTGCTCACCTTGTCTCCTTGAAACTTTGAGGGGAGGTTCCAGAAGTAGGGGCCAGGGAGCAGGCTGTGGAAGTCGGAGAAAGCCAGCTCCCCGGGTGCGGGGGAAGAGATGCCCTCACTTGTGCTGTGATCACCTGCTGCCTTGGACAGGCTGAACTGGGTGTGATCGCCAGCCTGGGAGGCCCCGTGCACCTGGCAAAGAGGGGGAGAGAGAGCATGGGTCTGGGCTGAGGGAGGCAGGGGGCCCTCTGTCTGCCCCAGGCCCCTGCCCAGCTTGAGTCCATCCTTGGAGCCTTGGGAGGACGTGCCAAAGCTTGTGCCCACCCAGAGCCTGTGATCGCCTCCAAAGAACAAAAAGGCAGTGCTGCCTAGCTTTCCATGGTGTTTCCAAGACCTGTCTGTGAAGGGAGGCCTATCGCAGATGCAGATCATAATCTTTTTGGGGCCTTATGAGTCAATTTAATGGGTTACAGGGATTGAAAAAGAGATATTTACCCCCAGGAGTGCAGCCCTCGGGGACCTAGCTAGGCTGGTCATCAGTCGATACAATCTGTCACCAGACCCATACTTGGAACTTTTCCAGTGGCATGGAACATACTGGAGCTTTTGAGATCCCAGAGTCATTCCCATGCCAAAAGGAGGAATCAAGCACATATTTTTCCAATAATAATGATATTTTAAAAATAGGCTCAGGATCTGCTATGGCTGAAAAAAAAATCATCCCTCCAGCAGCCGACTTAGTGAACCTCCTGGCACTTAGCAGGGCTAGTCAGAATGATCGTGGATACGACGTGCAAGGGGCCTCAGAGGGCATCAAGTGTGACTGATTTTACAGTTTACAGACTTACAAGATTTACACACCTCTGATTTAACAGCATAGGAAACTGAGGCACAGGGCAGTGGGTTACACAGATATTAATTATGTGGCAAGGCCAGATTTCAGACTCAGGTTGTCTGAGTGCAAATGTGCTCTTGATACTGAAAAAAAATCCATCCTCTACTAGCTGACCCTGGCAAGCCGGGGTCCAGGGTCATAGGAGACTAGCTCTGGAGCTGAAACGACCCAGGAGGCCATGGAGTACAAGCCATTCCTTTGACAGATGAGAACACAGAGGCTCAGGCCAGGGGAGTTGCCCAAGGTATTATGTGGCACAGATATCATTCAAACCTAGGCCTCTTTCAACCATGTCTCTCATGGTCCTCAAACAATAGACACGTGGAACGTCGCCAGGTCTCAAGGTCTTCTCAGCTGGGAGTACCTGCCAGGGCCTGCACTCAGCTGGCGAGGCCTTTGTTGACTCAGGATGCCCTTGGGGCCATGACGAGGCACTTGAGGACAGCGTGTGTATCCTGCCAGAAGCCTGTCTTTTCTGAGGCAGTTTATCCGGGCAGGGGAATGCCCACGAGGCCTCCCTTGGGCAGGCACCCATCCTCTGACCTTGTGGTCAGGCTCTGCCCCGCCCACCTCTGAGCCCCCTCTCCCTGCCCTCACCTCTCCCCCATCCCGCTTCCCACATACCTGGTCCCGGCTCCAGGAGGAGCTGGTGCAGTAACGGCTCACGCCCATGCAGAAGCACTTGAGGCAGCCGTCTGGGTTGTTGGCGCTCAGGTGGAAGGTGCCATCGGAGCACTCATTGCATAGACGGCCCACCACGTTCGGCTGCGGTGAAGGAGCAGAGTGTCAGCTCAGGAGGGGTCCTCGGCCCCAGTGTGGCCCCCAGGGGGCTGGAGGCAGGCAGACAGATGAGAAGTAACACCCTCCCAGGAAGGAGGCTGGGCCTTGGCCTTTTTAGAGGGTCTCTCAAGCTACGATGCCTTGGGCCTAGAGCTATGGGGGTGTACATTGGGACAGAAGTGGGCAGGGATGGGGGGGAGAAGAGAACAGGGGAGGGAGGAATGCCGAGGATCATGGGGGATGGAGCAGTCTTAGAGAAGGGCTAATCCAACACCCTTGTTTTACATGTGGAGAAACTGAGGCCGAGGGAAGGGAGGTGGCTTGCTCAAAGTTCAATGTGAATTCTATAAATGCTTTCCCCTTTCCTCTCCCTGTGTCATGCATGTGCTGAATTGTTTCCTTCGTTAGAATGTGCGCTCCTGGAGGGCCAGCAGCACTGCTTTTGTCTTTCTCTGCATCCATAGCACTTAGCATACAGTAAGTACTTAATAAATGCTTGTTGATTGTATGAATGACTGATGAACATCAGATCCAGCAGCATTTTTTTTTGACAGAAAGGGGATACAACCAGAAGGAACACTGGACTTGGGAGGTGGGAGACCCGGGTTCAAATCCTGACTTCAAGGCCAATTGTACAACCCTGGGCGAGTTCCTTCTCTCTTCCGAGCCTCAGTTTCATAATCTGTCCAAGTGGGGATGATAACACACTGCTGCCCTCATGCAATGGTTGTGAAGACAGCACTTGGTAAACTTTTCAGTACCTCTGGCAGGTACAGCAATGTGTAGTGCCTCGACCCCTGCCCAGCGCCCAACATACCTTGCAGCGGCAGGACTCTCCAGAGGTGCCGGTGCTGCCCCGATCATCACAGCGCACAATAGCCTGGGCTGGGGAAGAAGGCAGGGGAGGGGGACAACGTGTTAGCGGGGCCCGGGCAGGGACAGTGTACACCCTGACGGTGGAAAGGAGGGTCGTGACCAAAAGGGCATCAGCAGCACTCAGAGGGCCACGGGGCATCTGGGAGTGGTGAGTAAGGGAGGCAGCCTTGGGGAACTTAGTGTTTGTTTTTTTTAAATTTGGTTAGGCAACGGGGTTAAGCGACTTGCCCAGGGTCACACAGCTAGTGAGTGTTATGTGTCTGAGGCCAGATTTGAACTCAGGTCCTCCTGAATCCAGGGCTGGTGCTCTATCCACTGTACCACCTAGCTGCCCCAAACATAGTGTTTTATTAGGAGCCAAAAAACAGGGAAGGGGTGCAATTGAAAGTTGAGATTGTGAGACATCACTGGATGCTGGGGCTGCCAGGTAAGGGCATTCAGGCGACCTCCCAAGGCCCAGTGGGAGTAAGGGCTAGTGAAAGGAGGCTGGCATTACTCACTGGTGATTGGTTTGCATTTGCCATTGGGTTGAATAGGGTTGCCTTCGTAGCCAGGGGCACAGCTGAGGAGAGAGAAATCTGTGTCAGCAGCACTCAGAGTTATTTGGGGTGCTGTAGGACCCCCCACTTCTCCCTTGACCATGCCAACTGGACCCTGCCCTTCATATCCTGTCCTCACCTCTCACAGCGGCGCCCAGTGTACCCAGGGGCACAGGCATCACACGTGGCTTGGCCATCCGTGTCCAGGAAACAGGTGTCTGAGAACCTGTCAGCATTAGAGGGGAGTTGGCACAGGGCACCAAGTAGACTAGGAACTGGAGAATCAAGGGAGTAGGCATGGGAAATCAAAGGGTTGGGCGTGGGGAATCAAGGGTAGGCAGGCACTGGACCCTGAGGGTGATGGACATTGGCATGGTGCAGTCAGGGCTCTACCACGGTGGATCCAGGCTCAGAGAAGGTGCCAGCCGTACACTGTCTGAGGTCAGACGTACTCACCATCCCCGAGGACACTGACCTTCGAGAGGCATCGATGTAGGGGCAGGGGCACGGCCGGCAGGCGGTGGGACTGCCACGCGTGGCATCACCAAAGAACCCCGGTTTGCACTTGTTACACTGCGGTCCCTCTGTGTTATGTTGGCAGTTCTGGGATGGCGGTGGAGAGAGGGGCTCAGAACTCAGACCTCCCAGTGCTCCCAGAGAACAGTCATAGACTCCCCAGGCTGGAAAGGAGCTAGTCCAACCCCTCACCAGTGCACAAAGCCATCCTGAATCTGCTGGAACACTTCCAGGGGTGGGGGACTCATTGCCTACTAGTTCTACTGTGGGACAGCTCTGATTACCATAAAGTTCTTTCTCCTGAGTCAAAATCTCTTAGTCCCTGGGGGATAAACCTTTCCCATCATAAGCACAAGTCCTGGTTCTCCCTTCTGGGGCCACATGGAACGAGTTTTCTTCCTCTGTCCCATGACAGCCCTCAGGCCTTCCTAAAATGTGGTGCCCTAAACTGAACAAAAGCATCTAGAGGGGGCAGGACAGGGCCAGACCCTCACCTCCGCAGCCCCGGCCCCGTGGGACAGCAGAGTCTGTCCAATTCCACGGGCACCACTCACCAGACAGTGGCCATACACAGGATCGCAGGAGCTGGAGTGGCCATGGCAGTTACACCCAGAGCAGGTGCCCAGATAAGGCCCGGTGGGCACTCGGGTGAAGTGGGCATCACAGCTCTCGCAGGACAGGCCTGAGTAGCCGATGGGACACCTGGGGTGAAGGACAAAACAAAGAATCGTAGGGTTAGACATGAAAGGGTCTGTCTCCTCCAACCTCTTCAGTCCATCAAAGGATTAATAACTCAAGATGGCACGGCATGACAGCTGGAGGCTGAGCTTCAAGTCAGGGAGACCTGGGCTCAAATCTGACACAGCTGCATGACCTCAGGCAAATGACTTATCTATTAAGTCACAGACAGGGAGGGCTGAGATCCGAGTTGGCAGAGGGGAGTTCCCACACCAAGATTTCCCTAAGTAGAAGAAATCTCAGACCCTTCCCATGGCAGAGAAACGCCAATTCATATTTCTAGAATTCTTCTGTTGTTGTTGTTTTTGGAGGTAATGGTGTTACGTGACTTGCCCAGGGTCACACAGCTAGTAAGTGTCTGGGGCCAGATTTGAACACAGCTCCCCTAACTTCAGAGCCGGTGCCTTATCTACTGTGCCATCTAGCTGCCCCTCTGTAATTCTCTAATGCACAAAAAACACATTTCTTCTTCTTCTTCTTCTTCTTCTTCTTCTTCTTCTTCTTCTTCTTCTTCTTCTTCTTTCAGGCGATTGGGGTTAAGTGACTTGCCCAGGGTCACACAGCTAGTAAGTGTCAAGTGTTTGGTCTGAACAAAAAACACATTTCTCACAAAAGCCCAAGAAGCAGGTTCGTAGGATTTGCAGCCCCAAAAGCTTTAAAATCATCTGGTCCTAAGGTAATCAAAGCCCAGAGAGGTGAACTGGACTACCCAAGGTCACTCAAGGAACAAGTAGCAGAGTCATGAGTCATGTTTTGAACCCAGGCCTTCTTGATCTAAATCCAGGGCTTTTAGGAGCTGAGGAGGCTCCCTGCCCCAAGGGTGCTCTCAGCTTTTCCCTGACCCCCCAGCGTGGCCCCAGGGGGTCACCTGCACTCCTCGACGCTGTGGACGCGCCCATGCGGGGTGGGGCCGATGGCTGTGATGTCCATGGCGATGTCGCTCAGGCCCACGCTGGCCATCTTGTTGTTGTACACGGTCTGGATGAGCAGGCCCTCCAGGCTCTGCAGGGTCTGCAGCAGCTCAGCCCTTGACACTGGCTGGCCCGACTCATGGACCCAGTGCTCCTGCAAGCAGGGTGGGAGGCAGAGGACCGCTCAGCTCCCTGCACCTCCCTGGACTCTCCTCCCAGCCCCACCCTTCGCCTTCACTTCCACCCCCTCCTCCAGGGCCCTTCCCCACGTCCAAGGCGAGGCAGTCAGGCATCTCTCGTTTCCAACAAGCAGCCTACGGTACAAACAATGACCTTCTTATCCTGACATTCAAGGCCCAAGAAGGGGCCCACCTCCTCCAGGAAATCTCCCTGACAAAGGTTTTTCCTTCCTCAGTAAAAATTCTTTTCATGTTTGTTCTCCCCATTGGAACATAAGGGCGAGTCTAGCTTGGTATTTCCAGTGTGGAGTGAAGGGCCTCGCTCGTAATGGATACTCAAGGATTTGTTCACTCCCACCTGACATTTTTGTATTGGCCTTATTATCCTGAGGCCTAGAGAGGAGAGGACACCCAGCTCCTTAGTGGTATAGTCAGCATTAGAAACCAGAACTCTTAGGATGCTTTCTTGGACCCCAAAGCTTGCGCCCTCTCTGTCAGACTGACCATGAACCCCACAAGCCATCGCTCACCTCGGTGAACCGGATTTGACGCTGGTTCAGAACCCCCGGATGGGTGGGTGTGTGGCCCCTTGAGAAGAGGCGATGTCCACCCCCCACAAGCACCACGTCGGCCTTCTGCACAGGCTCCAAGAACCCCCGAGACACTTCATAGCGTATTTTGTAGCGGAGGAAGCCTCCGTAGGAGTCCACCTGCCCCGAAAAAGAAAGAGAGCTGGCCATGGGTCTCACCCCTCTCTCACGTGGCCCGGCCCCTGCCCACAGGTGTGCAGGACCATGAGTGAGAAGCCTGGCCCCCTCACCTTGTTCCCAAGGAACTGCTGGGGCAGTGCCCAGAAGGAATCGAGGATGAGGAAGCGGCGGGACAGGTCGACCAGCTGAAACTCCTGCTGCTCGGGGTCTACCTGGAGCTGGGTGGAGGACAGGGGCGGCATGCCAGGCTGGGCGGGCATTGTCACATTCACCCCTGGTAAGGAGAGGAGATGCAGTGAGGGCTTTGGGCCCCGACTGCTCCAGACCTTGGCCAGCCAAGCCAGTCTATATCATACCCCTACACAATCTCCAGGGGCTCCGTTTCCTCTCCAATCAAACAAAAATCTTCTTTTTGGCATTTCAAACCCCCCCCCAGTGTAGACCCTTCCTTCCTCTCCCATCTTCTTCCACTTGGGCTCCACATCCTGTAGGACCCGGCTATACCGGCCAGCTCTGGGCCTTTTCCCTGGCCGTCCCCCTTACCTGGAATGTTCTCTCTCCTCTCTCTGCCTTTTAGCTTCCCTCAAGGCTTGCCTCCAATCCCACTCTCTGCAGACGGCCTTTCCCGATGTCCCATTCCCCAGCCCCCTCACCTCCATCTATTGCCTTCCCTTCTGAGGTCAGCTTCCCTTCACCCTGTACATATCTTGGCTGTATGGAGCTGTTTAGGGGAAGCCCCTTAAGGGCAGAGCCCTTGCTTTGGCCTTTCTTTAAATTCTCAGCTCAGGGCCTGGTATATAGTAAACACTTAATAAATGCTCACTAACTGCTGCTGTCCCTCCAGCCCCTAGACCAGGATTCTAGCTGGGGCCTCAAATCTATACCTAAGGAGGCAATGCCCCAAGTCTGAACAACCCTTGAGCAGACACTCCTTCTCAGAGATGGTTCTTCCCCACCTCCATCATTGACAAATGGGAGGAAGTTTCCTCCCTCCTTCCTTTCTCCAGTGTTCATGTTTCTAAACAGTAATTCTGAGAGCAAATTAAGCTAACCATGTCTAGTCCTAGCAAAGACTTGGGAGAAACACAAGGATTCTGTCTTCAATTATGTAAACAGCTGCCATATGGAAGGAGGGTTCCATTTTTTCTGCTTGGTCATGGAGGACTGAATGAGGAGCTGGGCGGCAAAAGAATGCCCAGGAGGCAAGCTCTGATTCCTGGCAAAATTTTATTTTTATTTTTTAAGTTTTTTAATTGTTTTCTGATTCCTGATCACTCTAACAAGAAGTTGGTGCCTGGGTTCTGTGTCTCTGGTGTCTTCGAGGCAAGGCCAGACACCCATTTGGGAGAGGGACGCCTTCTCTGAGCAGGGATGGTGCTAGATAGCCTATGAGGTCCCTCCAATTCCACAAGGCTATGAGTCTAGCCAAGTGATCTCAGACCCACAAAGAAACACAATTTACTCAGTGGATTGTAGGATCCTGCATTTAGAGCTGGAAGTCTGGAGTCGTTTTCAGTCAGGTCCAACTCTCCATGACCCCATTTGGGATATTCTTGGCAGAGGTACTAGAGCGGTTTGCCATTTCCTTCTCCAGCTTACTTTACATATGAGGAAACTGAGGCAAACAGGATTAAATGACTTGCCCAGGGTCACACAGCTAATAAGTGTCTGAGGCTGGATTTGAACTCAGAAAGATGAGTCTTCTTGACTCCAGGCCCAGTGCTCTATAGACTGAGCCAGCTGGCTGCCCCAGAAAGGGTCCTTGGAAGCCATCAATCTGGAGATGAGGAAACTGAGGCACACGAAGCTGTTGAGGCCTGTCCCTAAGGTCACAGGTGGTGAGCTTTGGAGGAGCAGTTTGAACCCAGGTCTCCTGACCACTACATCTCACTGTCTCGCTGTATTACCTGGGTACCTGTCACCTGAAGCTGTGTGCCGTCCAGCCCTCAGGCTGCTCCATGAGAACAGCGACCTCACATAGTAAGCTCTACATTTCCCCTGCTCACCCCCAGCCCATGCTCTATCCCCAGCTATTCACCAGCCTCTGTATCCAGTAGGCACTTTATGTCTGTGGAACGAATGATGTATATTTCCATTTTCCCAATGTGGCATGTCCCTCCCTGAAGCCGGCAATGTTACCCACACCCTGCCCTTCTGGTTGTCATTCTGAGGTGGCCTCTGGCTTGGGTTCTAAGAGCACCAGCCTCCAAGCGACCCTGGGCCCACCATCTCCTACCTTTGAAGTCACTGGGTCTGTCGAATTGCAGCCGGATCACATCTCGGTAGCGGCTGCTGCTCTGGCACAGGCTGGTGATGCCAAAGCAAAAGCATGGCAGACACGTGGCGCTGTCCTCCTGGTAGAAATGCCCGTCAGGGCAGGGACCTGTGGGGCGGAGGGCACCAGCGTCAGTCCAGAAGCCTTGGTCAGGGGGGGTGGCCCTTCACTGGGACAGCCTCATCCCTAGGGAGGACATGGAGTACAGGGGAAGAAATGAATGGGCCCAGAGCAGCAAAAGGATTGGCCCAAAGTCACAAAGGTAGGATTTGAATTCAGTGCCTCCAATGCCAGGTTTCTTTTCTTTATGCCCTACTTTTACCAGGTGGGCAATAAAGAGCTGCCCCTTTCCCAGTTCCTGAGAGGAGGCAGAGGACTGGTTCAAAATCCCAGCTCTGACATTCACTGTCAAATGAGATAATATATAGATAGCACTTTACAAACCTTAAAAACATTAATGCAGACATTAGCTTCAGTTACTAGCTGGGTAGCCTAGGCCTCATAACAGGCCTTAAAGGAAGGGGGAAGGATTTTGAGCAATTAGCCAGGTGGAGAGGATGAGAGAGGGTGTTATCTGTAGGGGGCCTGAGCCCAGCATGAGCGAAGGTGCAGAGGTGGAAAGGAGCTCGGTGTGTACGTGGAATGGGAGGGAGACTGGCCTGGTAGGATGGTAGGGACAGGGGGCGGCTGCGGAAATGACACTGGGTCAGAGGGCTGGGGGTCACCTCTGACCTCCGAAGCTAGCTACCCATGTGACTCTGGATCACATCACCTTTCCAGACCTCAGTTTCATAAATGAGGGGTTGGACTAGAAGGCTTCTGGGGTCCTTCCGAGCTCTAAGCCTATGATCTCATGACCTCTCTGAGCCTCAGTGCCATCATCTGAAAAATGGGGACGATAACAAACAATACCCGTACCACCAACCTCTCAAAGCTGCTCCAAGGAAAAGGCTTAATAACCTTAAAAGTTTGATAGGAATGGAAGAGAGTTTCTGTTGTGGGTAACGTTAACAGAAGGAAGAAGAAACAAAAGTGGGTACCTACTGCACACCAGGCACTGGCTAAGTACTTGACAAGTATCACCTTATTTGAGCCTCACAACAGCCTTGTGAGGTAGGTACTGTTATCAACCCCATTTTACAGATGAGGGAACTGAGGCAGACAGAAGTTAGGTGACTTTCCCAGGGTCACACAGCTACTAAGTGTCTGAGGTGGGATTTGAAAGCAGGTCTTCCTAACTCCACTTAACCACTGTGTCATGAGCTGCTTCTAACAGGAATTCTTTGTAGGCACTACATGGGACACTGGAAATCTGTGAAGGCCTCTTTTTCTGGTCTGGGGAGGGACAGTCTGATGCGGCAATCGAAGTCCCCATGTCTGTGGCCTGTTAGGGTTTGCACAGCACCTTCCTCACAGAAACTCTGTTGGAGGGAGGTAATGCAAGTGTGGGTGTGGTTGTTCCCATTTTACATATGAGAAAACTGAGGCTCCCAGGGGGCGACTTGGCCAGAGTTGCACAGCTGGTGAGCATCGGACCAGACCCAAATCATGATCTCCTGCCTCCAAATGCAGTTTCCTTTCCACCATCCCCAGCCCCGGCTTTTCTTTCACAAGAGCCTTGAGGAGTCAGATTTTCTCCTATTTTTGTCAGTATCTTTTAAATTGCAGCAGGATGGGGGGGTGGCCTTCCCCATGCCCTCTGTCCATTTCCAGGCTGAGTAGTTCTTGGGGATGTACTCATTGGTCTCCAGCTGTCCTGGCTGGCTGCCACAGGTGAGCACAGAGTTCTCTCCTGCTCCTTCCACGTCGCTCTGGGACACGAGCTGTCAGAGGCCCTCCCTCCCACCACCAGAGCCTGTCTGGGCTCCCTGCCCACTTCATACCTCGCTGAGGGATGAGCTCCAGGACACCGTCTGGGATGCCAAACACCATGCCCCGCGAGTTCATGGCCTCACACGTGTAAGCTCCTTGGTCACCCTCCTTCACGTCCTGAATGGTCAGGGTACCCCGGCCACCCTCGCTGGTCACTTTCACCCTGAGCCATGGTACAGAGGAGCACAAAGTTCAGCCCAAAGCCTTCTGGGAGCAGGGGACCCCTCCCCCTCCAGAGTCCCTGCCCCTGGCAGGGAGCCTTGGCTAAACTCTCACTGTACCTGGGGTGTGAGGGGATATGACCCCAGTTGAGCCTCCAGTTAATGATGGGGGTGGGTACACCAATGGCCACACAGGTGAAGGTCACCGTCTGGCCTCGGGACACTTGAACTGACTCCTGGGGTGGGGTCACCACCTGGGGGGGCACTGCGGGCACAGAGGGAGAGGATGCTGGAGGTGAAGGGTGAGGGAGCTCTAAATGTGGGGGGGGAGAAGAGGAAGGGGCACAGGGGGCAAAGAAAGGGGGCCCAGGAAAATTTGCTGGACACGCAGAGAAACAAGGAGCCAGAAAAGGGGCAGCAGGCCAGGCAGGAGGGGAGCTGAGACCCGAAGCCATGAGTGAAAGCCCCCCAAGATCCACTCTCAGAGCCAGCTCCAGAAGCCAGGGCCCCTTCCCCCATGCCCTCCCTTCCCGCTGTGCTCACTGCAGCCGAACTCGTCTGAACGGTCTGGGCAGTCACTCTCATCATCACAGTGGAAGCTGGACGGGATGCAAGTGTTGGTGGAGACGCAGCGAAACTCGGTTGGTGCACAGAACTCCCCTGGGAGCTTGGAGGCTGTGAGGGCACAAAAGCACAGTGTGGGCACAGGGGAGGTGTAGCTCCAGGCAGAGGGCCCCTTGGGACTGGGGGAGGCCACCCCCAATGGTACAGACATAGAAAAAAGGTTTTCACATACATCCTATCACACTGTGTCTCATATTAACAAGGTCACACACATCATATCACACAATGTCTCACACATACGCACAAACACAAAGTCACACCCAGTCCATGTCACACAATCTCATACAAGAGGTCACACAGACACACCAGATTACTTAGGTCAAAAGAGTCTCTGACACCAAGTCTCTCTCTCTTTCTCCCTCCTCCTCCTCCTCTTCTTCCTCCTCCTCCTCTTCTTCTTTCCTCTCTCTCTCTCTCTCTCTCTCTCTCTCTCTCTCTCTCTCTCTCTCTCTCTCTCTCTCTCTCTCTCTCTCTCTTTTCTCTCTCTCTTTCTCTCTGCTCAGGCACAAGAATCAGAGAATTTTAGAGCTGGGAGGGCCCTTAGTATCTGTCTAGATTTTTTTTTTAGGCAATTGGGGTTACAGTGACTTGCTCAGGGTCACACAGCTAGTAAGTGTCAAGTGTTTGGTCTGAGGCTGGATTTGAACTCAGGTCCTCCTGACTTCAGGGCTGGTGCTCTATCCACTACAGCACCTAGCTGCCCCCCTTAGTATCTGTCTAGCCCAACTCTTTACCAAATTATTCCAGCCACATTCCTTTGCTAACTTCCTTAAGCAGAGACCTAGCCACGTCCTTCCCCCAATCAGAAATCGTCCATTAAAGCTCAAACCCTGTTCCTGGCAATGGAGACCCTTCCTTATCTGATGCTACCAAATCCACTCAGCCTCCTCTCACCTGACTTTCTTGCACTTTCCTGAAGTCTCCTGCAGCACTTTGTTCAGCAGAACTCCAGTGTGTTTATCACGTAATGGTATCAGTTGGTCAATCAACACGCATTGATTAAGCACCTACTGTGTGCTAAGCTCTGGGGATACAAAGGAAGGCAAAAGATAGTAGCTGCCCTCAAGGAGCTCCCATGGGGGAGACGACATGTGAACAATTACGTACATATGACATGCATACAGGATACCTGCGAGGTGAGCTGCCTGGGCATACATTTTATCCCCCTGATAGCACAGTTCACGGCAAAAAGTAGGTGCTTAATCAATGCTTGTTGATTGACTGATCAGTAAATTTTATGAAGACAGGAATCCCTGTGTTCCCTAAACTTTGCATTGACAAATAAATGCAATAAGTCCACTTTGTTTCTCTCCTAGTGCCTTTGATAACATCTCGTGGTGCCTCAAACCATGTCAGTTACACACAATCACAATCTCAGACACACAACATGACAATGTCAGCCACACACAACCACACTGCTTCAGATACACAACATGACAATGTCATAGTCACACACAATCATAGTCTCAGACACACAGCATGACAATATCAGTCAGTACAACCACAGTCAGATACACAACATGGCAATATCAGTTAGTCATACACAACCACACAGTCTCAGACACACAACATGACAATGTCACTGTCACACACAATCACAGATACACAACACAACATCACAGTCACACACAATCTCAAACGCACATGATAATATCGGTCACACACAACCCTACAGCCTCAGATACACAGCATGACAATGTCATAGTCAGACACAACCACCCAATCTCAATCACACAAACATGGCAACGTCCCACAGTCTCTTGCTCTCATACACACACTTTGCCCCATAAAAACCGTCATTGGGGCAGGGGTCCTCCTACAGAGGCAGCTCCTTTAGGTAAGGGGGGGAGCAGGAAAAAAGATGATGATACACCCTGGCTTCCTGACACCGTCGCCTCCTCCTTGCTACACTAAGCCTCTGCCCCAAATGGCCGTTGTTGCCTGTGGCCAGACAAGGGATTCCAAGGGAAGAGCTCTGGAGCCAAAGCACTTCATTCTCTCTCTACCTCCCAAGGCAAGTGTGAGCTTGGTGGGAGCAGGTTTGGCAAGAGAGGGCAGCTCTGCTGAGGCTGGAGGGGGCTGGTATCAGCCTCAAGGCAGGGGGAGGAAGACAAGGTAGCAAAAGCAGGATGCCAAAGTTGGATGGCTTTCCCCTCCTTGGGAGTGCCTTTCAAGGCAGCCACACTACTGGGTTTAGGCCATTCGGTTGGGGAGGCAGTGTGGAACGCTGGATGGGGAGCACTGCTCTGCTCCAGACTCCCTGCATGACCTTGGGAAGCTCAAGACTTCCTCTCTCTAGGCTGCAGCTTCCTCATCTGCAACATGAGAGCATTGGGCTAGATGGTCTCTAAGGCTCTCCCAGTTCTATGACCCTGGGTTCTAGGCCTGTTCTAGAAGTTCTATCAGGTTATGTTCTAGAGTCCTTTCTGGTTTCAAAATTCTATGTTCTAAATATTCTCCAAAGGGGCAGCCAGGTGGTGCAGCGGAGAGAAAGCACTGGCCCTGGAGTCAGGAGTTCAAATCTGGCCTCAGACACATAACACTCACTAGCTGTGTGACTCTGGGCAAGTCACTTAACCCCAATTACCTCACAAAAAAAAAAATTTAAAGAATCTAAATATTCTCCAAGCTTTAACTTCCAATATTTTAAGCTACTTCCTAGCCCCGGGATTCTTTGTCCTAAGGCCCCTCCCAGTTGTAATGTTCTTTGTTCTAAAGTCCCTTCCATCTCTGATATTCTGAGTTCTAAGATCCCTCCCAGCTCTGACATCCTGTGTTCTAAGGCCCCTCCCAGCTCTGCCATTCTCTGTTCTAAGATCTCTCCCAGCTCTGACATTCTCTGTTCTAAGATCCCTCCCAGCTCTGACATCCTGAGTTCTAAGGCCCCTTTTGATTCTATGACTATTCTCTGTTCTCAGGTGGCTCACAGCTCTTCTATGTCCTATGCAATCCTAGCAAGTAGAAAAGATTTGGGCGTTGTAAATGATGCTGGATTAGCTTGCACTCTGATCTAGTGAGGCTAAGAGGGAGCTGTCCTATGGAATACCCAAAGCTTTCCTCCTACCCCAATTTAAGGAATGGTTTGTAGACTCTTCCTGGCCTGAGCTGGTGGAGGGGAAGGGAATGATTGGGCTGTTGAGAACTCACGGCAGTTTTCTTCATCACTCCGGTCCTCACAGTCAAAGTCCCCATCACATCGCCAGAGTTTGAGGGCACAGCGTCTGTCCCTGCATTGGAACTCATTGGGCTCACAGGGCAAGGAGGGATCTGGAAGGACAAAAACCCAGGGCTTCTGCCAGTGATCTCCCCGCTCCCCAAAGGCCTTCTACTTGACCTGAGAGGAGGAGAAGAAAGAGGCCTGGGGCCACCTGCCTCTCAGTTCCTGCGCCATCTCACTCACCACAGTTCTCCTCATCACTGCCATCCATACAGTCTTCTTGCCCATCACAGAAATAATTTTTAGGGATGCACTGCCCGCTGGCACATGAGGCTTCGTGGTGTCCACAGAGCTGGGGTAGGCCAGCTGGGCCAGGTGGGCCAGCTGGGAGGTAGGCCAGGGCAGGTGCTGTCCATGGTACCTGCGGCATGGTTGGGGCTGGGGTTCTTGGAGGTGGTACTGTGGATTCTGGTAGAGTGGACTCCTCTGTAAGCAGATAATGGAGGGAAGAAATATCAGTGAATTGTCTAGAGAAAGGGGTCCCTCCTCCTGGTGCCCACTTTCCAGTCCCTTGTCATGGTCTTCTACCTCACCTGTCTAGCCAACCCTTCCTGGTTCTTTCTGCCCTGTTCTTCATTCCCAACAGCCTACCCCTTACCAGAGGACTCCTCTGGACCATTTCTTATGCCCACTACCTGGACTGCTCCACACCTGAATACTCCTCAGTTGCACTCCCATGTCCACTTGACTCTGCTCTGTGCCTACCCTCCCCACCACCACCTTGACTCTCACTGACCCTCACCACAATCGAGCTCATCAGACATGTCCCTGCAGTCTGGCCGCCGATCACAGCGATACTCAAGGGCTATACACTCATTGTGGGTCCGGCAGGCAAATTCTTTGTCCGTGCAGAGCCGGGAGGGGGGTGTCACTATAGGAAGACAGGAATAGTTGGGGAAGGAGGGAGGGACAGTCAGTGACAAGCAGTTAAGGAAACTGGGGAGCAGAGAGGTCTCCGAGCTTGAGGCAATGCTGGGCCATGGTTAAGTGGAGGACTTGCGGAAAGGTCCCATGGGGGCAGACCAAGGCTTCCTAGCTTATTGGGCATCAGGGTATCCCAGCTGTCAAGCCCTGGTTGGGCTGTTCATATTCTTTTCACATTCACAGCAATCTATGCTTCTGTCTTATTACCCTCTTTGATGTCAAGGTAGGATCTGTCACTGGTGACTACCTCCTGGGCAATCCTCTCCTCCTTGGGTTTTCATATCATTACATTGTGATTCTCCTCCTACCTGTCTAACCCATCCTTCTCAGTCTCATTGCAAAAGAACTATCCATGCACAGTCCCCCTATACATGGGGAAGCCCCCAGGGCTCTGTGTTAGGCCCTGTTCTCTTTTTTCTCTACACTATCTCAGTGTTCTCGTCTGCTGGATGGATTCACCTAGCGTCTCTCTACAAATGACTCCCAGATCTATGTACCCAGCCCTCATCTCCCTCTTGAGCCTGTGTTACCAGCTGTCTCCTGGATGACATGTAGGCATTTCAAATTCAACGTGTTCAGAAGAGAGCTCATTAGCTTCCCCCTTCAACCTAGCTCTCCTGCTAGCTTTCTTACTTCTGTCAAGGGCACCTTGGTCCTTCCAGTTGGCCAGGTTCCCAACCTAGGAGTCATCTTTGACTCTTCACCCCCATAGATAAATAAATGGCTAACTCTTGTCAGTCCTTCCTCCTCAGCATCTCTCCCGTGTGTCCCCTCTCCTCTTCCTGCACAACGACCCATCTGGTGTAGCCCCTCTAATGGCAGCAGTCTGCTGGTGGGTGAGCCTGCCTCAGGTCTTTCCTCTCTCCCTCCACATAGCTGCCAGAGAGAGTCCTAAAGCCTGGCTCTGCTCAATATACTCCTTCCTATTGCCCCGAAGACCAAGCAAACATCTCTCCCTCGAGATTGAAAGCCCTGCACAGTCTGGCTCCAGCTTCTCTTTCCCAGGTGAATACACACTATTCCTTTCAATTCCAGCCATTATGCCGTTCCCCATGTAAGATTCCATCTTGTGCGCTTGCATAGACTTGTTTCCCATGCCTACACCTGCCTCCCTCCTCATCTGGCTCTTGAACCTTCCCATCCCCTTTAAGGCTCAGCTTCAGTGTCTCCCTCAAGGTCTTTCCTCATTCCTCCCAATTGTTATTGCCCTCACGCCAAAATTAGGTATTTACTTGGTATGTATGAGGCATGGTGGATGAGGAGGAGGCCTTGGGGTCAGGAAGACCTGGGTTCCAGTCTCACCTCTGACTCATCCTGGCTGGGACCCAGGGCAAGGCACTCAACCTCTCAATGCCCTCCATCAACCCTCTAGATTCTAAGAGAAGATTCCCAGGCGCTTTGGGCAGGGAATTTCTCACAGGTCTAGTAAAAAAACCACAATTCTTCTGTCTCCTTAGAGAAACATGTGGTGTCCTCCTAGTAAAGCATGAACCTGCTGAAGACAGGGGTGATCCCAATGTTCTGCTTGCATCCCAGACATCTAGCACATAGTAGGTGCTTCAGGAATGCAAGGTTGCCTTTGAGGGGGGGAGCTCTGGCTGGTTCATCCCATGAACCAACAGAGAGGGTTGAGCCCACTGAAACAACAACAGTATAAATAAAGCTGCCATGTTTCTAGTGCTTTGAGGGAGGGAGAAGAAATACTACCTTGATGTGGCACATGGGAATAATGAGGCATAAAGGAGCTATCTGATGAGTGAATGAATGAATGAATGTGGAGGAACAGCGCTGGGCTTGCCCTTGGCCATCTGAGGGTCGGCCTGGTAAGCAGCGTAGGGCATCATGGCCGTTATGGCATTTTGGTCCCACGGCCCCTGCTCTGTGATGGCAGGATTAGGCTGGAAGGAATTCTACACAGGACAGGGTATTTGAATATGGAATGTCAGAGGTGAATAGACTCTTGGAGCACAGAATATTAGAGCTGAAGAGGACCTTGAGAACCTGAGGCCCAGAGAGGGGAAGTTCCTGGCCCAAGGTCACACAACTAGCAGAAGGACAAGATCTGAACCCAGGTCCTTTGACCCTAAATCCAGTACTTTTTCTGCCATACTCTGCTGTCAATTTCTGTTTCTTCCTCACCCTTTTTCTTCCAACCCAAGGCAGTCAGCCATTGGCCGTGAAGTATGCTAAGAAAACCCTTCTCTCGGCTTAAAAAGATCTCTCCTCTACCTGCTAGTACCTGAAATAACATTTAGTAATTGATTCCTTTGGGGTGAGCCTTGGTTTTTTAGTGCAAATATACCTGAGGGGGAGAGACACATTCCATCTCTCATACCCAAGTATGAGGTTTGGGGGCGTGAGGGGGCTGTATGAGGAGATGCATTTGGACAGGAGGTACACAGAAAGTGAAAGTGGAGGGCACAGAAAAGGGGTAAACCCTGGATGAAGGCATTTTTCATCCTGGCTCTAGAGATGGCTGGGGAAAGGGATTCCAGAGGTCAGCAGTCCCTGTGGCACATTTGGGGCCATGAGTCTGACTGATACGGTCAGGGGGCATAGCACAAGTTCTAGGCTTGGTCAGTACCTGGACAGGTATTGGCACGGGCATAACAGAGCCTGAGGTACACATGAGGATGAAGGAAAGCTGAGGGCTGAGGTGTGGGAGAAGGGAACCCAGTGATGGATCCCCTCCCCACTTCCTAACCCCATCAAGATAATTAGAAAGAGCAATGATTGCTATCCATGAACAGTATTCTGGGTTGTCAAGAAAAAAGATGGTGCTGCCATATGTGATGAGGGGTGGTTGGCCCAAGTAAAGTGGGTGCCATGTTGGTCCTAAAGAGGTATTGGGTATGGTGATGCCATTTTGGTGAGAAAGCAGAGAGGAAGTGTGAGTGAGTATGGTGGCCAGGAGCCCATGGCACCACAGGACCCTTCCCTTGGGTAGCTCTCCTGAGGTGCCCAGAATAAGTATAAGTAAGTATACCCATCTAGGGTTTGCAACCTAGTCCCTGGCACCCGTCTCCCCTCTGGCTTACACCAGCAAGGAGGGACCAATGGTGAGAGCGGTAAGATCAGAGTGGGTCTAGAACAGCTTCTCAGGATGAATGACCCAGCTGGGCTCAACTAAAAGGGGATGTTTCCAAATGAAATGCCCTGTGGAGGCACTGAACCTCCCAACAGCCGCCCCTACAGCACCCAGGGCACATAAGGCAAACACACACAGCACGTGCCCCACCCTGCTACCACTCCCCTGGTAATGCCCATGCCAGGCCCATGCTCCACACAGCACACGAGGCCCCCCACAGACACAAAAACATGGCATACAAGCCCCCTCCCCACCCCCTGCAACAAGGGCTAGGGCCCCCTGGGCAGAGCAGAACAGAGGGAGATGAAGAGGGAGGGTGGCATGCACTTCTGACTCCCAGCTGGGTGGAAGGGCCAAGGAAGTGTGGTTCCCTGGGACCCTGCTCTCTGCCCATGGGAGCTGCTGCTGCCACTCTCACCTGGTGAAGCCATGGCAACGGGAGGGGGCGGGGTTTCTGCTGCAATGGAAGAGTTGGTCAGTAACTGGCCCTCCTGGGGGACTGGGAGTCCCTACCCCTGGGGCCTGTTGGCCTCTGGGCCTCCAGCATGTGTGGCGGAGCGCTGGGAGCCCATGGCAGGCCACAGGGATCCTTTCTGGGATGCCCAGAACGCATGGACCCAGTTAGAGTTTGTAACCTAGCCCCCTGGTACCCACTTCCCCTCTGGAATACAACAGCAAGTAGATGGGAGTGGGAACATCAGAGGGCCGGGGTTGCCCTCCCCCAGCTCTTCTCTCTCCCACACCTCTGGGATGTAAACCTGCTTACCTGTTCCCAGGCGCCTGAACTGGAAGCCAGCCGTGGAGGTGATGTAGGAAGCAATGGAGCCACTCGCAACAACCGAGTAAAGCACTTCTTGGATCTGGCTGGCGTCGGTATTCCCCTCCGAGCCCACATCGAGCTCCACAAACACCCAGCCGTCCACCTCCCTGAGGGTGGGGTGGGGAGAAGGTGAGGAGGAGGTTCTCTGTCTCCCCAGCTGGGAGGGCTTCTGTCTAGCACCCTCTGTGCCCAAGCTCCACTGAAGTGTGGCCAGCACTTACCCATCAGAAGTGAGAAGCACTAAGAGGCTGCCCCAGAAAAGAATGGGATCTCACATACATACAGTGGGGCCTGAAATTCCACCCTGGGAGCTCAAGCCTGGCCTTTTAAACATGAAAACATGGGGCCGCTAAGTGGTGCCTACAGTAGATAGAGCACTGGCCTGGGAGTCAGGAGGACCTGAGCTCAAATATGGCCTCAGGCACTAGCTGTGTGACCCTGAGCAAGTCACTTAACCCCAATTGCCTCTAAAAAAAAAATCAGTGATCCCTTCATTGTCCAGAGGAAAACCCACACTAAGGTTTGAGCACTTGAGTAGGTTCCTTGTGGGTTTTTCCTCCTCTCATGTTTTCATTTTCATTATTATTTTTTTGGAGGCAATTGGGGTTAAGTGACTTGCTCAGGGTCACACAGCTAGCGTCTGAGGCCAGACTTGAACTCAGGTTCTTCTGACTCCAGGGCTGGTGCTCTATCCACTGCGCCACCTAGCTGCCCCAGGATCACAGGTTTAGAGCTAAAAAGGATCAGAGAACGAGAGCTAGAAGGATCATGGAGGCTACCCAAGCCAAACCTTTCATTTTAAAAGGGGAGGAAACAGACACTGGGAGAGGTCCAGTGATTTATTTGACCAGAGTCACCCACAGCTTGCAAAGAATCTGGGGCGGGTCTTCCTGATTCCAAGTCCAGCAAGATCTGAACTCCTAGGGGTCATCTAGTCCAACCCCCTCATTTTACAGATTTGGAAACAGAGGCTCAATGTCCCACATGTGGCAGAGCCAGAATTTGAACCCAGGTCCTGTGACTCCAGATCTCATGTTCTTTCCCCTCTAACGGTGTAGGTGCAATGTGAGTCCCCATTTCCCAGGATTATAGGATTTAGGTCCTAAAGGGTGGAAAGGACCAGCCTAATCACATCATTTTGCAGATGAATAACCTGGAAGCTCAAGATAATATGGGGGACAAAAAAGGATCTCCTTCCCCTCTTCTCATCTTCTAAAGCAAATTAATCCCATCACCCTTCTTGATGGGGCTCCCAGTATGCAAACTGGGACTGTTGTTTGCTTGTCTTGGGGCTCTCTTCTATCCACCCATGCTCTGGGTTTCCCGCCACCATCTTCTCTAGGTTCTGGCCCTGCCACTAACTCACTGTATCACCCTGGGCAAGTCCTTTAACATCTATGGGTTCAGTTTCTTCATATGTAAAGAGATTAAGCCAGATTATTTCTAAGGCTCTTTGTAACACTGACATTTCATGCTCTGAGGTCTCTTCCAACTATAAACCTTATTACTTCTTCTGATCTTTTGTCATCAATCAACCAAATTCTAACATTCTATGTTTTAAGGCCCTTGCAGCTCTGACATCCTGTGTTCTAAGGGCCCTCCCAGCTCTGACATCTTGGGTTCTAAGGGCCCTCCCAGCTCTGACATTCTCTGTTCTAAGGTCCCTCCCAGCTCTGACATCCTGTGTTCTAAGGGCCTTCAGCTCTGACATCCTGTGTCCTAAGGGCCCTCCCAGCTCTGACATCCTGTGTCCTGAGGGCCCTCCCAGCTCTGACATCCTGTGTCCTGAGGGCCCTCCCAGCTCTGACATCCTGTGTCCTGAGGGCCCTCCCAGCTCTGACATCCTGTGTCCTGAGGGCCCTCCCAGCTCTGACATCCTGTGTCCTGAGGCCCTCCCAGCTCTGACATCCTGTGTCCTGAGGGCCCTCCCAGCTCTGACATCCTGTGTCCTGAGGGCCCTCCCAGCTCTGACATCCTGTGTTCTAAGGCCCTCCCAGCTCTGACATCCTCTGTTCTAAGGGTTCTCCCAGCTCTGACATCCTGTGTCCTGAGGCCCCTCCCAGCTCTGACATCCTCTGTTCTAAGGCCATCCCTGCTCTGACATCCTGTGTTCTAAGGGCCCTCCCAGCTCTGACATCCTCTGTTCTAAGGCCATCCCTGCTCTGACATCCTGTGTTCTAAGGGCCCTCCCAGCTCTGACATCCTCTGTTCTAAGGGTTCTCCCAGCTCTGACATCCTGTGTCCTGAGGCCCCTCCCAGCTCTGACATCCTCTGTTCTAAGGCCATCCCTGCTCTGACATCCTGTGTTCTAAGGGCCCTCCCAGCTCTAACATCCTCTGTTCTAAGGGTTCTCCCCACCCTAAGTATCTGGGAGTTGTACCTTTATGCTCTTCCCTCCCATACCCCGTCCACGCCCAGGGTGACCCTTCTTACTTGATGAACACCACGCTGACAACTTGGTCTCCAGGGATCTTCAGGTATTCAGACTCCAGCTGGTGAGGAACACAGAACCATCGGCCTTGCAAGCTCTCAGCTTGGGACCCCCTTCCCTCACGTCCTCCTCTGCACTCCCACCCAAAGCTCTCTGATGCAGAGAAGGTCATCAAGAGCAGATAACTGCCCCCCTTCCTTCCTGCCACCCCCCACAACCCTTCTAGGCCCACTGCCCTCAGCCACCAGGACCATCCCCACGACTCTTCTCCCCACCCCGCGGCTCCCCAATCCCTTACCGTATCCACCACTGCCTCAGACACATCCCGGAACTCCTGTGAGCCTGCGTCCTCTAGCCGAGGGCTGTAGTCAATGGAGCGTGTGAAGTTCACCATGGCCCGGAAGTAGACTAGGGAGAGGAGAGAGATGGAGCAATGATAGACCGTGGACCTGGTAGTGGACCTTAGAGATATCCAGTTCAGCTCCATTGACAGATGAGGAAGGGAAGCCAAAGAGGAGATGTGAACTAAGCCAGCTTACAGGACAGGTGTTAAGCCGAGACAGGCTGCAAACTCAGGATGCAAAACCAGGAGAAAAAAGGGTCACTCTTGTTCCCTTAGGCAGGCACGGTCTGGGCAAAGTCTTCCAGGAATACAATCTGGGGACCCCAAAAGTTGTGGTCTATGGAAGGCAAGTAGGTGGGTGGCACAATGGCTAGAGCAATGGACCTGGAGTCAGGAGGACCTGAGTTCAAATCTAGTCTCAGACACTTATTAGCTGTGTGACCTTGGGCAAATCACTTAACCCCAACTGCCTCTAAAAATAAAAATGTTTTTAAAATCCCGTTTTTGACGTTTACTATCTGTGTGACCTTGAGCAAGTCATTTACCTACTCTCAGCCTCAGTTTCCTTTTTGGCAAAATGAGGATAATAATAACATCTTCACGAACTTATCGTGAGGTTCAAATGAGATGTAAAGTGCTTCACAAACTCTAAAGCACATAACACATTTGTTATTAGCCAAGATAAAACGTAAAATATTTTGTAAACCTTAAAAAGCTATACAAATGCAATAATAAACAGTTTTATTATCATAATGATGATGGTTAGTGATATTCTCCCCATGGTCCTTGAGTCCCAGAGCTAGCTTCTTCTGGCTCCCAGGATAACCAAGTCACATTAGGGCATTGAGGACCTCTGGTTACCAATGGTGACAGAAAGGATGGGGTCAGTCAGGGAATCAGCCAGTCCTCCCCCTCTCTCCCACTGCCATCTGTCCAGGGAGTTAGAGTCATTCTAGACCAAAGAGGACTTCTTAACATATTTAGGACCTGTTCAGCCCTCTGGTACAGGCTCAGAATAAAGTTTTTAAATGCATGAAATGTATAGGATCACAAAAGAAACAAATTGTACAATGAAATACATTTATCAGAATATTTGGAAGATAAACCCAGTTCACAGACCCTGGGCTGAGGATCCTCTGGGCTAGAGAGAGGGAAGTATGGTGAGCAAAAAGGGGACAAACAAAGCCCGGGCCCAAAGTAAAGTTTGTCCCCGGGTCCCCAAAAGGGCAGGCAGTCGGGAGCTAAGGAAAGGCTGATTCAATATCTGCCTATGTAGAACCAGAAATGAGATTTGGAGGAGAGTGACTTGCCCAAGGTCACACAGTGAATAAGCGGCAGGGCTACCATTCAGTTTCTCTGACTCCTAAACCAGTGTTACCAGGGTTCTAATCCCTCCATCCCCAGATCGGGCCACTGGGGAGGCCACGTAGGCAGAGCACCCCCAGGCCCGGGCCACAGAGGCCCCCTTGTCGGGCTGCACAAAGGCCCATTCAGTCAGATCACTTGCCTGCCCCACTGGCCCTCCCCAGAACTGCCCAGGAATGTGCCTGCTCCCCTGGGGAGGAGGGGAGGATCCAGGCCCCACAAAGCCCCTTTCTTACTGTGGGCTGAGAAGGGCAGTGGGCAAGGGAGTGGGGAAGGAAAACCTCCAGGATGAGTTTACTTCATCACCTCCCCCTCTGGGACAAGGACAGCCACTCCCTAGGATTCACTGACTCACAGATTTAAAGCTGAGATCAGCCAGTCCAACCCTCTGATAAAGAGGAAAACTGAGGTTCCAAGAAGGAATACGCATTGCCCCAGGTCCTGCAGCTATTAAACAGCAAAGCCTGGTTGTTGTTCAGTTCTGTCCAACTCTTCGTGACCCCATTTGGGGTTTTCTTGGCAAGGGTACTAGAGAAGTTTGCCATTTCCTTCTTCAGCTCATTTTCCAGATGAAGAAACTGAGGCAAGCAGGGTAAAGTGACTTGCCCAGGGTCACATGGCCAGCCAGTGGCTGCAGTCAGATTTGAACTCAGGAGGATGTCTCTCTCACTGCAGGCCTTGCACTTTGAGCTGCCCAACAGAGCCAGGACTAGCCAGCCCCAGGTCTTTGATTCCAATCACGGTGCTTTCCCCTACCCAGTATTCCTCTCAACTTCTGTCTTTGTATCTTCAGCATCCGTCAAAGTACCTTTTTCCTTCCCCTCATCAAGACCTGTGCCTTCATCTGGGGAGGATGTTCCCAGGGAAGAACCCCCTGTGCCAGTGGGGCATAGTGCCAGGCTCTGCAATTTAGTCCTTTGAGTGCCTGGGGCATGGAGTGAGAGCAGAAGTGACTGGTTCAAGGTCACCCAGCCAGCACGGGGCAGAGGTGGCCTCCTTATTTCTAACTCAGAGATCTGTGTTTCTTTGCATGGTGTCCTAGATGGGCTGAGCCCAGACACCCCAGGAGAGGCTGAAAAAGAGACAAGGCTGGAAGAGGGCCCAGTGACACCCACGCTGGAAACCAGACCTCGGGGCGGCAGACTCTGGGGAGTGGTGCCCACCCTCCCTGCCCCATAGAAGCAAGTGAAGCTGATGGCGGAGGCTCCCGGTAACCAGCCAACCTCCTTCTCCTATCCCTGGCAGCTATCAGCTGACAAATGATGCCAGCTGGGCACAAAGGCTGGACCACTCTGATCTGTGACCTAAATCCCGAGAGTGGGAGGGTGGGGAGGGAGAGAATGGAGCATGGAAATGCATTGTCCCCACTGTCTTGGACTTGGGGCAGGAGGAAGCAGGGTATTATGGAAAAAGCACTGGACTTGGAAACAGACCTGGGTTCCTCTGTCAAATGTTGGAGTTAGACTCAATGGCCCAGTCTAGGGAGTCCTCAGGTGGGGCTGGGGAGTGGGATCAGGGCTGGGATCTACCCAAGGGATAAAGGGCAGGGAGGGGAAAGGAGAGAAAGGGAGGGTTAGGGACAATTGTCTGGGTTACCCAGGGTCCCCCAGGCTCAGAAGGGACAAAGAACAGAGAGAAGTGAAAAAGAAGAGAGAAACAGAGGGAAGGGGATACAGAGGTGGGAAAAATAAAGCAGTCTCTCTCTCCTCTCTCTCCCCCTTCTCTCTCTCTCTCCCCTTCTTCCTCTCTCCTCTCTCTCTGTCCCCTTCCTCTTTTTCCTCTCTCTCCTTTTCTCTCTCTCCTCTCTCTCCCCCTTCTCTCTCTCTCTTCTCTCTCCCCTTCTTGTTCTCTCCCCTCTTTCTGTCCCCCCCTTCTTTGTGTCTGTTTCTGTCTCTATCTCTCTCTCTCATCAAATCCAGAGCTATAGAAGGGGCTTAGAGAGCTCTAATGAAAAGACTATCTTTATAGAAAAGAGAGATAAGGAGGAGACAAATGAAAAGCCGGGGCAAGGCCTAGTACATTCCTAAGAACATTTTTTTTTAAACTGGACCTGGTATAAGGAGATTGTGGTGAAGAAACTTTCTCTACCGACAGGGAGCCGGGTCTGTAATTTACAGTCTTAGAGGGTCTCCTGGTACTGAGAAATAAGGTGACTTGTCCAGGTTTGCACAGCCAGGATGGGTCAGAGGGGGCACCAAAGGCCAGCTCTGCATCCACTGAGTCAGACAGTCGCTGGCCAGGAGATTAGCTCCTTCGTAATGCTTGTTAAAATGAATTGAAAGAACATTCTGACTCCATAAGGACAGCATGCCAGGGGAGGTTGGGAATGTGCAGAGCTGGGGTCAGGGGGGTCCTTCTGAGGCTCCATAGAGAGAAAAAAATGGAGGCCGCAAAGGCAAGGAAGAGCAATTTGGCCATATCTGTGCAGCAGCTGGGAGCAGGGAGGAGGTGGGACCACCTCCAGGAGAGCTGCCACTCAACGGCAGTTGTCAGGTGTGTGAAGGGTGGAGGTGGGGGGGTGGGGGAGGATTCTCTTTCTCCTCCTCTAAACAATCACCCATGATCACTGGCTCTGGCCTCTGGCTGCTCCCCAGCTGGACTTGAGGTTCCCACCCCCTTCCCTCACACCCGAAACCGCCTCCGCCCTGGCCTGGCTCCTGCCCTTTGCAGCTGTTTTCCCAGGAAGATTTCTGGGGGAAAAAAGTGAGGAAACAGGAGGCCTGAGAGTGAGGTCTGGGCATGGTCTGGGAGGGTGGGAGGAAGGGGCCTGCCTGGGATGTGCATAAGACACAGAGATGCCGGAGGCCCCAAGGCACAGGCTACGTGGGGGAGGAGGACCGACCAGACTGGGCATTATGGAAAGCCCAGCTTCTCCTCTACTGCCTTACCCTCAGGGCACTTTTGCCCCACAACCCCTGGAGAATCCCATCATGTAGTCCTGTCTACAGGGCTTTCTGGTTTCTGACCAGCAAGATGGTCAGGTCCATTCTTCCTAGGAGCTATAGTCCTCCACATTGATGACCCAGAAGGAAGGCCCAGCCCTGAGAGGTCCTAGGCCCTAATTATGGCCTTTTTGACTATCCTGAGACTATCCTGAGACCAATCCCCACCCTCAGGAGTCAGAAGGCCAGTGCTTCTGCCCAAACCTTCATCTAAAACAGGGCTGATGGGAGCAGGCCAATGAAGAGCCCTATTGAACCATATTGAGACTGAGCTAGAAGCCCTTGCCTGCTTCAGGGCCTCAGGACAGCCAGGAAGCAGAACTGAGAGCTTCTAGCCGGGCAAACATCATCAAGGGAGTTCCCTCCACCATGCACTGAATGGCCCAACTCTGTCATCATTGTCTGGCAGGGTGCCCGGTGCCCAGCACCCTGACCACAGAACAGCCTTCGGTCAGACGGCTCCCATCCCAGGAATGGCAGGAAATGTCTGTGGCTCCTTCGGTCTTGTTCACAGGGTTGTTTCCTACCTAGGGTCCTGGACTGGTTGGGAGGAGGGGAATAAGGTAGAGATCAAGAGAGGAAACAAAATCTGTGCTCCAGAGTTCCTAGCTGGGCCTTCCCTGTCCTCCACTGTCCTAATCCCAGACTCTTAGTCGTCCTGATTGCCTGGAATTCAGGGCTTAGTCCTTGGGAGTAGAGCCAGGGAGAGGGGAACAGACAGATGGATGGCTTGGCCTGTATCTGTCTCCCTAGAGCAGGGAAGATGGGCTGAGACAAACACACCCTTCTGTCCCCAAGCCCAGAGGTTGAATGCAGCTGGTGGCTTGTGAAGACATTTTAGGATGATAGGATTTAAGACTGGGAGGGGCCTAAGAATATTGAATATCAGAGCTGGGAGGGTCCTTAGAACACAATGTCAGAGCCAGGAGGGGTCTTAGAACACAGCATGTCAGAGCCAGGAGGGGTCTTAGAACACAGAATGTCAGAGCTGGGAGGGCCCTTAGAACACAGAATGTCAGAGCCAGGAGGGGTCTTAGAACATAGGAATGTCAGAGGTGGGAGGGGCTTAAGAACCCTGAATATCAGAGCTGGGAGGGCCCTTGGACACAGGATGTCAGATCTGTCAGGGCCCTTAGAACACAGAATGTCAAAGCTGGGAGGGACCTTAGAACACAGAATGTCAGAGCCAAGAGAGGTCTTAGAACATAAAAGGGCAGAGCTGGGAGGGCCCTTAGAATACAGAATGTCAGAGGTGGGAGGGCCCTTATTCCACAGAATGTCAGAGCTGAAAGGGCCCTTAGAATATGGAATGTCAGAACTGGGAGAGACCTTAGAATTATATTCCCATTCTATGGATAGGGGACCCTATGCAAGGAAGGCCTGAAAGCAGGCTACTCTTGCCTCATTTACTGTGCCTCTTACTCCCATAAGCCCAGTGGGAAAGGGGAAGAAGAGCAGCCTGACTCTGCACACCCATTCCTAAGGTTCCCTGCCCCATGTGGGAAGATCCTAGGCCTTTGAGCCTTCAGCACTCACCACCATGCTGTTGGCCTCTGCTTGGCACTAAGGGCTATCTTGAGCTCTAGCTCCTGCCTCATCTCTAGGTCTAGGCCTTAGGCCAGAACCTCAGCCTTCCTGGGCCCAGCCTAAAGTGGGTGCCATCACCAATCCCCCCTTGGGAAAGACATCCCCTCAGGTCAGTTCCACCGGAAGCCAACCACCCATTATCACCCACATCTATTCCCTGGGGAGGTTCCTGACTCCAAGGGCCAGCTGGAGAAAAGTCCCTAGGTAACTTATAAAAGCTTTGGTGTCTCGGACTTCCTTTGGGAGAAAAGGAGGACAGAAAGGGAAAGCAGGGCTGGGCTGGGTTGGGGGGCAGGCTCTCAAATTATCCCCTTGGTGACTTACCCATCTGGAAGTCTCCACTTCCCACGTCCCCGCTGCCGAGGTCATCTGGAAGCAACAAAGACATCAGTTAGGAAGAGATGAAGGCAACCTCCCAGGCCTGGCCCCTATTTAAAAGGCCTTAGTGGGGAGGAGGGGACCACTCCTCCCAATAACATCCTCAAGAACATTTCATTATTCCAAGGATCATAGATTAGACAGCACCATAGATTTAAAACCTGAAAACTGTGAAACAGACATGGTAATTTTTGTACTCTCCTCCTCCCAGGTAGCTTTTTTTTTGGGGGGAGGGAAGGTAATTGGGGTTAAGTGACTTGCCCAGGGTCACACAGCTAGTAAGTGTTATGAGTCTGAGGTCAGATTTGAACTCAGGTCCTCCTGACTCCAGGGCCGGTGCTCTATCCACAGCGCCACCTAGCTGCCCCTCTCCCAGGTAGTTTTAAGGAGTGTGCTTATAAACCCTAAAGGGACAGAGAGCCTCAAACTGTTAGCCTTGAGATCAGGAAGACCTTGATTTGAATCCTGCCTCAGACACTTACTAACTGTTTGATTTTAGGTGAGTCACTGAGGCAAGTCTGGGCCTCAGTTTTCTCATCTGTAAAATGGAGGATTTGTGAGGTCCCTTCCAACTACGTGAGGATCAAAGCCACGATCTGACCCTGGATCTCCAGGCCCATGTGCTCTTGTTCTGACATATATTTTTGGACCACACCTTCAGTTTCATTGGTATAAGGAACACCAGGTGAAGAAACGTTCTCCACAAACGCAGGTCAGCACCTGCTCTGCCTCTTACAGCCTCACAGAACTGGCTGGAGGGGTCCCCAGCCAGGCAGGGTCAGAGGTGGGTCTGGAACTCAGGTCTTATCCGTTGCATAACTGCCTCCACCTCCTACATCACAGAGCTGGAAGGAACCTCAGAAGTCACATAGTCCAACCTCTTTATTACAGTGATGAAGAAATGGAGGCCCGAGGAATTTAAGTAACTTGTCCAAGGTCACGGAGGCAGCAAGTACAATACTGAGGGGGAATCCCTCTGGACTACAAATTCCAGGATGCCATAGGTTCTCAAACCCCTATTATATCAGCATGAGAGCAGGATTTGAACCCAGGTCCCCTTTCCGTTATCCCCCCATATCTTTGTGGTTGTCCAGCTGACATCTTTACAGTGTTTGAAGGTTGACAAAGTGCTTTGCTCTCATTATTCAGTTTCACCCTCACAACAGCCCTGTGAGACGGGTATTAATACTGCCAGTTCACAATTGGGGAAACTGAATCTCAGGGAACTCAAGTGATGACCAAGGCCACCCAGGAAGTAAGTGTCTGAGGCAGGATTCAAACGCCTTTCTTTCCTGCCTCCAAATCTAGCACTTTCCCCTCGATTCAAGTATATAACTCTTGGTGCCTGGCGAATCATCCTTTCCAGAGCACTGAGCTGGGGTAGGGCAGGAAGGCTTAGGTCCTCTGAGAAGAAGTCTCATAAACATCTCTAAATGCCCAAGGGAGGAGACCAGGGAGGCCCCCAGGGCAGAGCAGGGTCAGGGCAGGACAGGCGTCTAACAGAACAGAAAACAGCCTCTGAGGAGGAGGTCCTGGGAGCTTTTTGCGAGGTCAACTTCAAAGCCTTAATCAGAGGGTCTTTAAATACTTTTAAATACCCAGGACAGTCCAGGGTGAGGCAGGAGAAACAGCAAAGGATGGTGGGCTGACTCTTCAGGAGATATGCCAGAGCTAGAGGAAGTCTGGAACACCACGGAATCAATGGGCCTGGGGTGATGGCCAAGGGGAAGGAGTGCAAAGGACCAGATGGAAAAGACTAGGCCTCCCTCAGCTGGATGGAGCAAGACAAGGCTAAAAGGGGATGTGACTGGCCATAAACACTTGACCAGAATTGGGGACAGAACAAGACAATCCTGTTCTTGGAACAGGCTTGGAACCAGAGAGAACTGGGTTTAAATCCTGTTGTGAATGACCCTGGGCAAGTCACTTAACCTGTACATACCTCAAGCGACTCCCTGGGACTTATCTAATATGTCAGAGATGGGCTGCCTTGTACATAGACGGAGGGAGTTCCCACAGTGAAGGAATTGTAGATGCATCCCCACATTTGATAAAAACTTGTGCAATTTGGGCAGTCTTTTTTTTTTTTTGCTTTTTGGTGAGGCAGTTGGGGTTAAGTGACTTGCCCAGGGTCACACAGCTTGCCAGTGTCAAGTGTCTGAGGCCAGATTTGGACTGAGGTCCTCCTGACTTGGGCAGTTCATTTGTGGGATTTGTTACCCCCCAAGAGGTAGCACAGGCCAAAAAAAGAAATGGAAAAAAAAATAGCAAGCCTTTTGAAAAGACTTAAATTCTTCTTAATAGGTTACAAAGTCATTCAGTCAGTCAATAAACAATCAGCCCATAAGCATGTATTAAGTGCCTACTAGATGCTAGGCACTACGCCAAGAGCGGGGGGATACAAAGAGAGGCAAAAGACAGTTTCTGCCCTCAAGCAGCTCCCAGTCTAAGGGGAAGACAGCTTGAAAACAACTATATGCCCACAGGACATAAGCAGAACAAATTGGAGATAATCCAGAGTGAAGGCACTAGAACTAAGAGGGATCAGGAAGGGTTCTGGCCGAAGGTGGGATTTTAGCCAAGACTTGAAGGAAGTCAGAGTGTCCCAGGCACGGGAAACCACCAGGAAAAATGCCTGGAGTGTCTTGTTCAAGGAATGGCCAGGAGGTCGTTGTCACTGGATAGAATAATTCATGTCAGGGAGTAAAGTGAAGAAGACTGGAAAAGTAGGCTGGGCCTAGGTGATGAAGGACTTTGAATGCCAAGCAGAGCACTGGGTATTTGATCCCGGGGGGCAATAGGGAGCCACTGCAATTTAAGAGTGTGGGAGTGTGTGTGATAAGGCTGAACCTGCTCTAGTTCTATCACTCTCAAAGCTGGGTGGAGGGCAGACTGCAGTGGGGAGGGACCTGAGGGAGGTAGACTACTCAGTGGCCTACTGCAATCATTCAGGCCTGAGAGGATGAAGGCTGTATCAGAATGAAGGCAGTGGAAGAGGATACTAGATGTAAAAGATATTAGAAATGTCTTTCGGGGGTAGACTTGGAAGGGACATCAGAGATGGTCTAATCCAACCTCATTTTATAGAGGAGAAATAGAGGTCCAGAGTGGATAAGTGATTTGTCTTATTTATTTATTTTTAGGCAATTGGGGTTAAGTGATTTGCCCAGTTTCACACAGCTGGCAAGTGTCAAGTGTTTGATCTGAGGCTGGATTTGAACTCAGGTCCTCCTGACTTCAGATCTGGTGCTCTATCCACTGCCCCACCTAGCTGCCCCGATTTGTCTTATTTTACAGACAAGAAAACGGGTGACTAGGTGCCATAGTGGATAGAACTCTGGGAGTGGAGTCAAGAAGACCTGAGTTCAAATCCAGCCTCTGAAACATCCTAGCTGTGTGACCCTGGGCAAGTCACTTCACCCTGTTTGCCTCAGTTTCCTTATCTGTAAAATGAGCTGGAGAAGGAAATTGCAAACCACTTCAGTATCTTTGCCAAGAAAAACCTGAAAACAACAACAGATAAGAAACTAAGGCCCAGAGAGTTTAAATGATTTGAGGCATTGAGATGGCACAGGGGTAGGGCACTGGCCTGGGGTTAGGAAGACCCGAGTTCAAATACAGCTTCTCTTACTAGCGGAGTGATCCTGGACAATTGATTCTGCCTCAGTTTCCTTATCTGTAAAATGGGGATAATAACAGTCCCTACCTTCTGGGGTTTTGAGGAGCAAAGGAGATCATACTTGTGAAGTGCCATATAAAAGCAAGTTATCATTGCTCAAGATCATCTTGTTCAACCTCTTCACAGATATAGACGCTGACTCCCCAAGAGAGCCAGTGACCTTTCCCAAGTGACCCGTGTAGCAAAATGCACCCAGAGCCAGGATCTGACCCAGGTCTCCTCTGACTGAATGCGGTGCTCAGTACACTGCACTGCTAATCAATTTGAGAGGCTCCTTGGACAGGAAGGGAGGCTAAGGTCTGGGCCCCCGTTCTCTTACGGTAGCCTGGGGTGGAGGGTCACCCCTTGTTCCTGGCCCTTTCTCCAGCGATCCCCCCTCGGCCCAAGCTGCTCACCTCCAGAGGCTTCATCAGCCAGCAGGTCTTCGTCATCAGAGAGGTCTGAATAGTTCCATCGAGGCCGGACCACTGCCGTCTCCTGTTCTGCATCTTCAGGCAGCGATAATCCATCATATGCAGTCCGACTGTGGACCACCTGTAGGACACCAGAGTGTCAATCCTGGGACCTCCTCTTTGTGGACTCAGAGAGCCTGAGTGCGGGCTCTTTCCCCTCCTGTTCCCTTCAAGAGTTAACCCTCCCCCACCCAACCAAAATCCCCCAATAACACCTTCCAAGGGATCCATATGACCAGGGCATGATGCCCATGGGCAGCCCAGGCAAAGACAGGGGGAGAAGGAGGAAAAACATCGATAATAATGACTGGACTCTCATGTGAGAAAACGCCTACCACTACAGGCTGGCATCATCACTGTAACTTATAGACTTAGTTGTCTAGTGCCCTGAGAGGTTAAGGAATTTGCCCAGGGTCACACAGCCAATTACTATGTGTCAGAAGCAGAACCCCAATTGAGGACTTCTTGGCCCTGAGGCTGGGCTCCCTATCCACTGTATTAATAATAATATTAATTATTAATAATAACATTTATAAATGAAAGGATTTATGACAGCAATACCAAACTAGGTCATTGGGACTGGAAACTACAGAAAAGTTATCGATGACTTAAGGCAATCGGGAACTATTTGTCAGTTGCAGATTGTACAAAGAAATGGCAGAAACTGTTCAACGTATCACGATAGGTGGCAAGAATATTGCACCTATCTAGACAAGTACAGTCAAGTAGCCATCACTATATAACAGATGATAGTTATTTCTTAGGAATCAATTAGTGAGAAATCCCTGCATTACAAAAACAGACACCTCCCCACCAACCAGTGCAATGTGTCAAACTCAATAGAAATGTGCAATGGTGTCAAACTCAATAGAAATAGGCACTACAACACACATAAGCACCTCTTATGGGCTGCAGGTTGACTTATTAAAAACAACATATTAACATTATCTATGTCTTATTATATTTCTATTTATTTCATTAAATATTGCCCAATTACATTTTAATCTGTTTTGGGCACTCCTAGTGATGCCTGAGTCAAGACTGTTTGGCACCTCTGGCCTAGGGCACTGAGATCTCAAAGCTGACCCCTTGTCGAAGAGCAAGAATGTATCAGACGCAAGACCTGAACCCAGGTCCCTCCTGGCTTTGGGAGCTGCTGTCTGAGATGACAAATCTCCAAACTACAAATCAGACCTCAAAAACATCCTTGGAGAACTCAACCAACAAACGATGCTGGGCGTGTGGGCATTGCCAGAAGCCAAGCTGTGGCCTGCAGTCTCCCCAATGTAAAACTGATCTGTAAAAACTGATGCATGTTTATAATAAATGTTGCCATAGCACGTCCTCATAATCTCTCACTGGCATGGAACAGAGAGCTTTCAAAACCACAGGACCATAGAAGAGGAAACTCCTGATTGCGGGAGAATGGTGCATGTCACATCACCACCACTGATGGTCTTTCTATACTACTTCAAGGTTTGTAAAACACTTTTTACAAATATTAACTCATTTGATCACCATGGCAACCCTGAGAGGTAGGTGCTACTATCATCCCCCTTTCACAGAGGAGGAACACTGAGGCAAACAGGGTTAAGTGAGTTGCTCAGGGTGACACAGCTAGTAAGAGTCTGAAGCCTGATTTAAACTCAGCTCTTCCTGACTCCAGATCCAGGGCTATATCCATTGCTGCCTCAGGTCATTCTTGTTGTCTCATTGGCCCCTGGAGTTGTACAAAGAAGGGTGATTTCAATGAGCCTACATTCAAAGAGCTCACACCCTAACGTTGTTGTTGTTGTTTTCAGTCCTGTCCGACTCTTCGTGCCCCCTTTTGGGATTTTCTTGGCAAAGATACTGGAGTGGTTTGCCATTGCCTTCTCCAGCCCATTTTACAGATAAGGAAACTGAGGCAAACAGGGTGAAGTGATTTGCCCAGGGTCACACAGTTAGCAAATGTCTGAGACCGGAATTGAACTCGGGAAGATGAGTCTTCCTGCTCTATTTACTATGGTGCTCCTCTATCCACTATGGTGCCACCTAGATGCCTTTATACCCTAATACTTTTTTCAATTCAAAAAATAGTTATTTTATCCCACCTTTGTGTGACAGACTGCAAAATATGAATCTCAAAGAGATTTTTATAGATAGTAATAATGAAAGGAATAGTAGGTGGATACTCTGCTAAACTCTTCACCTGATGCCTCACCAGAGTGTCAGCTCTGCAGCTCAGCCAAGAGTACCTGAGTTCTGCTGGGTCCTACACCAAGGTGGTCAGTGGACTAAGGGGGTATCTGGCATCCCAGGACCAGGCAAACTCATTATTCTGCAATCCAACAAAGCAAGTCTTTTTTTTTCTGATATTTTAAAGTTAACTAATTTATTTATTTTTAGTTTTCAACATTCACTTCCATAAAATTTTGAGTTTTAAAATTTCTCCTCCCCCTCTTTCCTTCTCTCTCTCCAAGACAGCATGCAATCTGATATAGGCTCTACTTATACATTCATATGAAGCATATTTTTACATTAGTCATAATGTAAAGAAGTATTAGAACTAACGAGAGGAACCATGAAAAAGAAGAAACAAAACAACAAAAGAGAAGGAGAGCAAATAGTCTGCTTTGATCTGCATTTAGACTCCAAAGTTCTTTCTCTGGGTGTGGATAGCATTTTCCATCTTAATCTTTTGGAGTTGTCTTAGATGCTTGCATTGCTGAGAAGAGCAAAATCTATCAAAGTCAGTCATCACACAATGAGGCTGTTTTTGTGTACGATGTTTAAGCAAATTTTTATTATCATGTGCAAGGCACGATGGGGGCTACAAAGACAAAAATTAAAACTAGACCCTGCCCTCAAGGTGCTTACATTCTAATGAAATGCAGGCAGCCTCCTGGCCAGAAGGTGGCTCACCGGGAGATGAATTGGGTGGAGCCATAGGAGCTTACAGATATATACCACGGCCTAGAGGGACTGTCATATGCCTTGATGGAGGCACTGGGGGTGAGGGTGGGGGAGAGGTGAGGAGTACTCATACTGGTGAAATCACAGAGAAATTGAGAACTTAAACAAGAAAGATATTCTGATAGTTCTTTAAACATATTAAGATCAGTTTTAGCCTCAGGGATTCTCATTGGTATCTTTCCATAATTCCCCCAACACATTGCAGGTCTGGTTCTCTGAATACCTCAGACAGGGGTTGCCAGTGTATCACTGGATGGGTCTCTCTGTTGGGTCTCATTCACCCCCTTTGGTTGGCATATCTCTTTTTCTGGTCACAAATATCCTCAATGATTTCTGTTCAGCTCTTTGGGACCTTATGGCTTTGAGCTGGGAGGGACCTTGAGAGCACTGCATCTAATCCCTTTATCTTTATTTTATTTTAATCATATTATATTGAAATTGTTTATTTTTGGATTACCTTCATTTCTCAATAGATTTCTCCCACAACCCTCTACAAAAAGGGAAGGGAAATGCATTTTTTTTAGCTCTTATCTGCCAACTGTCTCATTTTGCAAAAGAGGAAACTGAGGCCCAGAGAAGTTTATGTGACTTACTCAAAAGCACAGAGGGAAGCACCAGGATCCAAACTTAGATCATAGGAGCATAGCTTTAGAGTGGGGAAGTGGTAATAGAGTCCATCAAGTCCAATCTCCCCATTTAACGGATAAGGAAACTGAGGCCCAGAGAAGTCACATGACTTATTTACTCAAGGGCTACCAAGAAATGGCAGAGCAAAGATTCAAATCCAGGTCCCAGAACCCAAACATGGTGCCCCTTCCAGGTGACCATTCTGCACTCTTTTTAATCCCAGTGCTCACACCCATCATGCATCTTTCCATTACCCTTCGGGTTACTCGTAATTTGGATTCTTCCAAGATCATAGTGTTCTAGGATATTAGGCCACAGAGCATCATCTGGGGAATACAGATGTTTAAAAAACAGGCTTTTGGAACGATGAGCAGCTTGGGAATCTTGCACTATGTGAATTCCCAAATTCAATCCAGTCTAATCTCCAACTCCAATTCTGGACCTGGTTCACTATTTGCAGCACCCGTCCAAGATAAACACATTGCTGGAGTAATTCGGCAGGCTGCCCATCTAGTTACATGTTACAGTTCGAGACAACAGGTATTTCTCATCCACTTTGTTTCTCCAACATGAATGCTTAGTCCAGTTTCTTTCTCACTACCATTGTTTACACTAAGGAAATTTTGTAGCATTATTGGGCTTGGTAGAATTAATACAATGTCATCTGTGGAAAGCAGCATTTGGAGAATCTCACCCTCCATGAGGAGCCGTTCTTTCATTTGGGATTTGTGCAGAACATCCTCTATGATACTGGTGAACACTTTAGGTGAGTGTACGTCTCCTTGTTTCACACGCTGCTTGATGCTAATATTTAGCAGACCAGTGAACAAATTATCCTGTCATTGCACATGTCCTGTGGTCTTGTCTCGCTGTTTTGTGTGTCATGCTTGTTTTGAGAAGAGACTTTAAATCCATATCATTTTTTAAAAATTAAAAATATCCCCTACATCTCTCACCTCCGTTCTATGACTGTAAGGATAAGATCTGCTAAAGGAAATTATCTGTGAAAGCTTGCTTTTCCTTTCTAATGTTTTTATCAAGGACAGCACTGGTGCACCTAGATTATTTTCACAAAAATTTTATAGAAATGAGAAAGCAGACATATGGGTAAGTAATTGTTAAGTCTTCTTAGGTGTGTTGAGTCATTCAGTTATGTCCAACTCTTCATGATCCCATTTGGGACTTTCTTGGCAAAGATGATGGAATGAATGGTTCATCATTTCTTTCTCCAGCTCATTTTACAAATGAGGAAACTGAGGCAAACAGGGTTTAGTGACTTGTCCAGGGTCACACAGCTAGCAAATGTCTAAGGCTGGATTTGATCTCAGGTCCTCCTAATTCTAGGCCCTGCGCTCTAAGCACTATGGTGCCCCTTGGCTTCCTTAAGTGTTTGCTAGCTAAGGGCAGTTTCTTTTGATCTTTTCAGCTGTTTTGCATCAATTTAACTCCTCTAAGCAAAGGGACCAAAGTTGAATGTCTTCTTTCGCATTTCCCATCTAT